ACATCACCGCGTGCGGAAAATGCTACTTTCGCGCACGGCTGGCGATCTTAAAATCGACTTTCCGCACGATGTAATGAACATTAGTGTACGCAACTGGGGCGGTTGTCAATCTTGACACTCGTGCAGATCGACAACCTCCCGCCTGCATTGCGTAATCTACTATTTTCGTTATCTCGCGCACGCACACCTGTTAGTTATGTGCAGGAAGTAGCACTAAAATGATTGATCATAATTATCAAAACAAGTCAGTGCTTCGAACAACGCGTCAAGTTGAATTATTACCATGACAGTCTTCTTCTAGCTGATTGCGGGAAAAGCGGATCAAACGAATTGTTTCGATAGGTCAGGACCATAACTTTCGTAGACCCGACGAATCACCATTATATCATACATCATAACACGATATACTCTCTACGACGTGTAACACGCATTCGACAATCAGCTCGGCTGCTGATTTGACACCCAGGAATTTTTCTATAAACGTTAAGGGCTTGCTACGCAGACGCAAAGACTTTGTTTGGCTGGGCGCAATAATTTTGAATGGCGTACGTACATAATTAGTATTTTAAACAACGATCCTAGATATTCTTTTGTAATGAATAATGTATCAGTAGCTGGTCCATATAATACGGAGCCAAAGCAACTAGACGGACGGACGAACAGACGAACGTGCTCAACGTGCTTCAACAAGTTTCAATTGAGACAATCGTTTTTTTTACACAAGTAGACTCCTACCTTCAACACCCACGTACACGCATTCAATATTGGTCAATTGGGATAGCTAAGGTTTGGTCCAACTGATTAATGCAGCTTATCGATAAATCGCCTTGGTACCGTGGCACTGAATTAACTTAGGAATATAAAAGGAGCAAAGAAGCGAATCCGTAAATATAGAGCTCGATGCGAGCCGATAATCTTGCATACAAGAAAAAAAAAGTGATTGAGAATCACAAGTTGGCTGCATCTACAAATAATAAACATTGTGCAAAATTCAAAGAAGAACCTTGTTGCCCACGCTCGCTTCTCGCCTGTGTAGGTATATAGGCGTACGCTCGAGACTCGTCCCACGAATTCCGAGCAAATAGAACACGCGCAGCGTACGGCGATCGGTCGAGTCTCGATTCACATGTAGGTGTGTGCACATTGTATGCGAATGCGCCCCTGCACACACCCAGAAAATGCGACAAAGTCTATGTGCAGTGGCTGCAAATATCTTCTTGGTCTTCCTCTTCGTCCTGCAGCGCGTCCTATGCGACGTTCGCGAGCACGACTACTCGATGCATAGCATAGCTGAGTATGCCTTGAAAGCGAAATAATTCCGGCGGAAAAAAGCATCGGCTGCCACAAATTCAACTTATATTATTTCGTTATATATGCGCTCTGCAGTTCCTTTGCAATCAGCAGAGCGAAAATAGCGACGAAAGACAGGATCAACGTTGAATTGACCAGATTCGCCACATGGGCTTATAACTTTGTAGCCGATACAAGGTGTGCGTGAAAATATTTTAATGGTAACCCCCACGCAGAGAAACATCGCAGTACGCACATTCGGACGAGTCTGCGTTATGCTTCTGTCGCTGCATATATACGACATCGCAAGAGAGAGCCTTGAGGCAACCTTTTTTGGCATCCGACTGGCCGCCACCAAAGCAAAAGTCAGCTCTAGGCTCGAGTACCTCTGCATAGATTCAACGCATACATGTGCATCTTTGGCTGCTAGCACATGTGTCTTGCCAAGCACCAAACAATTCGATACGATCGTTTGTTTTACGAGCAGACGCTAATTCTGGATTTTAATCTTCCAAGATCGATCGATCGATCGAATCAACGACTGTGGAATTCGCCTTAATATTGGACTAAAATTTTTTTCTCCTTTCTCACTTTGCACAGATCTACGTTCGCGGACGCGGCGAATTTGTCAAAATAATATGCCGTCGTAAATGTAAATTGAAGCAAAATCAAAATCGAATACGAGAGTTACGGTGAAAAATTGATACTGATTGATCATCATACTTTGTAGAGCAAAATGCGGAAATTTATCGATGTTTGATGACGAAAAATTTTATAAAAGGCGACTAAGAAAAAAAAATTGAATCGCGCCACACAGCAAACGTGAGCAGAAGAAAGCAGACGATTTGATACGCACTTAAATTGTCCTTGAAGCAGAAGAAAAATATTATGCCGACAAAGTGTTCCATAGTTCGAGTCACTAATACTATAAACTTCCGGGCGAAAAAGGAAGTTGTTGTTTTTGCGCGCATATTGCACGTCACGCCATAAATAGCGTCGATATCGAAAATGTTGCATGGATTTTCGTCAAAGAGCAAAAAATCTGCTCGAATGCGATCGAGATCAATTTTACTTTCTTTTTATCGGTGAATGTTTATTTTTCAAAATGGCAAAGGTAAAATTTTACTCGTTTCTTAACGATCTCGCTCGATCAAAGCTTTATTAAGCATTGGTCCCCAAGGATATTTGTCGCTGGTAAAGATGGGAGGATAGAGAAAAAAAACAGGAGAAAAGGTGATGAACGAAGCTGCATGCTTCAATTAGAAAAAGGCGAAGAGAGCAAGAAGAATAAAGTTTAAAAACGGCAGAGTGGCTCACAACCATCTACGGCAAAGAATTTATGCTCGCTCGCGCGTACAAGAAGAAAGAGAGAAGCTTCCAGCCATTGGCGCGGCTGCGCCAAGAGTAAACGACCGGAAATTAGCGGTGCGTTTTACGAGCAAACACGCGCGTTTACATACCCTGGCCTACGCGAATATCTGCAGACGCGGCGAACCTATCTATACGCGTTCCAAGTCGATTCGAGTTTGCGCGACAACGATCTGCACTCGCAGCTCTGGCCGACTAGACGTTAAATAATTCGCCGACCGAGTCTCGAGAAAATCCTTTAATCCATTGGAGAGTGGTCTCCCAACACAGCTTATTCCCTTTGCCATTTCCCACATGGACCAAAGAGAGTAGTTCAGTGTTCTTTTGCAAACTCATCGCCCCATTCTCGCAGTTAGCAAAGCCATTACTTGCCTTCGCTTTACTCGGTTAAGGCCCTCGTGCGTCCTTGTGTAGAACTGACTCACTTTCTGCCTTGATTTTTCTCGATGACATGTTTTTATTTTATTTATTTATTAATTTCGTCCAAACGCAATTATGCGATCGAGAATGTTTGTAAAAGTTGGGCCGATACCGATGACGCACTCGCTCGGTAGAGGAGCGATCGAGTGCTCAAATCCAGCTCTCGAGAGATGTAAGTGAATAATTGATCGAGGATACGATCGGCGCGCTTAACGGTACAAGGAATATATATGGGCATATTATTTATAAACAATGCGGGGGCAAGATATTCGCGTAACTGCCGAGGAAACGTCGCTCACAAAAATGCAGACGACTTTTGTAAAAAGCAAGTTTATCGCGGCGTAGAGATTCACGTAGGCGTCGACAGTTTATGTCCGAAAATTTTGAGTTTATAAATAGTCGATTGCAAAAAGCCGCGAGCGAGCGCGCCTATCTCATAATAGCACTTACTACGCGCGTACTCGCACTATCCATATAGAGACGCACACCCACCGACCGACCGACCGGCTTTGCTCTCTCTCTCTCTCTCTCTCTCAACAGCTCGCGCCAAGCACGCGTAGGTGGATTATATTATAAAAACACAGCATACATTATAATTCGCGACGAGTTTGTGGCTGAACTATCGTATACGTGAGCTGCCGCCTTCTCGTCCAAGCTCATTTCTTTCTTAAGGAATTTCAGTGCGATAAACAGCTGGCGAAAGTCACTGACACGCCTAGAGCTTTTTATGTTGCACGACGACGCGATCGAGCAGATTTTATCGACAATTGATAAGACCCACACGACCTTCTCTCTTGGTTTTTTGACTTCTCTTTGCGCTCGTGCTTTTCATACGGCGTCGTGCTCCCATCAGTGACTACTGAAGCGCTGCTGGGCGTGGCTCTTTCCGTTTGCTTTATTGTCAAGACTAACTAATGCTATTTATGCTATGCTATGCCATACTAATCTATTTCACATTGATAACGTCGTTGCGCTGTAGTAATCCATCGATTCGACCGATGGTCGAATTTGTCAGGCGTTACGCTTCGCGTCTTCAAGCTCAGTTATAAATATTGCCAACGATCATGCCAGCAATATATAAGAGATGCGGTTTGTGATATCTTACGCACGACTCTGGATAAATCATTTTATTTCAATTATGTTGTGAAATACGTGACAAAGGAGCGACATCCTGATAATTAAGCCGACTGACGCCACCACCTTCACTTCACTTATAATTAGTGAAATAACATTAATTGATCAATAAATCAAAACGAATCCTTGGCTTTTCAAAAGTTGCGAATATTACAAGTGTACAAATGAAACTAGTTTGGTTCCTAACAAACTGTTTATCAACGTTGTTCATAATAGTGTAATTATTACTTTTTTCTCGTCTGCAATAAACTAAATAGCGGGAATTTTTTAGTTTATAAATTTTTAAGCTCGTCGAAAACTGTCTGCCTAAAAATTGACATCGCTCAAAGCTAATATCACTTATGTAACATTAATAAAGCATGGCTTGCATATTGCAATCAAAAGACGAATAATGTACACGAGTATTAGTGCCTCTGTATTGATACAAACTGCTGTGCACACGTATACGGCAAAGAAGCTTTGTATGTATATGGCAATAAAGTACTTCCTTCTTAACAGTTTAGCAGGATACGACTCATTGGCCGCACGCTCCACCGCTAACTACGACAGCAGCAACAGCGGAACTTCAGCAAACCTCGCCACAGCAAACGCACAGATAGATATTCTTCCCTCACGAATTTGCGTCCCGTCCGAAACACGTTAAAACATTTTTTTCAGAAATTTCAAAATAAAAACTAAAAATTAAAATTGATAGTGAAATGGATTTCCTACGAATTACGCGCGAGAATGGTACAATTCAATGAAATAGTTGTATAAATTACGATCTGCATGAAAAATCTTTAACTCACCGGAATTTTACTGGATTTCAAAAAGTCTAATAACGCTTCGAGAGCACCAAGAGTAGATGCTTGTACAAAGACACCTCGCTCAGCGAGTTTTATTTTGCCCAACTCTTTAGATAGCTCTCTGGCGATATCTTCTTTTAATACTTCCACTTCATCTGGTTTCTGAGCCACCACTAGGTTTAATCCTATCAATAAATCGTACAATTGAAATTAATTTACAAAGAAATATGTTTGTGTCTAGAATAATTATTTCAAATCTTACCTGCGATAGCCTTTTCCAAATCTTTAGCAGCAATTTTAACTCCTTGGGCTGCTTTTATTTCTCGGTACTCAATGTAAGCATTCTACGGTAATGATACAAAATCAAGTTAAAACATATTATTCGTAGTAAAACGAAAAATAAAGGATTCTTACTTTCACACGAAGCTCTTTCATTGGTTGAGGCATAAGAAGTGATCGAATTTGCGTTACAATTGGCCCTTCTGTACCCGCTACTACCATCGTATCACCTTCTCTGAGGGTACCATTGACTAGGATACAGTCTATCGTTGTTCCGAGACCAGGAAGAGCTTTTACTTCTAGTACCGTTGCTTGCAACTCCTCGCAATACATAAGTCGCTTGGCTAAAGGTCCTTGACAAGCATCGGTTAATAGGGCTAGTAAATTTCCCATTCCCTCGCCTAAAAAATGAGAATAGATTCAGACTTTTAGAATACTCATTTTGTTCATCATTAAATCTGTGTAAATGTTATCTCACCTGTTATTGCACTTGTTGGAACCAATGATACATAACTACGAGGATCTGGGTTTTCATAAAAAAGAGCAGCATTGAGACTTTGTTCTGCAAATTGAAGTATTACTTCTTTTGCTCGTTTTTCAAATTCTCTCTGAGTTATTGCTTCTTGACTTTTGATGATATCTTGCACATCTTTGCGATTCATAGTTTGCCAGTCGTAAAGTCTGAAAAAATTAAATAAGTTACATAATAGTGGTACAATAACTTTATTTATGCACTCAAATTATAAACTTTATGAGTAAGATATTGAAAACTGTACCTGTCAATTTTATTCAATGCCACAACAAAAGGACATTTTTTAGCTTTTAGGAGATTGATACTTTCTATCGTTTGAGGCTCTAAGCCATGCATAATATCTACTACTAAAACAGCAATATCACAGAGGGATGACCCGCGATTTCTCAGATTACTAAAAGACTCGTGGCCAGGAGTATCGATGATCAATAAACCAGGAATTTTGAATTGTTTATCTGCAAACTAATTTTAACAAATTTTTTTTATGAGTATGTTATATAAAGTTAATTGGATCGTGAAGTAAAAATTCTTACTCCTTTTACGTGTTTTGTTGATTCTTGAATGGCTTCTACGGGTACATTAGTAGCACCAATCTGTTGTGTTATACCACCTGCTTCACCATCTTGAACATTAGTCCTCCTAAGTTTATCAAGAATTTTGGTTTTGCCAGTGTCAACGTGACCCAATACGCAAACAACTGCAGCACGCAAAATATCCGTGGTGCGTTTTTTCTCGGCTTCTATCCTGCGAGCTTGTAAACGTTGACGTACTTTCTCTTTCTTCTTTTCGGCATCCGGTCGTTTGTCATCTTCATCACTTTCATCCTCAGAATCTTCATCATCGTCAGAGTCATCTTCACTCTCTGATTCAGATTCACTCTCTGACTCTTCTTCATCACCTCCAGATGAAGATTCTTTTTCAGATACCTTCGTAGCTTTTATTGTCTTCTTGGTGGCAGCTGTTGTAGCTTCTTCTATTCAACAATCATAAAAATAAATTATTTATTGATCAAATTAAAATTTCTGTAAATATTAGTATTTATAGGATTTCTTAAATATAAAATTACCTTCAGCTTCATCTTCACTACTCTCACTAGAACTCGCGTCCCAAGCATCTTTGAGGCCATCATCGTCATCTACTACACTTGTCTCCTCTTTTTGCTTGTTGTCTACTATTTCAACTTCTACTTGATCTGGTTTGACTTCTTTTTCTTCTACTGATTTTACTTCTTCTTTACTTTCTGTACTTGTCTGTTGTTTAACTTTATTGGGCTTGACTTTTGTACCTTAATTCATATTACATTTAAATTTGAGTTTTCTATCAACATTTTCAACTCTCATAAATAATACAAAATTAAAAACATGAAAAATTCACCTGGTCTAGCTTTTTTGTCGCCAACTTCTGGCATTTCTAAGCCTTGTGCTTTTAAAGCTTCCAGCATAGCTTGTGCTCTAGCCTGAGCTTGTTTCTGTTTATTGGTCAATAATTTTCCTTCAGCTTTCAACTTTTCTTTCCTTTGTTTTTCTCTTAATTTTTTTTTATCTTTTTTTTCTTGTTCTTTTCTAAGTTTTTCTAATCGAGCTTGCTCTCTTTCTTCTTCTTGCCTTAGTTTTTCCTCTGCTTCACGTTTTAATCGTTCCTCTTCCTCTTTAGCTTTTTTTAAGGCTTCTTGCATCGCAGCTATCATCTTTTTATTAGGTCCTTTAGCTATAAATAGTTTGTTCGTTAAATAGAACTTCCAAAAATGTTATAAAGAGTTTTAATGTAGAAAAAAAATCATATGTACCTTTTTTAGAACCTTCAACTTCTTTTGGTTCTTCGTCTTTTTTAGCATCGTCTTGTTTTTCTTTTTCAGTATCAGCTGTTTTTTTATTGTCTCCTTTTTTAGAAACTTTTTCTATTTCCTTGAAAAATTGAATAAAAATTGATTTAATATACAAAATATAAATTACTAGCATGATATCTTTCACCTAAAATATGATATACATACAGCTTTTTTCTGTGCCATTTTTTTTTGCTTTTCTCTTTCTTTTTTTTCTTTCCGTTTTTGGGCAGCTGATTTAATAGTACTTCCCTCTTCGCCATCATCATTTTTTTCTTCTACTTCATCTGCTTCAGCTTTAGCTTGCTTTTTTCCTTTTTTTTTCTTTTTCGACGTTGAGTCCTCTTCATCAGAGATTTCATCAGAAGGTTCCACTTTAGCAGGTGGTTTTACTACTTCTGCAGGATCATTTTTATTGTCAGGCTTTTTTTGCCCAAAGTATTCTGCTTCTAATTCAGCTAACTCTTTCTCCAAATCATCATCGCTCTCATTCTTAGCTTGAATGATATATTTAAAGTTATTTTAAAAAGTCTTATGATGCAAGATATTCTCAAGAGCTATTATGATCATTACCTTTTTTACCCTTTTTGGACTTTTGTTTATTTTTGTTATTTTGTGGTAGTTCTTCTAATGGTTCATTTTGTTCTTCTTCAAGAGGTACATCAAACTCGTCATCACTATCATCTCTTTTCTTTTTACCTGATTCAGAACAGAACATCATGCAAAACATTTTTAAATTATTCATTTCATTATATATTTATCAAAATTACCTTTTTTAGTTTTTTTTGACTCCTTTTGTTTACTTTTGTTATTTTGTTGTATGTCTTCCGATGGTTGAATATTCAATTCTTCGAAAGCTTTCTCAATTTCGTTGTCACTATCATCTTTTTTTTTCTTACCTAGTTTAAATTAAAATCAAGTAACATAATTTAAGAAACCTTTTTCTTAATTTTAAAATAAATGCAGCAATTATAAAATACCTTTTTTTCCTTTCTTAGAATCTTTTTGATTTGATTTTTTGGGTACCTCATCTTCATCTTTGGGTATAGAATTTTTCTTATTTTGAGGCTTTATTCCAAGATTGTCAAATTCTAATTCATCTACATCTGAATCAGTATCATTAGCTTTCTTTTTACCTGAAAATAAAATCATTAAAAAAGGTGCTTTTAATTTGAATAATTTCAATAATACTACATAGAGTCAATTTTTACCTTTCTTATTTTTTTTTGATTCTTTCTGTTTTCCTTTACTCTTGTTGTCTGAAGTAATAGACGATTTAGATTCATCCTCATCTTGGTCATCTTGGTAGGCCATGTTGAAAAGTTAATATCTATCTGAAAATATTAATAAATAAATACACCAAAACAAAAATAATGAACAATAGTTTAAAGTACATTTGATTTACGCAAAAACATCTTGAAATGTTGCAGGTTATTAATTTATTGATTTAACAATTTTTTTTTGAAATATGTACATTTTTAAAATTAAAACTTTAGATAAACAAAAAATTAAATAATATTTCATAGTCATTAATGAATTTACAGAAAAAGTATATTTTTTATAATTTTGGGAGTTGTCCGAAAGTAACTGATAAAAATAATTTTTTTTATTTGAGCTTCATATTATGAGGAGTTATCCATGATCATCATAAGTATTATACATTTTATTACAAATTATAAAGTTTTAAAACAAAAAAATATTTCAACAGCTGAGCCTAAAATTATGGAATTTACAACATTCAGCTTCGTAAAAATTAATTGTAAAAATAAGAAAACTATGTTATTTCCTCATAAACTTACTAAAAAATACTATACCTAAATTAAAAAAGCTATAAAAATTACCTGAAATTGTTAAAAATTATCACTTATAACACTTTTTAACCTGAAAATGATCAGTATGTATAATAACCAAGACACGTATAGATGATCAGGTTGGCATTGGTGACCAGTGTTGCCAACTATACGAAGCATGCAGACTGCAACCCAGAAGTCAAAATATGCAATTTAAAGAATTACTATTACTATATGTCTATATGGCACCAAACAAATAAATTTACCGTTCACTGTGATACTATCCAATGTAATAAGTATGTATAATAAATTATTATTCGCTCGCAGATTTTCATCATAGTTTTAAAAGTCATGAAACAAAATATTTTCAATGTGAGTAAATAATAATCGAAAAAAAAATCACGAAAACCAGTATTTTTTTCGATTCTTTCTGGTAATAAAGAACATTATAAAATATAAATCTATGGACATGTAAAGCTAATAGGTACCTTAAAGCATTTCTTATTGCTTTTCTTTTATTGACGTGCTGCGATTTCAACTGAAAACAATATATTGAATAAACCAATCAAAATTGACAGTCACAATACTAATCCAAAAGTGCAACGTTGTATTAGGCAATATGGCCAAAATTCGGCCGCGAGGTGACAGCAGCGTCGAAGGTCAAAATATGCGCACTGGCGTCCGCGCACCACCGACAAACACGCTTTCGATCTCGTCGCCATTGCCGATCGAAATTTGCACGGTATTTAAAATAATGGATCATATTTACGGAAATCTTAGTGTAATTGCTTTGAAACAATTATTGAGAGAGAGAGGACTCAGGACGACTGGGAGAAAATCAGAATTAATTGAAAGGTAAGTTATTTAATATGTTTAATATGCAATAACAATTAGGTTAGGGGGTTTTGTTATTGTTTTTGTTATTATCATTCAATGCAACATTTTCTATTATCTTCTGTACAAACTTTGTTTTCTTAGATTAATTCAATATGAGAACTTTCACCAACAAACAAGAGAAAGGATCCGATTTCGATCATAAATATGGAAGCCTTAAATTAAAACAATTACAACATTTATTGAGAGAAAGAGGGGCCCGGGTGACTGGACGAAAATCCGAGTTGGTTGAAAGGTAAACTTTATTTAGTATACAATAACAATTGGGTTGTTTTAATCATTAAATGAACTCTTCTTAGATTAATTTATTATGAAAAAAACAACAACTTCGACTATGAAAGGGCCGAAAAAGATGAAGTCATTGAAACTCCTCCCGCTCAAGAATATAGGGACATAAATTCTTCAACGTTACTGCCAGGATTTTCTAAACTTCATCTAGANATTAATAAAAAAATTGCATGGCTTAAACTTGTATTGTTCTTAAATATGTTTAATGTTTTTTCAAAATTGTTTGTTAAAAATGTTTAATAAAAATCATTTTTACATGGAAATTGTATTTTTCTTATTATTTGTTAAACTCAACATTAATTATTTATTATGTGTAAGCTTACATAATATTATCTTTAAAATTAGCCAGCATGATACATACTCTGATTATTTCTGATGATAAAGGGAGAAGATCACGAGTGAGTTTCTTTGAAAGAATGGTATATGTTTTCATTAGTCCAATAATCCTCTCCACATGAACTCTATGCTTGGACAATTTTCTGTCTTTCACAATTACATTGTGCGACAAATTTCCACTGACCATTGGAGTAGGTGTGCACACAGTGACGTCGCATGGGGCAAACAAATCTTGTACCATGATTCCCTTATCCGCAAGTATCACATCACCTGCTTTACATTTCTGCCTCAAATCACTGCGTTCAATTATCTGACGATCACTAGTAGAACCACCATAAGGCTCAGAAATATAAGATATTAAGCCACCTGGGCTAGTCCCTACCATAACTTTCAACGTATTACTATTTTTATATGTACTAAAAGTAGCTTGTTTTAATTTAGGATTGTTGGGAGCATCTATCTTCAATTCTGTGGCATCTAGTGTCACTCTGGTTTTAGGATAATTATTTTTGAAAACATGAGGCATATAAAAATTCACTAATTCTCTACTTGGCCATATGTCTATAAGGGACCACAATTTAGCCATAGAAATTATCCACACATGAAATATTTCACTGACACAAGTTTCACTGATATTGAAGTGTTCAGCTAACTCTAAATTACAGGCATCTCTTCTCAATTTCCACAAAACTAAAAATAACTGATTGTTCACTGTAATATTTTTTGATTTTTCTAATTTCTCAAAGTGATTTCTAAGTGGTTTTAATGTTTGCAAAACAACCATATACTTTTCATATGTCAATCCTGTAAAGTGTTGCAATTGTCTAGGTTTGTCTTTGTAATCTTCAATGTTGTATTTTGCACATCCAATAGTTTGAACAGCGACTACTTTATTTTCTTTGTGAAAATTATTTTTGGTCACTTGTTCACTTATTAAATTATTTTTATGCACTGGTTCAGGTGAGACGTATAGTTCTTCATACACATCAAAGCCTTGTTGTTGAGCTGATGCAATACTGCACTCAAATTCATTTATATTGTGTGAGTGTACAGGTGAATCTGTGCAATCCATATTGAACTCGTTTGTACCAGATGATTCATTGACCTGCAGAAAGAAAAAATGTTTAATATGTGTAATACAGTACATAAAAACTTCAATAAACCATACCTTATCATTTATGTCACTGTTATTAATTGAGTGAGGATTGCTGATACTTTGTACTTCTGTCACCTGCAAAACAATAAACAAATTCAATATTTATACTGAATAAATATATGCAATTTTTATGCTAAAAAGTGATAAAAAATAACATACTGTCGATGAGGGTGCTTCTTCTTTTTTTCTTTCTATTTCAGAAAAGATGGTTGGAATGCAATTAGTTTTTAATTTGACACGACTCATTTCATATCCTCCTATAAAATAAAATAGGCAGTTAATTATCTTTCCAATGAAATAAGAAAAACTTCAAGAATATGAACAAATTAGTAAAAAGTTATCAATATTACTTACCTATGACACTTTCTGTGTAAATATCAGTTGGTTGAAAATGTTTGGTGCACAAACCATGACACGACTTTGGATTATAGTTCGGTCTTTCAATTGCTTCCAACCATCGTTTCCTTAATTCAGGGTCTTTTGGGAATTTAAATTTTTTTTTCCCCTTACAATTTTTGACACTACAATTCATTATTTTTATTTACTTTTGATTTATTTTTAGTATTCAGAACAAACTGTCAAAGGGTCGCGAAGAAAAATATCTACTGCTATCGAGATTATCCGGTCACAAAAATCATGCATCTGCGCATGACTTGACCTACGACGCTGCTGTCATCTCGCGGCCGAATTTTGGCCATATTGCCTAATATTCAAGTTGTTGAACAGAACAGGATAAACGCAGCGTACTGTTCTTTTTTCTTTGGCGTGCTCATACTCAAGTGCATAATAAAAAGTTTAGTTTCCTCTACCTGAGGAATGAAATATCTGTATAATAATGTGACAATTGAAGTTCCTGTAAGAGTCGGTGTGAGTGCTTTGGGTGTTATGGTTGGATTTGCTTTGTATTTTTATTTGTAGGTTAGGTTCACTTGATTATTCAAGTTTTTGACAGTTTGTTTATTATTGAAGTTTGTATTGTCTCGGAAGTACATTTAAAATTTGTACTTGCGCTAAAATACGCATATGCTATTATACTGTTTGGTGTCAAATTTAATCAACATATTTTGTTGTTCGTAACACTTCGAAACACAGATTTTAATGGTAAACATGGAAAAAGTCTGTAACACAACAGAAGTTCGAAGGAGGAACGAAAAATCATTTAAAGCATACAAAGACGATGACGATTCCAACAGAGAAATGTTGAGAGCTTCATCAGCTCCTTATTGGTATTATGATGTAGATCCAAGACAAAGATGGAGTTATGGTTCTGATACATCTATTGAAGCAGCAGAAAATATACAAAATCGTTTGTGTTGTTCACCAGTTGATGAATATGATTGTACAACCAACAGCGAAATTGATGGTTTAATAGTTAATAATATAGATGATAGAGATGAAAGATGCAAAAATTATGCTACGGAGTTTCGACGGTGTTCTCCTGAATTTGAAAATATTATAACTAATGATGAAGAAGATGATTTGAACGATGTTGATACTGCAGACGATGAGTTAATAGATTATTCTAAAAGATATACAACTGATAGTACTATGTCAGTGACATCAAGTAAACGTATTAATCAACCTAATATTCAACAAATTTTACCAAGAAATATTAATAGAAATACATTAACAAGAAAAGTGCCTGTTAAAAAGAATCAATTACAATCTAATCGATCTAAACAATATACTTATGGTGATTATGCAGAAACAGACCTAGATCAACCTACAAATTATAGCTTACGCTATGCTGAGCATGATACGGAAGAAGATAAAAAGGTCCAACAGTTTTATGTGAGTGTTTTGATACATTTAATATTGAAATTGTATACTTTGATTTAAAAGTTCTATGAATACCAAAGTCAATAAATCATGAACAGCACTTGTCACATCTACAGTAACAGTAGAATCTGACTAATACCTTTATTTCCTAAAGTCGGTATACATCCATATAAACAGCATAAAAGTAAAAAACATGAAAGTCTAAGAACCAAAATTGTATGTCTTCATACAGCTGAGCATTCAATTAATTTTGTCATAATTATCAAAGACGATGAAAATGTGAAAAATTCAGTTATATATTATTATATTAGCTTATTTTACCCATACTGCAATTTTGAAAAACGATTTTTGGCTTTGACCTTGAAGAGTTAAACATTTTGATTTTTTAATTTTTTAAATTATTGTTAGTATATCAAAATAATGCAACTTTCATTCTTGCAGAATGCAGCTGAGCATGAAGATTCTATTCAAACATATTGTACAGAAGGTACACCAAATAATTTTTCAACTTCAACATCAATGTCGGATCTTTTAGCATTAGAAGATGGACAAGAAAGAGAAGAAATATTTAAAAGACCAATATTATCAGAGCAAAAACGAAATATTTGTGATAAATCTAAAAATTTATGTCAAAAAAATCAATCAAAAGAAGAAATTGTTTCAGTAGATTCAAAAACTATAGGCGATAAACAAAACAGAGATCTACACCATAAGAAAAACAATGAAAGAAAATATAACAAACATACTCCACCACAATCACCAGCTGAATTATGTTACAAAGATAAAGAAAATAAAGTGGTGGCATTTCATATTCATGAAGAAAATTCACCTCAACAAACCCCACTTATGTTTTCTCGCACCAGTTCTTTAGACTCATTGAGTGAATTTGAACAACATTCAATACACGATGAATGTAGTTCCGTTTTCAGTGATTTAAGCCATAGAACAAGTGCAGTTGTATCTCCAAGTGAATTGCCTGATTCACCAACACAAACTGTACCTCCAAGTCCTCATATATTAAAATCACAAATAATTCAAAATAAACATGAGTACCAACAAAAGGGATTATTGAAAAAGTAAATTAAATTTATGTTTTTAAATATATGAGCAATTATTATAATATATTATTATATCCTTGAAAATTTTATACATTTTTCAGCCCTACTATCTGCAAGCCAGTTGTTCAACATCAATGTATTGATCATAAAATTGTCATAGCCTCAGGACAATCAACAACAACTCGGATTCCAAGTAATAGTGTATTCGCTGATAATGTAGTAGCATTTCAAGAAGAATCAATGCCATATAGTTCAACAGCTTCAATAGCTGGAAGTACACTTAGTGCCTTAACAATTGACGATGAGAATGAATATGATCAATGTGACAATCGTGAAATCATCAGGAGAATTGCTGCTATCAGGGTACGAACTAGTGCAGCTGGTATGCACCTTGCACCCATAAAAAAGCAACAAATTCAACAACGCAATGAGTTTAATGGATCCGAGAAATTTCAAAAGACAATAAAAAATATAAGAGTTGTGAGCAAGCAGCTAGCAGGTAAAAATTATTTTTATTTAATTTTTGATATTTTTATTTAATGAATAGTAAAGCTTATAATAATAATAATAATGAAATAATAATTCTAATAATAATAATAATTCTCAGGTTTCAAAAATAATTATGCATCCCCAGTAAAACAAGAAATGCAATTTGTAAAAGTCCATAAAGAAGAAGTTCCATATTCAAATATATATAATGATCAGAAATTACAAAACAATAAATGTCCTGAGCATTTTAAAGAATCTTGGTATTCAAATGACTTAAATAATGAAAATCGGAATCGATTCAATAATCAGCCACAAACTAAAACGACCCTTGAAAAAAGATTTTCCATTCCACAAAAAATAGAACCTGATGAAGTACGAATATATTGTACGGAAGATACTCCGACGTACATCTCTCCATTTGGTTCTGAATCGAATTTATCGGCTTTGTCAATAATGTCATATTCCGATGAAAATGTCAACGAGCATGTCAATTTTTTTGATCAGCGTCAACAGCAGCATCAAATTTCTGACGAAGAAGAGCCTGTGATTGGAGTTTACGATTCTGATGAAATTATTAGTCCAAATGGTTCAGTTTACTCTGAGGGTGAAGATAACGATCGTCGCATCGACGTATCGCCTTTCGATTCTCAGTTAAATCTAGTTAATTTTTCACTTCTCCGTATCGAAGAAGAGGATGAAAATGAAGAAGAAGAAAAGGAAGAAGTGACTGTAAAAGTTGATCATCTAAACAGCAATGATAGAATATTTAACGTAAATAATGGTAATCGATACGACAGATTTTCACCCGCTTCAGATGCAATTTCGGGTGAAAATGAATTATCAGATGATGACCAAAAAGTATTAGAAGAATGTATTAAATCGGGTGTATCGAAACTTACTTCGAAAAGACGATAACAAGCAAAAAGAGAAATCATCGTGGTTTCAGGATAAATTATTGATAAAATTATGGCATTGCACAGGGATATTTTATCTGATTGTAAAAAGTACATGACATTTTAAAATTATTATGAATATTATAAAATAAAAATTAATACAAATTTTATACGCATATTTTCTTGTATTAAATATTTTACTCCTTTACCTTATTTATAAATATAAATACGCGATGCAAGTACTTATTTTTAATAATACTTGGTGCTGTTTAATGAGTCTAAATCCCATTTAATTCTGTGTCTATACTGAGTAGATGAACGATCTTCGTTCTGAATTTGAATTTGATTAGGTAATAATAACTTGAATAGGACACATTTAAAATTTTGGAAAAATACAATTTTTCTTGATATTATTTGAAATACTACCTAAAGATTTGATTGACAATCGATATTACTTCTTTTTAAAAATGAATGACTGCCGCCAGCGAACTGTTGAATATTGCACCTTGCCGTGGTTTTTTCAACTGTACAAGACGCCTATTGTATATGATATATATTCTGTTTACAACCATGTACAAAACACGTGGTATACCTAAGATATGAATATCATTTCTACGCTTAAGTTTACTACTATGTAGGTATAGGTATTGTTATGGAATGACGGCTCTGCAGTAAGAGTAGCGAAAATGATTAGCAATTCAAGTTCATAGATAAGACTAGCAAAAGTCATAATTAATATTCTAGTGTTATCGATTATTCAAACGTTCATTTATAAATTCAGTTCTTTTGAAAGCGTTCATACTTTACTAGCAAGGTTAAGAAATATATGAAATGCCGTGGCTCTCCTGTCAAAAGGTTATAGCGATGTATACATGATTTCATAAGTAACCTTTGTGATATACTAATCAAAATACTTCAGCTGACTGTCTATTGCATGTTTACTTGAAAAAAAATGTCATCACTCAAAGCAAGTGATATTGATCTGGATGTTCCTGAGTTTAGGGTCAATCCTTTTCAACAATCAATAGCATCCTGTACAGGAGCATTTTTGACTTCTTTTATTGGTATGTAAATAACTTTTCATAGTTCACTTCAGTTCCATAGTGTGCCACTTCTAGATGAAATGTTTTTAATTTTTTGCAGTGACACCACTAGATGTTGTGAAAATTCGTTTGCAAGCTCAACAAAAGGCGATGCTCTCAAATAAATGTTTTTTATATTGTAATGGTCTAATGGACCATATTTGTTCGTGTGCAAACGGAAAAGGAGGAATGAGTCAAACAGATTGGATAAAAGCAAATGGAAAATTTACTGGGACACTGGTATTTTTATTAAAAAAAAAAAAAAAAATATTCTAATTAATCAAAAATGGTTTTAAATTGATTTTTTTTAGGATGCCTTAGTTAAAATAAGTAAGAAAGAGGGTGTACGATCCCTGTGGAGTGGTTTAAGTCCTACATTAGTATTGGCTGTACCTGCTACAATTGTATATTTTGTATCTTATGAACAGATAAAACTGCATTTAAAGGTAAACAGATAAATAAAAAATATATATTAGCCGGTAATTAAATATGTTGCCACTAAATTCATATTATTTTTACAGGATCAATATAATAGTAATGTTCAAAATAAAATTCATCAAGAGCTGCCTCTCTGGATTCCTGCTATTGCAGGAGGAACAGCAAGAATATGGGCTGCTTCTCTGGTGAGCCCTTTGGAGTTGATTAGAACAAAAATGCAGTCACAGAAATTAAGTTATTCGGGTAGGTTAATATTTTTCAAATTATCTTATATTTATTTGATAATTATAATGAAATAATTTCACTTAAAGAAATGGTGCAAGCTTTGAGAACTGTTGTAAAATATGGAGGAGTTGGAGGATTATGGATGGGTTTAAGTTCTACTTTATTACGTGATGTACCTTTTAGTGCAATTTACTGGTTTAGTTATGAAGGGCTGAAAAACAGATTTTCTGAATTGCAACAAAATTTTACTTTTAACTTTATCTCAGGAGCTGTAGCAGGTTCTGTAAGTAAATAAGTGTGAATTTTTAAATTTATGCATTTTAATTATAATAATCGCTATTTTTCTTATAGATAGCAGCTTTTGTAACTATTCCATTTGATGTAGTTAAAACTCATAGACAAATAGAAATGGGAGAAAAACAAATTTATTCAGGTAAACATTTGAATTAATTTTAATTATTAAGAATTTTTAGCATCCTATAATGAGTTTATTGAATGAAGGATTGTAAGGGTTTGCCAGGGTAATGTCAAACATTTAAATAAAATTTTACCCATCTAATCCTTATTCATTTGAATTAATACTAATGAATCGATAGAATACCAAAAAATAAATAATATGGCATATGAATGTACAAGGTTTTCATTTCCTTTATATATTTATGAATACAAATATATTGTAGATAAACCAAGACAATCTAGGAGTACATGGAGTACCATAAAAAAAATTTATTCTCAAAGTGGTTTGAAAGGATTATTCACAGGACTTACTCCAAGATTAGTTAAAGTTGCTCCAGCTTGTGCAATTATGATTTCTACTTTTGAACATGGGAATCGTTTCTTTCAGAATTATAATGCCAACAAATATTCTACAGGATTAAATAGTGATGTTCATTTGTTGAACCAAAAATAAATAAAAATATAAGTAGTTGCATATATGTCAAATAAAATTGTAAATAAGAAATGGGCAATCTTGATAAAATTTTTGTTGATTATTCCTGTTTTATTATAACAAAAATTGTTGCTATTTCCACATGCGAAAGATGCAGCTTTTAGTTTATTACATTTGTAAAAAATGCTTCTATAGGCTCTCAATAAAAGAACAAACTATTTTAATGTATATGTGATTTATTTATTCAAATTATAACAGCATAAACTTTTAGCATACTTGAAAGATTTTTTAAATTCTAATTTCCTTGAATTAAGCAATGTTCTATATTAATATGCATCATATTCTGGTGTTTTAAGATAGCATTCTTTCCTTTCCCCATTTTTGAATTGTCTATGACGCTCTTCTCTCATTTTTTGAACTCTTTGCTTTTGTTTACCATTAATAATGCATTCTTGCATGTCAGCAATGAAATCTCGGCATTTTTTCTGTCCATTAATGTATCCATAGGCCTCTAAACAATCAGCCATTCTCATTTCAAATGAAGCACATGTCTCATGCAGCTGAGCATCTACTCTGGGGAGAAGGTGCCCAGAAAAAGCTTTAATAGGAGCATCTAGTTGAAGCTGGTGAATAGACATCTTGAATATTCAATTTCTGTAAAAAAAAAAAACAAAAATAAAAATAGAGTGAAAACGCTTGTGTTACAGACAAAATATAGTTCATAAAGCTGTATTTTTATTTATTTCTGCTTTTTATCTGATATAAACAACTCTTTACTTCAAAAAATGGAAAAATTGTTTAATACATTAAACGTTCGTGTTTTTAACCTACATTGAATTGATTTAGTTAATCTTTTAACGCTGGTAATTTAATAATAAACCTGCTGTACTTGAGTAAATTTCAGAATTGAAGTAAGAAATAAGTAAAAACCAAATACCTCGATGACAATACGAATGTTAAGTTGTTGAGTTTAACGAATTATGTAGATATTATATAAATATGTTCGATCGTGGGATCGAATACAGATCAGACAGGCCACAGCTCACAACACAGCAGTAGAAGCACAGTCAACTCAAAAATGTCAGCCGTCTGCGCACGCATTCACTCAATATTCGCATATTAGCAGACTGCAATTTTCAAGAGCTCGTGAGTGGTGTTCCGCTGGCTTGACACTTTTGATTTTTATTCATAAAAATAAAAATTAAACATATTTTTTCAGTTGAGTATGGGATTGACGTTTAATTTATTACTTTGATTGTGGTTTTTTCTCTAATAAAAATTCAACATTTTTTTTTACAGATTTATATTCTTAGCTTGATATGGTCTGAAGAAAGTGTTTAAGATTAACCTTGTTTCATCTATTGAGATTATTATTCATTTGAATTACCAAAACTTATTGCCATGAATCCCTTTGTTACTCGATCGACATCGAATGTTTTTAGCTTTAGAACGTTAAAAAAAATTGTATCTAAATATTGTTACTCTACAACCTCTAAAGTAACAGAAGTTCCCAATGAATTAGAAGTAGAAGAAATACCTCAGTATGAAGTAGAAATCAAATTTACGGAGGAAGAAATTGAAAAAATGCGAAATGTGTCGGGATTGGCTCCTCAACATAGAAATATCATACATGATAAAAAGCCTTATAATAACGCTCCAGAAACCTACCACAATTCAGTTTGGTATAAAAAAAAACTTATCGGTAGATATGGATTAGAAGCAGCTGAAGTAAATCCTGCTATTTGTTGGCCAACTAAAGATGATATATTAGATTTGCAAGAGTATGAAAAAATTGAATATCCAGATAAACTTCAGGAATTATGGAAGAAATTTGAAAATGATAAAATTGAAGCTAAAGAAAAAATAAGAAAAAGGTAAACTTTTGTTATTACATTCAAAATTTATATCTTATTGAAACAATTTTTACAGGGAAGAAGAAATTGATAAAACTGTAGCTAATTTTGATAAGTGGCAAGCTGATTTGGAATCTAAAATCCAAGCAAAAGAAGCTGCTTTACTGCTATCTAAACAGCAAAGACAACGGGCCCTGGATGAAATGCGTGAGCAATATGGATACAGAATTGATCCCAATGATGAAAAGTTTAAGGAACTATTGGAAAAGAAAGAAAAGGAAGATAAGAAAAAGAAAAAGCTACTGAAAAAGCAACTGGCAAAAGAAAAAGTGTTGAAATTTTTACAAAAAAAAGAAGAAGAATCAAAAATGTCTAAAGAAACTGGATCTAATTCAAATGACAAGAAGGAAGATACGTTGAAATGATGAAAGCAATAAATCTATAGATAATAAGAAATCAGATCAATAAAATAAAATGTTGTATAGTTTGTTATGAATAAAAAAAAAAGTATCTACAAAAGAAAAGTTTTCTTTTGTTAAAATAGTAGTAAAATTTTCAAAATTATTTTGTAAGTATTTTGAATGAATTCCTTCATGAAAAATATAATTTCTCATTTGTTTAGCATGTTCCCTAATATTTATTTCTATAAGTACGTACATTCTGATAGTAATACTAGGTAAAAAGCACAATACACAGTTTTTTTCTTATAAAATAGAAATGTTTTTGTTTTTGATAAGAGTAACATTCATTTAACTAAAATTAAAACACTAGTGTAAAAGAAAATATAATTGGAAAAATGTCAATTCCTGACCATATTACGATGCTAACAGCTAATATAAAAAAGAGAGACTGGCCACGATTACACTCTGCGTAGACTAGGAAAGTCATGATTCTTATCAGTACACATACCCAGAGAAAAAGCCTACAATTAATATTGTTATGTTTTGTGGAAAAGTTGTTGCAGAGTCATTGAGTGCGGCGGTCTTGTTGTAGAATATAGTCGATACCAATTATACTTGATTACAAAAATGGTTAAAAGTATATAGTAAAAATGACTTTATTCTACAACAAAAAATCGGTACAGTTTGACTCTGAGACATTTGTATGCAGCAAACAGGAATTTTCGACCTTGTCTCGGTACGTGATACGAATTACACATTACAATATTAGGAGAATTCTAAGAATTATAATATAATTAAGACGGTCTTAAGAGATGGTAGTCGAGCTTAGGCGTACGAACTGGCCGCTGTGCGAATCGAAGCAGCGGGTGTCCGCGCGATCGCCTATGAGTAGGAAAAGTCACCGAGTAGCGATGAAAAAGAAGTAGCCGAGGGATCCGAGCAATAATGGGGTTGATCGGACGCCACGGCAGAGTCGTCGGCATTGGCTGGCTCATCAACAAGTATGACGTGAATATTTCCGACTTGTTGATGATCGCGATGCTGATGTCAGGCCGACTGGATCTGGGTCGACGAAGTAAACTCGTAGAATTGAAAGCTCAGCTCCTCGCCGAACAAATTGTCCGTAGAGACGACCTCGGACTCGCTCATATTCAGGCCCAAGGAGGACGGATTGAGGTCCGTGACGAGGTAGCCTCCACCCAGGAGGCCACACTCTTCGGCCACGACTTCCTTGGAAACCGGATTCAAAAAGTCTGGAAAAAATCGGTCGAGTTAGTTAATGAAAAATGACGTGCGAAACGGTAGGAATTACGTACCGGTCTCTTTCATCGAGACGATGGGGGGCTGCTCTTGCGTCAGGACGCTCGGCTGGCACTGTTGGCGTATTTGGCCGTTGGGAAGCGGCATCGGGACGAGGTACTGCACCTCGACTTCCTTTTTGATGCCACTGAGAATCTGCTCTGCGCAGTGCTCCAAGGAGACCGAGTCGATGATCGGCTCCTCCTCGACGGCTTGGGCGATGCTCGCCGTGGCGGCAGCGACCTCGTCGATGGGGCATCGAGTTTCCGGCCTCTCGTTCAAGTTGCGCCGTTTTGTACTAGAGGCGTTGCTGCGTTAAAAGGATCGAGAACGTATCAGAAGGCGTATGCTTTTGCGAGAAAAAAAAGGAAAAAGCAAAACTCACGACTCTGCTCTGATGTTGGCCTCTTCGTTGGCCAGAGCCTGCCTGATGGTGGCGATGTTGAAGAGCTGCCGAGGTTTCGACTCGTCCTGACTGGCGATCGCCCACAAATGGCCTGCGCCGTGGGGAGCTTTCGAGCCCTTGCGAAAGTGAGGATTTATCGACAGATTGTGCCGCACCGAATTTTTCCAGCGATCGTCGTTGCTCTTGTAGTAGGGAAAGTGTTCTCTGTAAAAGTGAATGTAAGCGTAATTATTTATACACATAAAACTTGCGCAAGCCAGCTACATACGGGAGAGTAAGGAGCAGCTTTGCCATCGCAATACGAAGAAAGGAGGGAAAAAATTGCAAATTGAGTCGAGAAGGGCTGGCAAGAGTAATTTGAGCTAGGGTGACCTTCCGCCGCGCGCCTCCATGCGATATATGCATACATGCATGTATATGCGACCGGATCACGCAGGGAGCTGTCGAATGGAGCTGCCACCCAAAGCTGGCTCCGGCTAAAGTTGGCGCGCACGAAAAAAGATGGCACGACGCGAGTATACCGGGGGCCAAGCTTTTCATTTATTTTCTTTGCTCGCTGCGCGACTCCTTTTCCACTGGCAAGGTTTATTTCGCGCGAAAAATCACGCGTCACCAAATTCGAGAAGAAATAAAAAATCTCGGACGGATTGAAAATCGACGCTCTGCAGAGGTAAACAAGGCCTTTTGTATATTTGTTTTGATAATAATGGAGTCGGCCAAGCTGGTCGATTCGAGGCATCGGGAGCATATCGGACGATTGCGGCCAACGCAGGGGTCGAAGGACAAGATAGCTGTTGCGATGAGGCGAAGCGTGCGAATCGCCAGCGACGTACGAAAAAGCTCACCCACACACCTGCGCTCGCGATCGGCGTCACGCCACGTTAAACATCCTGTGCCGTAATTATTTCAGTATGTGGCCCTTTGCTCGCAGCGAGTCGCGTCCCTCTTTCTCAGTAAATTTGCAAACGAAAGCGATATGCACGACCCTCGAATCGACTTTGATCGGCTCGGCACGCGACTGACCTCCCCCCCTTCCTGACTCGGCTAAACGTTGCCGCTTACGCGCTTCACCGAGCACGACGGCGACGACGACGACGAGCGTGCCAAGCGTCATGCTGTATACGCGCCTTAGCTTCCGTCCTGCTCACCGAACTGCAGCTCGTATCCTATATTAGGACTAGTGCAGGCCGCGGCTGCAAACATCCAACTACTTCCAGCCGCGCATTATTATTCATCGATCAGCTCAAAGAGTCATTGGTCAATAAATCAAGGCAATATTATTTACCGAATGATTTATCGAGGAGCGATCGAAAAGGCCGACATTTTTGTCCATTGTTAATTTTTTCAGCTATAGCTCAGGCCGCAACCTGTGCCATTGCTCACGGCGATCGCGTGACAAAGAAGCTTAATTTCATCAAATCTGCGCGCCTGCATATTTACTCAATTAAAGCCATGTTGCAAGTGTACTTATCGCAACGTATTCGCGAACCATTTCTCCATTTTTCCAGGCGCGCATAAAGCTGTCAAAAGCTCGGCTTTCTGAAGGGAAAGGCAAAAGAAAGCCGAACAGAAGCTCGCCAATTGCGTAAACTGTCGAAAGAATCCAATTGTTCGCGATCGTGGTAGACTAAATAGCAGAGCCGAGGACGCAAGCGCGGAGCAAGAAAATGTCAATTCACGAGGCTGCACGGTTGGCCTCGATCTAGCGCACATGCCCGAGTAAAGACACGGCCTAAGCTTTTACTTTAACAAAGCTAAGAAGCTTTTTTTACTTATCCCAAGAGCGAGAGTCTCGTTGAAGAAGCAGCAGCGGGTGGAATAATTGGCGTAGCGAGAACAAGGCTTAGCAGTCACCGACGCCATTACGAGAGGGCTACGAGCGGGCTACGAGCGGGCTACGAACGGGGGGTTGCTTTGCCGAGACTTGGCAGGGGGTTGGCCAGTGACTCGTCGAATCGCAGCCCATCGGAGGCGGTACCAGTGCTTTTATCGTCGGCTCGAGCTCGCGACTCCCGCACGCGATTCCCTACTTTTTCACTTTTTTCCCTTTTTCCTTCCTCTTTTGTGCTTCTGGTGCAATCGCGATCCCAAACTCGTGCGCTAATCTTTGCCAATGAAATTTCATCGTCGATCCGATCGATTTCTCAAAGATGCGGAATCGCCTCATCGGCTAAAAGTTGACAAAGCTTCGTGTAAAACGACGAGCGACAACTCACGAGATCCACTGATAAATGGCCGAAACGGTGAGCTCGCCTCGCTCCTGCAAGGCGTGTTCGATGAGCTCGGTGTAGGTGAACGGAGGCTTTTTCGGGCCCGAACTACGATTTCGATTGTCCGCCGAGTTGCCGTAGTTGAGCTGGCTCTGATGCTGCTGCTGCTGCTGCTGCGAACTGACGAACGAAACGCTGTCGTATTGCAACGCAGCTTCGACGTTGTTATTGCACGTTTTCTTGCCAGTCGAGTCGGCAGCGAGCGAGTACGATTGGTTGCCCAAAGTCCTGCCACCGCCGATGTGAGCATTGAATCTTGCCGACGGCTTGCCTAGCAAACAAAACGCAATTATTACTTCTCTCTCGCGTTTCATCGATTTGACAGATCTCGATAAGTAAGTGAGGCGAACCTTGAGGATTCTTAGCGAAAGAGTCGGTCGTCCTGTGCTCCGGTGGATCGATAAACGAGTCGAGCTTAAAGTCCAGCAACCAGGACAAGTTGCCATTTTCTTGGTCCTCGTAATTGACCGAGGGAAAATTCGTCGTGGCCTGCTGATGCGTTTGAGCCACGAAATTGTTGGCCGGATTTCGCTGCAGCGTCTGTCTCGCGCTCTCCAGACATTTTGACATGGTCTTTGCTCTGCTCTCGGGCTGCGTTAACGTTAGCGCGCTCGATTGGCGCTCTTGCGTCGCTTCGTGCTGACTTTCTTCTGTATGCTGCTGCTGCTGCTGCTGCTGCTCGTGCAAATGTTCCACTGGCTCGACCGAAGTCCAGTAGGAATTTTCAAAGTCGACGTTATGTAAGCTCTGAACGTCGTGTCGCTCGTTCTGGGATTCCGTGAGAGATTGCGGCCCCGCTGTAGAGATGCAACGGTTAGTTTCGAAAATTGCGTTCATGCAGGTGCAAGGTGCACGAATGAGGAAAATGTAAAAAGTGTGCCGATGATAGGTAAATTGCCAAGTCGTTGAGTCGCGGTTAGAAAGACAAACAAACATCGGGCTCGCGTGCCTCGAGAGTCGTCACTCGTCGCCCGCTAATCCTTGAACGTTAAACAATGAAGAAATACTTGAAAATCGTTCGAGGCCAAAAAGCGGAGCTTAATTCGAAAAATTGACTCGCGATCTGTTGGAGATTTAGGCCCTTTTGAAGCGATGCCAGTGCAAGAGTGCGCGATAAAGAGGATAACAAGAGTCACCTGCTTGCAAGCTCTCGAGTGCCTCGTCCCACGTTCCATCGACGACGAGGACCTCCAACCTAGTCAAGGATAACTCGTCGTCGATGCCCTGTTCTTGCTGTTGATTGTTCTCGCTGTCGTTGAAGTAAATCGCGGCTCCGCTCAATTCCAGTACCGTTGCGGGATCGTGTTCGAGTAAAAATGACGCTGATTCGGGATCGTAGTGGTTTTCATGCTGCTGCTGCTGTTGTTGTTGTTGTTGCTGTTGCTGTTGCTGTTGCTGAAGTCGAAGTCTCTTGTGCTGCTGTCGATGATGATGGTGTGGATGAAGACCGGTGCAAACCTCGCCGCAGAGCTTGTCGATGTCGAGCTCGTCGAGTATGCGGCGCTTCTGTTGCAGATGCTGCTCGATGTCGTCGGCCGACGGGGCTTGCGACGTCTGCTCGTTGCCCGACGATGGCCCGATCATGGCGAAACTGCTCTCTTCCTTTCCCGATTCTTTTCTTCTTCTTCTTTTCTCCTCGCGCTGCACTTGCGCCGACTTTGTTTGGCTCGACGAGGATCGCGAACGGATTGCGACTCGACGCACACACGCGTATCGGGCGTCGCGATCGGCAAAAGAGGTGCTTTCTTCAAAACAATTGCGAGTCGCGCTTGCACGCCGTAAGCGTGAATTTAGCCGCACTCGGGGCCTCCCGTCGCGCACTCATTTGACACAAATTCGATCGAACGTTCGTCACTTTGACTCACTCTGCTGCACTCTCTGCAGCCAATCTCCAAACTCGTGCTCTTTGCTTAAAGCTCGCTGCTTATCTTCGGGCCGGAGTAGTTGCGACGCACTCCTTCGCATCGGCTAGCAAAGCTCGGGATCGATAAGCTTCGGCGCGCGGCCTCCCTCGACATTGCCGAGATCCTTGGATATTCGCGAGATCTGTCATGGCCAATGCCCCAAATACGCGTCCAAATCGTCGCTATTCGGCTCTTCCTCTTGCCTCTCCGAAGCAACGAGCCGATTGACTGACGAGGCAAAAATAGCGAGCCTGTACGCCTGTACAAGCTCCGCGCGATATATTTGCCCCTTCGGCTTGGCCTTATATTGGCCTGATCGCGGTGCAGCAACTACTTAGCCCTTCTATGCTGTGGGGGGGGCGAGCTTGAATTTGCGGCGGCGGCACCAGCAGCGGCAGATGCGCGCGCGACCAAAGAGACCAACCCTTCGGGCGCACCAAACCTGCCCCTCTGAGAGCCAAACGCACTTACGTGCAGCGATGCCTCGCTCGCAAATGCGCCATGAGCTTCTCGTGTCGCTACGTCACTCCGCTCGTCCCTACGTACGCAAAATACGTAAATTAACTCACAGAACCTCGATCGACTGCCTTTTTTCTCGCTCTTTGTTTACCTAGCTAAAAAATTCGATTCTTTTTCAACTTTCGCCTTTTCGAGGTTTTTTTAATTCTCTACTACGACAGTTTTCTTTTACTTCTTGAATTATTGCCCATTTACAATCTACTGGCGTTAATTTATGATTTTATGAAAAATTTTTAAGAGACTCAAGAGGAAAGCTCCGAGTAAATCGAAAATTTTCAAGTGTACATTCAAAGTCTATAGTGCGACTTGGAAAATATTGTTCAAATTGCATCTCCGATTTTTTGTTTTATGATAAAATTGCATCGTTAATACCTCGAAGTGTATCTAAAATTTTATTACTTCTACAACTATTCCAAGGAACTCATCGCAAAAGGGGATCATTTTTTACTATCTTAATTTTTTTTTCAATTCTTGTAACGGATTGGTATATTATACAAATTACATCATAACATTCAATACGTATTTTTGTCTCAATGAAAATTGTTAACTTTCTAGTGGCAAAGAAAAAAATATCGTACAGCATTTTAGTAGCGTCAACAAAGTACACAGAGAAAAAATATACGCGATTGAGGGGGGACCTGTAGTAAGCGAAAATCGCTGGAACGCTTGCCTGGCTCAATCGCTGGCTGTCCGGCGATGATCGTCGGAGCCTCCACGCTAGGAGGTGCGAGCGGCCAAAGCAACGCTACAGTCTCCGACGATCATCGCCGGACAGCCAGCGATTGAGCCAGGCAAGCGTTCCAGCGATTTTCGCTTACTACAGGTCCCCCCTCAATCGCGTATATTTTCTCTCCGTGTAGCCATACTAAAATGATGTTTTGTTTTACCAACTAAGAATTTCATAATTTACACTACGATATTTTTTCCGTGTAATTTGTCCGAGGAACTTTGAAGCATTCTTTGATTTTATTTAAAAAGGATTAATTTTTCGCAATAACAATTTTTTATTGTGAACAAAATTTTCAACAAATAAAAAGTATTTTTGGATTTTTTCTCTTTTTAGGAATTTACGTTGAATATTTCCAAAGTAGTCAAGTTATATTCGGAAGTGGGAATTCGCAATGAAAATTAGTTACACTTGAATCATTAAATCATTTATGATTCAATCATCACTCATTCAAAATCATCTGTATTTTAATTATAATGCGATATGTATGTATTAACTTTTTATTGAGATTCAATTTTTGTACTATTTGTAATCTAAAATATCACGCTTAAAGAAGCTACTTCATCCTTTTTGAAAATGACGTTTCTCTCAGAGTGTTTTATTATCTTTACAAAAATTTATGAACTTTTAAAAATTGTTATAACTTTATGCAAAAGGTTTTTTTTCAGACTTGAATAAAAGTTCATTAAAGTTTAAAAAAACTCTTATATAAATCCAAAATGCAAGTTTTTGTTTAAAGTTATAAAAGTTTTTGAAATTTTATAAAATTTATACGCAAATTGGATTTTGGTTATATAAAAATAAATTTGAATAATAATAATTGAATGAAAATTATACGTCTAATATAACAATTTACAAAATACGCGCAATAGTCTGTCCTGTGAGTTTGCAATGTTACTATTGTAACACTTGCTCGTTTATTTTCCTGACCAAATCACGTAAACAAAATTGACATAAACTAATCGTTTTATTTTGATATTTTGATTCTTATCTCAATCTTAAATGTGTTTATTTTCTTTTATCAGTTATCACTGACACCTACATACTATCTAGTATATCTATCTACTAACTTAGATCTGTGCACTATTGCATCTGCGCAGCGGTCGATTATGAACGCGCACGAGTTTGTTTTGACCTCCCTCCCCGAACGGTCTGTAGTCTGCCTTGACAGAACTGTCGACACTCCATACTCTCATTGCAAAAGCTGACTTCGCTGTCTCAACGACTTAGCCGAGCATCGACGGCTGTATGCATTTCCCAAGTAACAGAACTACGTAGGCATGCATCGCACTTGTGTTGTTACCTACACCTCGTAGCAGACAAAGACACTCGTTTAGAGCAAATTTATCCAACTCGCACGTTTCATGTACTGCAGCTGTCAGAGTTGACTTCGCCATAAACAGCCTACAAAACGATACTCGCTCATACTGACGCAGTAAAATGTGACGCAGGTTTTTTCCTACTGGCCAATGCATTCTACGATAATTCGGTAAACATTAAAGCAACCCGATCGATTCTTCCTTTGAGCCTCCAACTATGTCTGGAAAAAGAGGCATTCTCAGTCTGCGTTTCAATCAGGATCAAGGTGATTAATAAGACTATTGTTTGATTTTTTGCGCATTTTTTTTCTCAAACGACCATTTCTGATTGAATAGAAAACAAAATTTCAAATGTACTGCTTTTTCCTTAATCACTAATTATTAAAAAAAACTGATTAAAGTTTCATTATGAAAGTTGTTGGATGATTATGTATTTTTACAGGATGTTTTACATGTTGTATGGAATCAGGTCTTAGAATTTATAATGTAGAGCCTTTAGTTGAAAAAGCTCATTTTGAGAATGACCTGATGGGCAGTATTGCCATAGGGGAAATGTTATGGAGGAGTAATATAATAGCAATTGTTGGTGGTGGTACAAGGCCAAAATTTGCAGATAATACGGTGCTAATTTATGATGATTTAACAAAAAAATTTGTAATGGAAATTACTTTCACAAGTCCTATAAAAGCTCTAAGGCTGCGAAAAGACAAGTAAATTCGTTATACTGTTCATTGTAAATAATAATAGTGTTCATTATTTAAAATTTTATAATTCCACAGATTAATAGTTGCTCTTCAAAAAGAAATTCATGTTTTTTCATTCCCTCTACCAACACGTAGATTGGTAACATTAGAAACTAGAGATAATCCGAAAGGACTTGTAGAAGTTGCAACCCTTGCTACAGCACATAAGCAATTGCTTGCTTATCCTGGTCATAAACCTGGCAGTGTGCAACTAGTTGATTTAGGAGCAACAGAAGCTGGTACATCTAGTGCTCCAGCTACTTTGGCAGCTCATCAGGTAATACATTTTTAACAATATTATTCATGTTGTGAAAATGACCATGTTAATTGTTAAACATTTAATGTTTGCAGGGAACTTTAGCATGTTTAGCTGTAAATGATAATGGGACAAAATTAGCAACAGCATCTGAACAAGGTACACTTATCAGAGTTTGGGATAGCATTCGCAGACAATTATTAGTTGAGCTTCGTAGAGGTGCAGATCCTGCTACCTTGTATTGGTAAGGCATTTAAAATACGACTAACACTCATATAATTTAACATAATGCTAGGAAAGATTATTTGTTTTTAGTATAACTTTTAGTCGAGACTCAGAATTCTTATGTGTATCAAGTGATAAAGGAACTGTTCATATTTTTGCTCTGAAAGATACACGCCTAAATAGAAGATCAACGTAAGTTACTGTATTGATTTTATAAAATTTGTGTATTAAATATAATCTCGAACGATTATACATTTTTCAAGCTTTTCACACATGGGCTTTTTGGGCAATTACATGGAAAGTCAGTGGGCTCTTGCAACTTTTACAGTACCTCCAGAATGTGCTTGTGTTTGTGCTTTTGGAAGTAAGAGTTCAGTCATAGGTAAGTTAAGTTTTTATTGATAATTTTCCGTTAGCAAAAATTATAAATTAATAAATTGTTTGCTTATTTGTCTAGCTGTTTGTATGGATGGAACATTTCACAAATATGTTTTCACAGGAGATGGGAACTGCAATCGTGAAGCATTTGATGTTTTTTTAGATGTGTGTGATGATGATAATGAATTTTAAATGTATGTTTTTTATATAAGGCAAACAATGCACTATACTGTACATATTGTATAATAATGTACAGTTTAATTAAATTACAACTATTTATTTTGTTTTTTACTTGCAATACAATTTTGCATTATGCAATAAAAATTTATAAAAATAATTTAAAAATCTATTATTTTGATCATTCTTCATCGTCTACTTCAATTTTATGTTGTCCTTTTTGGTAATTTTGGAACCACCTGTTCTCTCATTTGTTCTAAAAATTGAAAACAAGTATAAACATTTTTAAAGAAATATACTTTAACAGTCAAGTAAAATTATATTTACTATAAGGTTCTGGATTTAGCATAGGTTGAATAGCTGTAAAATATAAAGTTCCACCAACTGCAGCAATCATACCAGCAAAAAGAGCTCCGAATCTCCAACCCTTTAGTCGTGCTCTAGCCATTTATATTAGCGCAGATCGTTTATCAATTTCTGAAATTTATCGAAGGCTTTAACACAATTGAACCTACACAATCAGTCAAAATTGAGGAAATATTTTCAAAAGCAATTGAATAAACTACAACTGCATATGCAGATTTTTTTAATCAATTTCATATAAGATGGTCTAGCTCTTGTACCAATTTCATGCCATGAAGCGCAATGTTATTACATGTTTCATGAAAGCAAGTTCCTAGCAGACTACAAACGTGGGCACTTGCTAAATTCGTTTTCTTGAAAGAAATTCTGCGCAGTAAACATAACCACTATTGAGTTCAGTTGGTTTGGTTGTTCAAATGTATACATAGTAAATGACAGACTGTCAAAGCAACATACAGTGATCCGGTGTTTGAACATTTTACAAAATGTCATAACAATAATACTAAAAAAGGAGAATTTGGAATTTTTTACACTTAAAATTAATTATTTATTTCAAAATTTCAATGAAAAGCAGTTCGAGTACGAATTTCCTTCTCCAAGTTGCAATGAACAATCAAGTGGTTTATTTTGCTCTCGCCGGTGTATTGAGATTGCTGCTAATGAACTCAGACTATCAGAGTGTTATAGCAGATAGAGTTGAGGTGTCAACAGCCTTGAATTCTTGGAAACGAGGTAAGCTTAATATTAATGCAGTAATTTTATTTTTGTCTAATATAAATTCTTCCTTTTGTAGTTACAGAAGGTGTACATCTTTACAGCATTGGTGTTGATCCTTATAGTGGAGATTTGTTTCATGAAACTCCTTTAGGCCTAATAGTATTTGGTTTTATTCAAAAACATTTTTCTAGATATGCATTATGGATACTTTTCATTATGACTGATCTAACAACTGCCTTGTTTTTGGGTATTACTGCCAGTTATTATATTAAAGAATCAGTATGAAAGTTTTTTATACATTTCTTAGAATAGAAAACTATTTGTTCATTGTTTTCTTAATGAACATTTTCTTTCTTTTCAGATTGCTCGAGATAAGGAAGAAAAAGCTTGTCGAAATTCTAAATCTCAAAATAGCGAGGAAAAAAGTTCTTCAATAACGAGTCCAAGCAGTTCTTCAATTTTTTATGTGTCTGCTGCTTATTTATTCAATCCTTATGTTGTTATAAATTGTATTGGATTAACAACTACTGTTTTCACAAACTTTCTCATATCAGTAACATTGCTGTCCATGATCAAACGATCTGTATGGCTGTTTTGTTTTAATATTGCACTACTCACACTGCAAGGTCTATATCCTGTATGCTTAATTGTTCCTGCAGTAATTTATACCATCAAAAATTCCAAAGTAAATGAGACACATCAAGAAGTAGTAAAAATATTAGGCATCTTCTTTACATTCGTTATAACCTTGTTTACGATTTCATACTATATTATGGGAAGTTTTTCTTTTGTAAAAAGTACACTTGGTTTTATTTTATTTGTACCTGATTTAAGACCCAATATTGGCCTTTACTGGTACTTTTTTACTGAAATGTTTGAGCATTTCCGTTCTCTATTCATTGCATCTTTTCAAATAAATGTTGGCTTGTTATTTATAGTTCCCTTAGCTTTAAGACTGCGCAAAGATCCTATGCTATTAGCTTTTTCATATTTAGCAATTGATGCTATTTTCAAATCCTATCCATGCATCGGAGATGTTGGGTTTTATCTTAGTCTTCTACCATTGTGGAGACACTTATTCAGACGTAAGTAACTTATTATTTGATAAATTTTAATTATATTAAGACTTTAAAAATGGTATTTTGATTTTTAGATATGCAGCAAGGTTTTATAGTTGGATGCTTTATATTATTTTGTACTGTATTTGCACCAACTGTCTGGCATCAGTGGATATATTCTAGATCAGCAAACGCAAATTTCTACTTTGGGGTGACATTGGCATTTGCAATAGCACAAATTTTTTTGCTAACAGATATTTTATTTGCAAATGTAAAACGTGAATTTGCTCTTCGACATGGAGTACCTAATCAAGTGAATGGTAGTAAAGCAAAACTTTTACTTGAGTGAAATTATGTTAATGATAATTATTGGAAATTTCTTCAAAGTAAATAAATTTTATACTAAAACATTATGACAAATCATTTCTTCCTTTGCCATTTTTTGTATAGCTTTTCAAAATAAAACAGACATACCTACGGAAAAGTTTCCTAATAAATGTATGTAACTTGTAACTATAATATTTTTACTTAATTTCAATAGATTTGAAAATAAGATACTCTTATAACTAAGAATGAGCAGTAAAAACTTTAATGTTTAAATTAAACAACATTTTTTATATAAATTATCATCATTAAAACATTCAACAATAAAATATTTATTCTGAATAACAGTTTTTTTTAATACTTAATCATAGTATATACTAAAATATTAAATATTTAGTATCACAATAATTTTTGAATTAAGGAATTCACTTTTTAGAGTCATAGAAGTTTAAAATACTTCAGGCTTAAAAGATTTTTATACAGATAGATCGATCTCAGTTTATTTTATTGTCTTTTTTGTCTTTTTTTTGGCATTTTTAGACTTCTTTTGTGTTTCATTTATCTTGGGAACAATATAATCTGCAAGAATGCTCTGAGGTTTTAAATTACTTTGAGAGTAACTAGTACTAGGGTAATTATTTTGTCTCTGCAAGTTTGCAGTGGGCTTTGAATCTTCTATAATGCCATCATCTGCAAAAGTCATAAAAAATGTGTAAATCAAAATGCAAAAAACTAAAATGTTATACTATGTTCTAGATATTATTACCTAAATTAATAATTGCTAAATCATCATTCAATATTGATTGCACATTTTCTTCTGTTTTGTTAATATTTAAATCCCTTAATTTTTGAGTGAGGCTTTCTCTTTTTTTGAAAAATGGAATCCCAACATATGCACCATTGGTCATACAATAATCAATAAAATGATACCAATATTCGTCCATTTGCAAAACATTAGGATTTCCAATAACTATTAAAAGACACTTAGCTCTTGTAATTGCCACATTGAATCTTTTTGGATGTGACAAGAATCCAAGATGGTGCTTATTGTCATGAAAAAACGATTGGCTTCTTACAGTTGAAACAATTATAACATTTCTTTCTTCACCTTGAAACAACTCAACAGTCCCTACATTAATTTTATTGAAACCACAGGAGCTTAAAGCTTGGTTTATCATCATACGCTGGGCAGTAAAAGGAGTAACAATTCCAATATCAGCTTCAGTCATTTTCTTATTTTGAAATGATTGTTCCATAACAATCTTTACATAATCAATTACTGCCTTAATTTCAGGTTTATTATAGAGACTAAAAAATAAATATTGAATTATTGTTTTAATCATTGATAATCTTTAGATGATGACATTAAAAACGCAGAGTTATTTTAGCTATTATTCTTCATTCACTTTTATTTTTAATGCCAATACATTTAATTTACCTGGGAGTTTTATTATCTCTTATTTCCTTTCCATCTATACCACAAAATAAAAGTGGAAAATTTGGAGATACTAAATTCTTAAGTCTTCCAGTAATTTTTATTTCAGCATCAGCATGAGCCTTCAATTCATTATCATAAAACAATTTGTTAGACACTTCGATAATAGCAGGGTGGCTTCTATAATTGTGTATTAATTTACTAATGTAGCGAGGATTATATTGATTATGTTCATTTTTCTTATACGGTTCAGATTCCATAAGCCTCTCCATCATAGATTTTCCTAAAAAATAGGAACACAGTTTGTATTAAAATAAAGAATATAACTTAGAATATGTTGAACATTATAAAATAATTGTATTATATTCTAACCAAGTATAGGTGCAGCTAACTTTGACCTTATTCCAGGACCTAATTGTTTGGGATCTCCAGCCAGTATTAACTGACTATGGAATGTGCCAAATCTTCCTTCTTTCATACTACCTGCCAAATTAATTGGCTGTAAAGTTTCAGGTTCAGTTGCTTGTCCTGCCTCGTCTATGAAAATATAACTAAAATGTTTTTCCTTCAATCCTAAAAATATTAATCTGGAAAACGTTTTATTATTAGAACGATTTAAAATGTTTTTCCATCGTCATAAATATATTATTGATCTAAATATCAAACCTAGTAGCTGCACATAAAGTACAAATGACTATTCTTTTCTCAAGAACTGTTTTCTTCGGTAACATGAGTATAGTTCCATCCACAGAGTTTGAGCACTCCATGATTGTATCATCAATTGGTGACCTTCAAACAGTACAATCAATTATTATTCATATTGTGTAAGTAAATATGTTTTTGATTCAAGTTTCTTAGTTTCATTACCCCTCCTTTGAAAAACTATACATTCTATAAATGTCTTTATCTAATGTTGGTATATATTCTAATATCCTTTTTGTAATTACATCTGCAGCAGTGTTGGATGGAGTGCAAACAAGAATTTTATCTTCTTTATACATGCATATCTTTAACCAAATAAAAAGTTATGAAAACTTAGTTAATATTAAACTATTTGAACAAATAATTTTTCAAGGATATTATTATTATTTACCTGACAAATGGCTTCAACCAAAGTTGAAGTCTTGCCAGTTCCTGGAGGTCCCCATAAAATATAGGGAGCTGGCGCACAAGATTTTTCACAAATATTCAAAATTGCTTGCTTCTGCTCCGGATTATTTAATATATTTTCATTGAAGCAAAATTCACTATAAAAATGTTTTTTTCATTATATTTTATTCTTTAGTAAAAATAAAAACGTTGAAACTTACATGTTATTCTGTTTAGAAATTATACTTCTTTTCACAGGAAACAAAATCGAAGTCAATCCAAATGATTCAGTTAATAACAAAGCGTAATGACAACATCGATCCGTATAGTTGAAATAATGAAACTTGACAGTGTACTTTTCTTCTTTTTTATAAACTTGAAAAAAACTAAAAAAATATCATTTTAAAAATTGTTCATTTCTGACATCTGAGAAATTCCATCATAATTTGTTTACCCCTTATTATCTCTGATAACAATATGATCACTTCTTACGTATAACACACAAAATTTAAAATTGTTTTTCTTCTCATTACAAATAGTGACAAAATCACCTGGTCTTACAGAAGGTCTTTCTTCTGCTAAATCACTTATATAAATTCTGTAATAAATATCATTGTGTTGATGGAACATTTCCAGAGGTATATTTTTTCTATCATATTGTTTCATTTCTATTTCTTGCTGAATTTCCTCAATATATAATAAAACTTTCATAATTTTTAATATACTTTTTTCATCAACTTTTAAGTTGGCATGATTTTTTAATTTTTGAATTAGTTTCATATATGCTAAACCTTGAGGAGTAATTTGAACAAGAGGTTTTCCATCTGCCATATAAACTGCTCTCAAATCTTTGGGAATTTCATAGTCAGGTAAACAAACATTTGGTGCTGCTGAAGGTTTAAAGTTTGATCTTTTGTTTCTAAAAATAATAAAATATATAAAAACTCTAAATATCAATAAATTTATTATAAGAATTTCAGTTGATGAAAGAAACTCACTCAGATGGATTGCAGGTACTATTCCTTCTATGATTGCCATTAAGCAAAAAATTGAAATGATTGCTAGCCATTTTTTACTAAAAAATATAAATAGAACAGTTGTATTAAAATATTGGTGTTCAGTCGTTAAGTAAAAAGAAGTACTTTATGAACACGATAACTATGAAGTTATTATAATTATAAAATGTGTTTTATATATATTTCATGATGTGTGAGAGAAACATAAGTGTACAGTAAAATGTACAGTAAAAGTGAGTAATTTTTCACAATTAATGATTGAAAATAGATGCGTAAAAACGGAAAACGTATTACTCATCAAGCGTTAGGTACATTTAACGAAATATAATGCTCTCGTTATCTGCATCCAATTCACAATTGGCCACAGTACTACTATTAAAAGTACAGGCCAAACTTTTTATAGGTCAATCCACGCGTTATTTTTGACAATTGTTAATACCTTATGAGCATGACTATATAAGCTAAGCACTAATAATCGTTTTCGATGTATTGTTATTATAGCAGACTAAACCTGCATGTATTACCAACAGCTGCTTTTCACCATCACGATACCCGCGCGCGAAAAGTTTCTCTGATCCAAAATTCGAGGCAGCAGGAAATGTTGATATAAGTAATAATGCAATTGACTCCCCTCAAGCACACTCAAATTGTTTACCAAAGTTATTAAACGTGAACATGTAAATGGAGCAGTTGCTTACATTGTCGAGAAAGAAATTGAAAAGCAATCCTCATACAAGAGACTTGTTCTGTCAACCATATACGTACGGGTTAGCGCAGTAAAGAATACTGAGTCAGCTAGCATTGGCGAAGCGCTGACTAAGCTTACTCGTGAGTGCCTGCGGCTTGCCGAGGGATTCCCAATCTCGATATCGTAATGAAACACTTTTTGAGCCTCTAATCAATTGACTTATTCCGTATATAATGGGATAGTAATCAACCGCAGAGTTCAGTGAGGGACGACGTTTACCTTACGTAAATTTCTCTCTCATTTTTATATATTATGGCTATTTTCTTGAAATTTAAATTTTATGATTTATAATTTTTTTTTTTTTATGATTTTTTTAAAACCTGAGAAGTTGACCATCAACTACAACATCCTCAAATGAATAATCTATACATTTTATAAAACAATGATATATATTAGTTCATTGTGGTCGTAAACTGTGTGAATTTATGTAAGCGTATTGTAATTAAGGAAATAAATGATACTTATTCAGTTGATGGTTAATTTAATAATAATTTGTTTTCAAATACCATGATGGGCAGCAAGTATAACCCACACATTTTGCAAAAATCGTTTTTTGATCAAATTCAGGTTTAAATATTAGGTAAAAAAATTAAAATTACTTTTTACCTAATAATCATCGAGGCTGCAAATTTCATTCATAATATCACAAGACATTATGAAAAGTAACTTTTAAATATGAATAAATCATGCTTTAAACTTAATTATTTTATTAATAAAATTATTGCATTCAAAGAAAAACTATGGAAAGGTCCAGGAAAATTTATCGCCGGCGCTTATGAAAAATAATACATCACATTGAAATGCATTGAAAAAAGGCTCACCTCAACGAAACGACGTGAAGAGAAAAACTCATCTCATCGAATCACGATTTAACGAATCACATTGAAAATATCATGGTGTTTCAAAGACGTGGATTTTTCTTCGCGTCATTTTACAAATAGGTTTATTAGCTGTTTTTTTCACAAGACCCGAAGATATTTTGAACTACATATGTCAGTTTGTGGTGCACCTTGAATAATTCTTATTCCAGGAGATTTAAACACAATAATTGATAACAGATCACTGGGACGATAATCGATCTGCAGAGTCTGATTAAACTTTGAAGCCTCGAGTAAATCATTGATACTTAAATGGATATAAAGAATATTTAAAACGTATAATATAACACTTTTGTAACTTGATACAAGTCTTAATACTTAGAATGAAAGTCAGCCCGTATATATACTTATGCACGTAAATATTCATATCAAATTCTTATACTCGATTGTGTAGAAATTAATATGCAACCAACGTAAAATATTCGACTAATCAAATTCGATGTACTGAGATATGGAGGCTCAATTAAATTCTTCAACTCAATGTTTTGGTTTTAATATTTTAAATAACTTGGACATGCTTTGTTAATTATTTTTATTTTCTATAAAACACGATACACTGGAAAATATAGTATCTTAACGGATCGAATATCTGAAACATCACTTATAAATCGCCATATAAGTATTTTAAAGAAATAACTCATTATTCTGCTAAAATCGATGTAACAATCGTGAATTCTTCACATACATTTTTATCTAATTGCTTAGACATCTAAAGCAAGACCAAGTATTCTATCCCTAAGTCTTCAAAAAACCCAATGTTTAACAAGGAAATTTTTTTCAGAACTAGGACGAAGACATTGAATCTATTTAAAAAAATATGCCAAAAATAATTCATTATTGCATCAGCATAAACAATGAGCTACGTATATGAAATGACATAAGTTAACTCTCAGTTGTCAACTGTTAAAAATTATTTAAAAGACGTACATGATAAATCGATGATTTCTACATTCTGCAGATCTTTCATGAACGTTTTCGAATGAAGAATTTCTATAAAAACGTCACTGGTTCGTTTTTGTGAAAGTAACGATGCAGATTAATGGAATGGCATACACACGATTAGAAAAAAGTTGTGCATACAGGTAATCATTAATGTCTGTTCATTCATAAAATTTTGATTCACAATTCGCTGAAAAGCTCACAAAATGCAACACTGTCGTTCTGTATAATACTTTCCGTTGAAGAGATATTTGTTTCTGGTCGACCGTACAATTCCGTCGTCTGTAAAAGATATTGAAAAAGATTATGAAAAATTGTACGTAATTTGATGAATTTCATCGTAACAGACGTATGTTATATTCATAAAAAAATGGTGCATGATCATGGAGAAGTCATGCATTTTTTTAAAGCAATAGATATATATTTGTGCGTTAGGCATTTAAACACTTACGAATTTTGACGATATCGAGATTTTCGTCGAACAAATCGCTCGAAAGAACTTGAGTCGTTTCAGGTTTTTCATTGATCAAGACATTGTTATTTTGATCCTTTGCATGGGCAATTGTAACGTTCTTGGTATCGTCAAAGTTATGCTTGTTTGGAAAATCGCTACGTTTGTCGTCGTCGTTGTTATTTTGGTCAACAGGCTTTTGGTTGTCGAGGTGGTTTTTCGTTGAAGAATAATCAGAGGTTTCACCGCAAAGGCCACGATTTTCGTCGACGTAAAGGATGAAGCGGCGCCAATCAGGATGAACAGCCAAAACTGCGGGATTGCCGATAACAACGAGGGCACTTTTTGCGCGTGTAATGGCTACATTGAAGCGCCGCGGGTTGGAGAGAAAACCAATGTGGTCGCCATCGGTCGCGTGAAATACACGACTGCGCACAGTCGATATGATAACGACGTCCTTCTCTTGGCCTTGAAATATCTCGACGGTACCGACGGCGAGGTCGGCCAAGTCGGGACTTTGCTTCAATGCCGTTTGAATTCGGTTACTCTGCGCGGAGAAAGGCGTAATGACTCCGATATCCGCGGCGGCGATGAGTTTGGAGCCGATTCGCTTGCCGATCATGCTGCTGGCGCATCGGACGACGCACTCGATCTCCCGGTCGTTGTAGGGGCTGGTCGAGTTGGGCTCCGTCTGCTCCCTACCCAAGACCGCGTGGAAGGCTATGGGGAAATCTTGGGGGAATATCGAGTCGGCCTCGATGGCGCCGTAATCGCCGCAAGCGACGAGCTCGTTGTCGTAGTAGAGCTCGTTCGGTATCTTGATGATGTCCGGGTGGCTGCGGTAGTTGCGCACGAGCTTGGTGATGTAGCGGGGGTCGTAGGTGTCATGGAGCTGCTGCTGCTGCTGCTGCTGCTGCTTCGCGTACGGCTCCATACTCATGAGGCGGTCCATCATGGACCGGCCGAGAATCGGCTGGGCGTACTTGGAGCGGATGCTGGGCCCGAGCTGGCGCGGGTCGCCCGACAGCACGATCTGGCACTTGCCGTTCGAGTGCAAATTCGCCACGTTCAAGGCGATCATGCACTCGGTCTCGGTCGCTTGGCCGGCCTCGTCTATGAACACGTAGCCGTACTGCGCGTTCAAGTTCATCAGCAGTAATCTGCAGCAATATTGACAACGTGCTTAACAGCATATATCGTGCATTAATTAGCGAATCATACGCACTTTACACTGGTGCAGAGCGTCGTAACGACGATCCTCTTCTTGACTAGAGCTCGCTTGTCGATGGACGTCACGTGGCCGCGCTTGTCGCAATTCGAGCACTTTTTCATGGACTCGTCGATGAGGCAGCTGGGCCTCGACTTGCTGTAGATCCGGTCGATCCACGCCGCGGGAATGTAGTCGAGTAGTCGCTTGGCGATCACGTCGCCGGCCGCATTCGACGGGGCGCAGATCAGCACGTTTTCTTGGCTCTTGTGGCAGATCTGGCTGATGGCCTCGACCAGTGTCAGGGTTTTGCCTGTACCTGGCGGACCATAGATCAGGTACGCCGCTGGGTAGGCCGATTTATCCAAGATGTGATTCACCGCGTCTCGTTGCTCCCGATTGCTCCGAGCCGCTTCGTTGAACCACCTATCCCTGACATCGAAAATTCACCGATTAATGCCTGATACCAAGAGCCATTTACTCGCTACAGCCGATTCCTTACGGCTTTTTCGACTCACGCCTTGAGCTGCTCGCAATTCCTCGCTGTATCTCTTTTGATGGGAAACAAAACGTTCGACAGTTGAATGGGATTAATCAGAGAAATTGCGTAATGACTACACCTGAACGTATAGGTATTGGGTTTGAAACGAATGTTGTATCGATTCGAGTGCTGATAGCTATCGCAAAATCTGCAAATAAAAAATTTCAAAGTATTACTTTCGCATCGATTCTATACTAGCTTGATACACTTACTCTGGATAGCCAAGAATAGTTAGTCTATCATCTTTCACGCTCTTTATTTTCAGCACGAATTTCTTCTTCGTGAAATCCTTACTGTTAAAAACCTCTATTAGATTAATTGATTTGTGTACAGGATGATCTTTATCCTGTTGCAAATTTTCAATCACTAAAGTGTATTCTTTAGAATTCGTTCTCGATCTCACGATAGATTGATTATGCAGACTATACTTTTTCATACTTTTCACGTATTCGTATTCTTCCAAATACAGTGCTAGCTTGAGAAATTGTTGGTAATGGCTTTTTGACAAACTCAATGATTTTATTTTCGTCAATATTGACAGTATACTTTGATACTGCTCCCCGCGCTCTGTTATTCCTGGATACAGCTGTAAGTTGGCCGTGAGAATTGACTTTAAATCGGACGGTATCCAGTACTCTGGTAAACTGAATGCTTTTTGCCCCGACACTGGTTCAAAGTTATTTGAATATTAAAAAATCGCTTTACAACAGACATGAAGGGCATTATTTTACGTTTGAATATTTTACACCAACTTTTAAATGAGAACACTTCGATATTTTCACTTCCTTTGCAATCTGGATTCTAGTAGATGGATTCAAATTTTTCAGAATTCATACGTAGATTTCAAGACTTTTACTGCTCAAAAAAGTTTAACTTTTGTACTGTATTCATTATAAGTATAAAAAAATTGATTTTCACAAAATAATGTTAAAGATATAAATTATAAATAAATACATTTTATATGTAAATACGTTTTTGTCAAATTATAATTTCTCGTGCTAAAAATTTTTTTAAACCCATATACTATTTTTTCTTGAATTTTTTTTCAAGTCACTTGAAAAAAAGATTCAAAAGAAAACGTCTCTCACTAATTGTAATTATGAATTAATCTTTCCGTACTTATAACGTTAATTAAGCAGTGTGTACATGTTGACGTGTGTTACGATCACTGATATTTCCATCATTAGGTTCGTTTTAAGGTAAACAAACATAACTGATTTCGATAAATCGGCAGCACAATCTCTTTCAATTATTAATAACAATAGTTTTTCATTGATTCAGACATTTTCTATCATTTAAATTCATTGTAAACTGCTTCAATAATTCATTGTTGAGATTTTTCCTAATTTCAAATAATAAAACATTAAAAAATTATAAGTTTTAAGAACTTTATACTGAGCTACGTAATTTCAAATTCATTCCCAAAATTACAAGTAAATGTTGAAAGAAAACGTATACTACATAAGTTCATATGCATCAAGGTACCAGTAAATTCTATCATGTTTATTATGTCAAAAGTCAATTTTTCAAAGTGTCTATACATCGCCATACTGTTAATGAATGTGAAATTCAGTGATGAACTAAATAAATTACACAGGTACACAAAAAAAATTGGAAATTCCAGTTCCAAAGATCGGACCATTAGAGGAGCTAGGTATCGAGTTCTTGGGGTCGCTGAATCCGAATTCGATATCGCTTTTTATGAGTTGGCTCATTTCCAAGTTCATTTGAAGGTCAAAGCGAGAAAAAGTGGAAAAAAATCTGAAAAAATTGTTAGATAACTTTGCAACGATCGTAATTTCACGCGTTGGTTCACGAGCGCGAAATCAGCGCGTCACGCGACGAGAAGACTTGGCCCCTCATCAACAGCGCAAGAGGATGCGCGAAAGGAGACAACGACATGCGCGCGAGGAGACGCAGCAGAGATGAGCAAGAGTCAGTTGGACCCCAGCAACAGATCAACAGCAACAGATCAACAGTCAGATGGACCCGGACTCGCGAGCCGAAAAGGCTTACTTGTAAGTAACACATACGTCCCGAACGCGACGAGGCAGGTTTAATTCCATTTGGAACCACCGACCCAGCGTGCGTCGAATGGTATACCGTGCCAGTGCGGTCGGACGTATGATATACGGTTATAAAGTGCAGGTTTTCTCGATTGACGTGTGTGTTGGCTTCGTGAATCGCGCCCCATAAACTCATTCATTCGCTCAGTAATATAATTTAATCCTACGCGTGTGCGCGATATTCTTTTCTATTTGTTGCAGCAGGCATGCGCCAAGAACCACTGCGACAGAAGCTTATTAATTTAATTTCCATGAAGATACAAATTTCACTCCCATTTCAATAAAATAGATAGTTACTATAAATTCGCCGTCTTATTATTTCATGCTCCTCTCACTTTTCAGGTTCTAACTTATTACTAATATATTCTCTAAGAGAAAAAGGAAATAAAAGAACCTTACAACTTATACAAAATCATCTATCCCTAGAATGAGAGTAGATATGCTGTGCCTATAAATGGGGGTAGCTGCAGGGCCAATAAATGACAGTAGGTATCCTAGCTGTTGCTCCTTTTATGGGCACAAAAATCATGGTATGAGACTTTTTTTACTACTTTTTTCGAATCTGACCATCAAACAACCTTGAAAATGAGCCACCCAGAAAAATTGATTTTAATTTTTCTGTTACGTAACGCGGAATCGATAAATATAAAAATGTAAATACAAACATAATTATATACAAATATACAAATATAAACATAATTTTTATTGTATAAAAAAACTATTTACTCCATATTCAGCATATATCTTGAATTTGTTGCAATAAACTCCGTGGTCTGGTAGTCCTTGCTAGCTATAATCAACGTTGCATCGAAATTCAGCTGCCGCATAAATGATTTTCTGTAATATTTGGTGCGCCATCACAAGCCAATATTGAACTAATTAAAATCGCGCTTGCAGCTAAATTTTTTTATAAACAATAGCATCGATTAAATTTTCAGAGCTTCATCTTTCTCTGGTAGATATCGATCAGATTTCTTTTTATTCTCCTTAGCAAGACTTGCCTCTGTTGCTGGGAAAGCCTGAAAAATAGAAATTTGACTATGTCGGTCCTATGAGCGTTTTTCCGCAATACACCCGGACATGGCATGTAACATAATTAACGTGTATCGTATATTGATGAAATAAAGTTTATTACATTTTATTGCCAATATTTTAATCCACAATGGCACTATAGTAAAGGAACATTTTTTCATTCACGTATAAAATTTAGGTACTGTATAACTAGTGAGACGAAATTTTGTTAGACAAAACTAGTGCGTATTTTGTTCTCAAGACTTGTACATACAAATTGTATGTACATAACAATTGCAAAGTAGGTTCGTTTAAAAATTTATCTCATTAATTTTTTTTATTAAATGATTTTTCATGATAGTATTTTCAAAAATTAAATGTAAAAATTATACGTGATAAAATAAAAGCACTTTGATGCTCGTGATTTATAATACGTTTCATTAATGAAATAACAAATATCAAAAACTATAGTTATTTTACTTAGAAAATATCATCAAGGTTTTTGATTGTTAAGATAAAGCAAACCTCATGCATAGTATCCGAACTCCTGAAAAGGATCATCTAGTACCCGATGATTTTTTGCATAAAATAGTTTAACATATCTCGGCTGGTGCGGCGTCGACGAGGGTGATGCGGCCGGGCGCCGACGAGGGCGGCACGGCGTCGGCGTGCTGGGTGACGTCGGTGGTTGTAGCTGAACGAGCTCGCGCACTTTTTGAATAACTGACTCGCACTGTCGTGACTGATTTGATCTGATCGAAGCCGAGCCACAGACTGGGCAGAGGATGAATCGCGAATGGACGAGCCTCGGATGAACGAGCTGTTAGTGCACGAGCTTTGAGTGAACGCACCGTGACTGAACCGTGAAAAGAAGAAGCCGTGAATGAAACTGAGCCCCGGATGATCGAGCTTGAGCGCACGAGCTTTGAGTGAACGCGCCGTGACTGAACCGTGAAAGGAAAAAGCTCCGGACTCCCTCACGTCCCGGTATATATACTGGCTGTTTCTCGGCATCCCCTTTGTTCGGGCGGAGATCGTCGTTGACTTACATATGTGTCCTCCCGAGCTTGCAGTCTGCGCATTTTCGCATCCAGTCGTTTTTGCGGGGATTATAAACAAATATTTTAGCGGATGCTCGGGTCGTTTTCCTAATTACTTAGCCCGCTTGCCCGAGCATCGGCGTACATCGCGACACGAATTTCGCCGGCATCCGGGATTTACTTATTGCCCGGGCCGATCATTAAATCGCATGCTTTATGACAGAAGCATCGCGATTTTGATGCGTGGCCGCAAGCGCGAGTCATTCTCCATACAAGCGTGAGCTGCTCCATGCGTGTGCGCACGCACACAAGTGCGCGCCGCAATGTACGTGTGCGGTCGCAACTCGCACACCAACGTTCGTTGCTTTTATCCGTGTGCACACACACACAAGTGCGCGGCGCCCGGGGTGTTACGTGGGTGGAAGGAAGTAAATAAGCTTAAAGACAATGAATTAGGCTTGAGATGCCGATAGGAGAGGAGCCAAAGTCCGGCGATGCGTTGCGCTTCAGCGTAAAACTACTACTAATGAGCCGTGCTCATTACTCCCATTAATGCACCTCGTCACAGGTGGGGACCTTGTCGTCCCACGTGACAGTATGCATTAATGAAAACGGAATTTGAACTTATAAATGAAATACGAAAATTCTCCCTTTAATAACCAAATCCTTTCATTTTTTTTCAAGTTTTGTGTAGATTTAAAAATTTATTACTATTAAGTTTTAGGTTAATATTTTTTATAATATAATTTTAAAAAATGCGGAAGCACTTTGCCAATGACTTGGCAGCAGTTTTTTCTCTTCGTCACTAAAAACACTTCACAATTCAATATTTCGTTTATAATCATTCTTTATACTTTCGGCTTACGCATGATAAAATGTTATTTTAAGTAGTTCCCTCAAAAAAATGACTATCGATAAAGGGTCTTGAAATTTTAACCACATATTATACTTACTCCTTGCTTGAGTAATTAATGTAGATCGTTAATTCGAACGATCAGAACCACGAATATTCAGAGACAAAAAACGATCACCTTACAGCTTACTTCTCACTGTTCCTCCTGTATTCGTCATATTGTTTTTTCGTGTCGAACAGAACACATTGGTTAGGAGACATAAATTTTTCCTAAGTTCGAGAAAATTTTTTCATTAAATTTATATCATAATGAGGCACCGTGAGGGTCGTGTGCGAAGCAGATCAAGGAGTAGGAGTCGCATTTATAGGAGTTCGAGCCGGGCGAGTTCAAGAAGTATCAGCCATCGCGGACGTCGCAGTCGCGACAGCCGTTATGATTATTACGATAGGCGCAGTAGAAGCTACGATAGACATCGTCGTAGTCGTCATCGGAGTTCACGGAGATCAAGTTCTCGTAGAACACGCTATCGCACTCGTTCTCGAAGCGTAAGTTTTCGTTCTAGGCGTGGAGAAGGTGAGCATCGACAAGATCGTATCCGAGAAGAAGACGAGAGTAGCGAGAATAGCCGCCTCAGACGTTCACGTTCTTCGAGTTCTGAGTCGAGACATACTCCTCCAAGGACGCCTTTACATGTTGCGGCTATAGGAACGAATGATGTTGATCAATTTAATGCTAACTCTGATATAATGAACAATGAAGCTCACACAGGAGGTGAGATATATATTGTATCAAAACATAACCTGTCGAGCTTGTACTTGATGCAAGACGAGAGCAGAGTAAATTTATTGTGTGATTAATTATACACACAGGTGTGCAAGTAAGCGATCCAACTAATGCTGCTACGTCAAAGTCGTTATCAAATCCTGCATCATTGGAGAAGAAGTCGGAATTACCTTCATCTTCTGTGGCTGACAACGACATTGAAGTTATAGAGATTGACGAAGTAGCAAAACGTGTTTTGGGTGATGATCCAACTCTACCTACGAAGCAGAAAAGTCCGGTACATGCTCATCTTGTTGTTAGATGGAAGGATTGTCTATACAATGGTCTCAATAGCGAAGCAACTGATAAGCTCATTAAAGCTTATGAACCCATTGAGCAGTTTAATGCGCAAAAAATGAATCCAGAGCTTATTCATATGCTGTCTGATAAAGTAAAAAAGCGAGATGCATATTTTGTGAAAACTCAAAAGCTTGCTGGTTCTGCCTTGACTGCGATTGGCTTTGCAGCATCATCATTGCTGGGCAAAGACAATGTTTTGAATCGTGAGTTTTTAATTGAAAAACTATTTGATGCAGGGAAGATTATTTCTCTTTTGCATCATGGTCAATTGATCGGGCGTAAATCTTGCATTTTTCCTCTACTTAAAAAGAATATTAGACCAATCGTTAATGATTTGAAGACTGATGAATTTGTTTTTGGACATGATATGATGGCGAATGTTAAAAAATTAAGTAGTGACGGAAAGCAAACTCTGATTCTTGAGGAGATCTCATACAAAAAAGAAAATAACAGGTATTTAAACTCCAATCGGCCCCTGACAAAACCGAATTTCGTAAGTCAGGTGGGCCAAAAATTTTACAAAAGTGCTCCTTTCAAGAAGAATGTTTACAATTCAAAGAATTCGAAGCCGAATTTTCAAAATACGTACAATCAGAATCGCAGTCAGGGTCAAAATCGCAAGCGTTGAGTAAATATACTGCAGGTCGTTTGTCATTGTTTTTAAAACGTTGGCATCTTATAACTAAAGATAAATTTATTCTTAATTGTATAAAGGGTTATAAAATAACTTTTGAACAAAAAGTTGTTCAAACTCACGTACGTAAAGAGCCGATACGTACACAAGAAGAACAAAAAGCAATTTCCGAGTCTGTGCAAAATTTAATTAATATTGGAGCTGTAGAAAAATGCGAACATGAACCAAATGAATTTATTTCAACATATTTTTTAAGGAAAAAGCCTGATGGTTCCAATAGATTTATACTTAATTTAGTTGAACTTAATAAGTTTATAGTTCCTAATCACTTCAAAATGGAAGATATGCGTTCAGCTTGCAGCATTCTTAATCGTAACGATTTTTTAGGCACTATTGACTTGGAAAACGCTTTCTTTCTTGTACGATTATCACGTAAGAGCAGAAAATATGTTAGATTTATTTTTAATGGGGTCTTGTATCAGTTTTCATCGTTGCCTTTTGGTTTGTGTCTGAGTCCACTTATATTTACAAAAATTATGAGAACAGTTTTTTCTTTTTTGCGTTCTAAAGGCTATCGTTCCAATGTATACCTTGATGATGCTCTGTTATATGGAAGCTCTTATAATGAGTGCTTAGAAAATATTAGGTACACAATAAACGTGTTACAATTTTTAGGATTCATTGTCAAATTTGAAAAAAGCTGCATCATACCATCGCGTCGATGTAAATTTTTAGGTTGTGTAATAGATACAAGTCGTTACACTATTGAGTTAACGGAGAAAAAGAAATTGTTAATATTAGAAAAAATCAAATCTTTTAATTTCAAAAAATCATATAAAATTAGGGATTATGCTCAGATTTTGGGACTACTGATTTCAGCTGTCGTTGGGGTTGAGTACGGTATGATGTATACCAAAAATTTAGAATTTGACAAGAGTATTGCTTTAAAAAATAACAACGGTAATTATGAAGGGAAAATGATTGTATCTCAAGCTACTATTACTGATTTTGAATGGTGGAAAACGAATATAATTTCTAGTTTTCGTGTAATTAGAGAATATAAATTTAAAATGATTATATTCACGGATGCTTCACTTTCGGGATGGGGCGCTGCTTGTGCAGGTGAAAAAATTGGTGGTTTTTGGTCAAAAGATGAAATGATACACTCAATTAATTATTTAGAGCTATTAGCAATATTTTTAGGTTTGAAAGCGTTTGCGTCTGATGCGAGTAATTGCGAAATTTTGTTAAGAGTCGACAATACAACAGCGTTGTCTTATATNAAAAAAAAAAAAAAAAAAAAAAAGTCAAGTTTTTCTTCCCACCCGATATAGCGATTATTAAAAATAGAACTCTGAAAATATGACGAATACAGGAGGAACAGTGAGAAGTAAGCTGTAAGGTGATCGTTTTTTGTCTCTGAATATTCGTGGTTCTGATCGTTCGAATTAACGATCTACATTAATTACTCAAGCAAGGACTTCGTATAATTATCATCGAACTTCACTTACAGGTAAGTTCGTTTGATTTCTAATTATTGACAGTGCTTTTCATATGTGTGAGAAATTTCAGGAACTTTAACAAAACCATTTCCAAAATATAATTATCAAAGTTCGGTACTTTAACATGGGATCCCTATGCTAGCGTGTCGAAAAGACGCTGTTTTGTGTGATTTTAAGAAAACGCATCGATAAAATCTTTTCAAAAACTAGGAGATGATTGTTCAGTATGTACTAAAATATAGCTCAAAAACTGGAAAAACTTGACCAAACAGTTTTTGAGAAAAGTTAATGTAAAAACATTGCAAAAATAAAAATTTTAACTTTTTTACCTAAAACCCATTTTTTAAGGTTTTTAGGGTCATTTTAAACAAAAAAGTGCTCTTGCAAATTTTCTCTAAAATCTATTGTTCACGAGCTATGAACGATTCAAATTTAAACAATTTCAAGCAATGAATTTTTGCGATTTTTTATCTCAATAAGCATGAACTCTACGAAAAATTTTAAAAAAACAAAAAAGTCTTAGAATTTGTCAAGGAAAGCGTATGAATTTTTTCAGATTTTTTCTAGACATATGGCAAAATTTGCCGGTCAGGTCTGAGGGAACTACCTTAATCAGTGAGTGAATGTTACAACGAAGCAACTCTCTTTTATCGCGATACCTAAGGTAACTCGGGACTCTACAATTCTTAACTTATCTTTTAGATCTTTTACTCCTTCACTGTAGTTTCACTGACGCAGCACTGCCTCTTTTTATCGCTGTGCCACTTGGCCTAATTCTGCTATTAAGATCATCCGTGATTTGTTATGTCCGTAGTTCGTATCGATTTTTCTCGTAATTGTTTAATAAAATCTCTGCAAAATATTTCTTAAGGCTTCTTTCATATGGTTTAAAACTATATGGTAAAATAACTATAAGAAATCTATTATGCTACAATTATTCCCTTTTATCCAAAACTAACGACCCCGTTATAACTTCGCCCACGTTCGATTTATGCGAAAAATATGAAGACGTATTTGCAAAATGATATTATAGTTCCCAATATTTTTATCTTTGTCTATTGAAACCAACTTCGCTTTATATGGTGCATTATTTCAAAAGCGTGATATGACATGTCTTGTAATTGTAGCTATTAGGAAACTTTGCAAAAATGAAAACTTAGACGGTAGAACCTCTCATTTTACCGAATTCTACCTTCCGCAACTATAAAATTTTTATAAATTACGAACACATTGATTTGCCAGCCAGATAAACATACAAAATGTCCCCTCCTTGACCAGAATCGATTGTGTTCATTCATTAAACACATTTTTACAAATATTCAGCAAAATTGTGGTACACGGGCCCTATTCTATAAATCCTAAAGAAAGTTTTTTTGCATTACTCTTCATCTTAAAGAGTCTCAAAACAATTGTACATAAGTAACAAATATGTCCTTCATTATGTGAAATTTTACATCATTTCAAATATAGGGCCAGTAAACATGCTTGACAGTCATTTTGACCTCTCTAACTGCATGAGGGTCAACTTTTAGAACTAAGTTATTCGATTCTTACCCGTACAATATTCAAATCTTAATTGCAGCTTCGCTATAACAATAGATGTACACGAAAATCGTAATAGTAAAATAAAGTGTCCCCTCCGTGATCGACGAGTTTTTGCGAGCTAGCACTTTTTGTTTTTGACTCTGGTGGCATGAAAACATTCGTTTTAACAAACAATTTTTTGTAGATGATCGGAAAAAAATGTTTAACTTTGTTGTCGTCGCGAAATTTGATAATAGTGCGATTTGCCCCCTCCGAAGGTGTCCCCTCCGTGACAAATTGTCATGTTTTCAATAAAAAAATGAACGCATTAGATGATGAGCGATAAAAAGTAAATATTCCATGAAAAAACAAAGAATCAAGTGTCAAAATACAGGAAAGTAAGTTTTTCGATTTTTCCAATATTGCCCATTTTACCCACTCCAAATATCACACTTTTAAAATAATGCACCATGTATGTAACCGGCAAAAACCGATTTTGTCCTAAGCAAAAACAGGAATACCTATGATTTAAGGTAATAACTGCGTCCCTGAAACAGTTTAGATGGTTACTAAAAGTTTTGGGCAAAACTTGGAATGCCTAAAAAAATACAGGCAAAACGAGCAATGTCTAAGTCAGCTGTGTAAGTTTGACCAAGTATAAAAATGTTAAGTAAGTTTGGATTCTGCACAGAATCTGTAGAAGATTAATAATAACCGCATTATTGGCTAATTTCGATTTGAGAGCTTACGATTTCAAATTATTTTCGAAAATTGCCATATTTTTTATTGTATGGGGTGTCAAAGTAGCATCACGTAGAATTGAGCTCCGAAGTGGCATCTTGCTTCTGTGATCTGGAAGTTAGTTATAGAGTCAACAAGTTCAGTTTGATCAACCAGCAGTCAGTTGGGCCGTTTGCAGTCTGAGCCACAAGTTTCTAACGAGCGAAGCAAGCTGAGCCAGAAAAGTCATCAATTACGACACCGAGAATCGTCCACAAAGCCTACGCATCTTTGAGTGTAATGAGTTCAGTAAGCCCAGGTGTAAATAATCTTTGTATTTGTATGAATAACAAGGAGACCTTCTCACCTTTGGGGCACGGACCTAAATTTTGTTGGGGTCTCCAAGAACCTAATAATAAAGCTCCTTATACTTAGTTTCATTGAATGGGCCTTAGGGCCCATTCTAAAAGGGGTTTTCTTTTTTAATTAAAAATCTTTGAGATTTTATTTATCAAGTTAGGAGCCCTTGAACAAAAAAATGCACCGATCAAAAGTTTTGAAATTTTTCAAAGAATCTGTCTGAATTTTTTCCGAATTTTTCGAATAGTCCAATGCACTTTTTTCAGAGACCCTAATTTGATGATTTTCCTTGCAAAAATTCAGAAACCTCTAAAAAAGTGCAATGGACGATTCGAAAAATTCGGAAAAAATTCAGACAGATTCTTTGAAAAATTTCAAAACTTTTGATCGGTGCATTTTTTTGTTCAAGGGCTCCTAACTTGATAAATAAAATCTCAAAGATTTTTAATTAAAAAAGAAAACCCCTTTTAGAATGGGCCCTAAGGCCCATTCAATGAAACTAAGTATAAGGAGCTTTATTATTAGGTTCTTGGAGACCCCAACAAAATTTAGGTCCGTGCCCCAAAGGTGAGAAGGTCTCCTTGTTATTCATACAAATACAAAGATTATTTACACCTGGGCTTACTGAACTCATTACACTCAAAGATGCGTAGGCTTTGTGGACGATTCTCGGTGTCGTAATTGATGACTTTTCTGGCTCAGCTTGCTTCGCTCGTTAGAAACTTGTGGCTCAGACTGCAAACGGCCCAACTGACTGCTGGTTGATCAAACTGAACTTGTTGACTCTATAACTAACTTCCAGATCACAGAAGCAAGATGCCACTTCGGAGCTCAATTCTACGTGATGCTACTTTGACACCCCATACAATAAAAAATATGGCAATTTTCGAAAATAATTTGAAATCGTAAGCTCTCAAATCGAAATTAGCCAATAATGCGGTTATTATTAATCTTCTACAGATTCTGTGCAGAATCCAAACTTACTTAACATTTTTATACTTGGTCAAACTTACACAGCTGTAGGTCCTGGTCCTGATGGTCGTGATCTAACGTACTTAGGACACTAGACAGTGAATCAAAATTTAAAAATACGAATTTTAAAGTTAATAACCGATGCCTTTTGTTAATATTATTTTTTATGAGGAAGCTCTTTGCCAATAAATTGGCAGCGGTTTTTTATCTGTGACTGTTTTGAATTCTAATAAAGCCAAAAAATTCAAGTTGATTTCAAACCAATTAAATCTAATATCCCTGTCAAAAATGATAGCTTGATTTCAAGCTTGATTTCAAGCTGATTTCAAATCAATTAAATCTAATATTCCACTAAAAACACTTGAAATCCGAACGTAAATAAACCCCAATAGCTTGAAATTCGGTTTTACATCATCTTTAAAAATGCTTGAAATCAGCTTGAAATCAGCTCGAAATCAAGCTTGAAATCAGCTTGAAATCAAGCTTGAAATCAAGCTATCATTTTTGACAGGGTTGTACTCGGCCGAAGAGCGCAAACAGATTCCACGCGTTCAATCATTTCTATCAGGCGCGAGCCGAATTTTCTCTCTCTCCTCTCCGACATAGGCCAACGACACTGCGACTCGTTAAACGACAGAACAAGTCATGCTGAAATAAAAGCGTATGCTAAACGTTATAATTTCATGTTTTAAACAATCGGCGGGAGAGAGTATAACGAATACATTCGTTACAACATTGATTTCTATCGCGCTCGATTTTTGTTCATAAGGGATAGCCGCTACTCTGGATGCTGCTCACGCTAATTAATTTCTGATTAATTGAACGCGTATGATTAGATGTTATTACTTTGATATCAGCCATTGTGACGTTTTAAGTAAAATTACTCATCATTCATTTTTATTTAATATTAAATTACATTCTCGTAGTAACGTGAAAACCTTTCAAGTTCCTCGTCATATTCACACACTAGCCGACATTAAAATTTACCAAAACAACCTTTCGCAGCAGCTCTGGATACAGCGACTTCTAACGCATGTTCGTGCTTTACTCGCAAGTCAGTCTGAGCTTACGCTAGATAAGTTTATCGATCTTGCGAATACAATTTTTAACTTAAACATACTCTGATGCAATGCGCGTTAACTGCCTCCCATTTATTAGCTAGAATTTAATATTTATAATTAATTCATAAAAATAGTAACGAAAAAAATTGTTTTATAGTAGAAAAATTAAGTTCACTATGAATTTTTTATTCACCGACAATGGGACAAATTTTTTTTATCAATGAATTGAAGTGGATTATTAATGGGGTCATTCGACTTCATAATATGCAAAGATACAATATTTTTACTGATAATCTACTGATAAAATAAGTATGTAACCGATATCACTAAAAAATTGCACAATGTTGATATCATAAGCTGCCAAAATTAAGATGTGACTAAGTATAAAATAGACTGATCGGCTTTAGGTTTCACATTTTTCATCGCCTAGTGTTTATAGCGAGGTCCCAGTATCATAATGATGCGATCACTAGTATTGACGATTTTTTGCGGTATTATTGTTGTTAATAGTGCTATTATTGATACGTCAAAGGACAAGAATGAATTTCTCTCAAATAGTGTTGAAGATGCAATAAACATTGATGTCACAAGTGTTTTCAATGAAGTAAGAAAAATAGTTTTTTTTATAATTTACATTTTATACAATGAAGTTTGGCCGTTAAAGAAGCTTTAAAAAGATATTGAAAATGGCCAATTTTGTATCAGTTTTCTCGGTCTTTTTTTTATTCTTTGGTAGGCATGATATCATCCGTCCGGATCATCTGAAACCAGTAATTCGACATATTTTTTAAAGTTTATATAATCTAAGCTAGTCACTAAAAAAAGAAAAAGAAAAAAATTGAATTTGATGTTTTGACACAATTTTAAACGAATATTTTGCCCATATTTTTGTGCATTTTTTAAATTTTTTGGCAAAGCATCAATTCATACTCTTGACAAACCATCAAATTTTCTTTTATTTTTTTATCTTTGTTTAATCACTAGCTAAGAGTATAAACTTCAAGAAACGTGTCAAATTTTTTTTTCAGGCGAAACTATTAGGAAGTATCCTGCCTACCGAAACTTAAAAGAGTGACCGAGGAAAACCGACCAAAATCATTTAGCAGCTTATTTGAGATGGTGCGCTCACAACTATTTTCTCGCTCACACTTTTCGCCACAACTGCGTTGCTCGTTTTGCCGCGCACATCTTCAAGCGTCTTCGTTTTTCCTAGCTCTCCTTTTTTCGGTGGATGCTCTTTAATCAGTTGGCTAGCAAGTCTTGGTGTAGATGCTTTGCAGTTGTCGTCTGGTCGATTCGAAAGCACTCGGCCCAATTTTCTTTTACGCGTAGACGACACCTCACGTCTGCAGTTTATGCCGACTATTTCGGTACCATTTTTCCCGTCAGCGTTTCTGTTACACATACCAGGCGGCTGATGATCACTTGCTCTGAGACTTTCTTTTTTCGTTACATAGGTGCAAATACAATTTTTTGTGAATCCCCCAGCCTAGAGTAACATTTTCATTTTGCTCAGCTAGAGTAATAAATGCAAATCTAATACCAATCCGTTCAATTTGCTTCACCGGAATTAATTAGAAAAATCAAATTTCTCGCCGAGAAGTGACTCTGCTCTACACATTGAATGGTTCATATGTCTTATTAATATTATATTGTCCTTTTTTTGGACTCTAAAATGAGAATAGAGGAAAGAATTGTGTCGGAAATAATTGATGAACATAAATGATTGTTTTTCATTAATTATAATGATGAAGTAAATTATTAATCACACTGATAGAAATAATCATACTGCGTCATGAAAAAGGCGTTGCTTATCTCAAGAAGTACAAAAAATCTTGAGACAGGCTAAAATCTAGTAGTAAATTTTATTTAGTAGTAGAGTAGTAATCTCTTCCTGCGCGGGCTCTAAGCCTCCTGCAGTCCCTTCTTAGAAGAAGGTGTAATAAGAATCTTTATGATTAAATGAAATTTTCGCCTCAGAATTGTTTCACTTATTTTATATAATATTTTTCGATAATTATTAATAAAATGAAATGTTTTTTTAGGTCATTGGTAACAACTCAGTCAATTATAGCATAGAAACGCATTCAATTGAAACTGACGATGGTTATATTGTGACTATGCATCGAATCATAAATAAAGTTTCGATCACGAAAAAAAAGGGCATACCGGTGCTTTTACAACATAGTTATTTGTCCTCATCGATGGATTGGCTCATTTCAGGCCCCAAACGAGCTTTAGGTACGTTAAGGTAAATTTTATGTTCAAGTGAATGATTTTGATTTTTTATGTCAGGATTTCTTCTCGCTGATGCTGGCTACGACGTGTGGCTTGGAAACTTTAGAGGAAATAAATATTCACCTGGACATATATACTATAACCACTCCAATAGTGAATATTGGAATTTTAGCTTTCATGAGATGGGAATGTTCGATATCCCATCGATGATCGACTATATTCTGTTTAAATCATCTTACAATAAGCTGTATTATATTGGCCATGGTCAAGCAGTCTCTGCGTTTTTAGTAATGGCTAGCATGAAACCAGCTTATAATAATAAAGTTGCAAGAATGTTTGCGTTGGCCCCTATAGCATTCTGTGACGATATGTTTAGTCCTGTGTTCCGAGGAATAGCTTCGTTAGAAAAAAGAGATAAAGTAATTCCATTTTATATTTAAATTCAAATTTTATTCGATTGGTAAAATGCTCCAAATTTAAAAACTTAATTTTTTCAGAATTCTTTGTACGAAGCTATTGGCAGAGACGAATTCCACTTTTCAAACGAATTGCTGTATTATTTTGCGAACTATATTTGTAATTCTACCGAGAGTTATCAGAATGGCCCGTTATGCTTTAATATCATGTCACTCTTAAACGGGTTTAAAGAGGAAAACATCGATCAGGTATTGTATTACAGAAAGAAATGTACAGGCAAACCCCGTTATTCGCGGATTCATTATTCGCGATTATCCGTATTCGTGGTACCCCTGTTTGTGATCTACCTTCAGTATTCGCGGGTTTTTCGGTCAAAGTTAACCTTTTTTCGCACGTAAATTAAAAAAAAAATTTTTTAAATATGACTCGTCCTTTACGGCAAGAGTACCGGTTATAGTGTAAAGAAGAGAAGTAAGAAAGTGCTGAATTTGGTGGAAAATTTTATATGCTTCTCTGGTAGAAATCGAACATTTTTTTGGCATTAATAATACGTTTTTTCGACCATTTATTGGCTAACTATCGTAGTATTGGTCATTTAATGGCCAATAAATGGTCAAAAAAAAGTTTCTTTGATGCTCTGAAAGATTTAATTTCTACTAGGGTTATTACCTATTCTATAATGCAAGATAAATCGCTCTCCTATTACCTATACTTATTTTTACTGTGGCAAGAGTAATTGGAAATATTTCGACAGATGCAGAGCTTAATCTCATTGAACGAGCATTAAATTACGACCAAATCATGACTCGAAGCCTTCAGTTTAGACAAGATATCGAAAAATCATTAGCGTTATAAAAAGGTGTACAAATATCTAATGCACAGAGCATAACAAAAAAGTTTGCCTAAAATTTTTTACTGAAAAAAAAAATATTGATCAAGACTTTAATTTTTGCTGGTAAAAAATTTTTTACTGACATGTATATTGAAATTTTAGCTGGACGTGGAACCCAACTCCCCTTTTCCCATAAGAACAATATGTTTCTGTATTTGCGGATTCGGTAATCACGGTACTTTTTAGGAACCGAACCCCGCGAATACCGGGGTTTGCCTACACTTCCAATAATGGAAAACACAGGGTGAAAGATAAAATATACCCATAATAAGTAAATACTCATAATAAGGCGGTTGTGTTTTTCTAGGAAACCCTTAATTTAATTTTACGCTACACCTCTTTGGGCGGAGCGAGTGCCAAACAAATAGAACATCAGGCTCAGCTGTATAATTCAGGTTAATTAAAGATTCTATTTTAGAACCTTATATAAACTGTGGTAACTTTGATTGTGCTTGCAGGGATTTTCCAACAATTCAACAATGGCCCACATTACAATCTTACTAAAGTTACGGTTCCCGTTACTATTTTCTTCAGTGACAACGACTGGATTTCTTCAATTGATGTATGCAATTGGAATGTTTAAATTATAAATTATTCAAGTCAGGTTGAAATAAATAGTACTATATGCAACTAGTGTGGATATGCTTATTCTCCAAAACGAGTGGTTGTAGCACCATCCAAAGGGGAGTACTATAAAAATTTCGTTCAAAAAGCATATACACACAAGTTGTTTATTAGTATATTATGATACGCGAGGCTGAAGCAGTTTATTATTGCCAGTACTCGCCCGCGTAAAAATTTTTATATTGTTTCAAAGTGATAAAAAGTTTCGTCATACGTAAACTTTTGCAAAGTTGTCATTCGTACATTGGCAAACCTGCGCGGCAAATTTTAAGAAGTTTTCTAAATGTTGGGTTGACTAGTAAAAAATTTTCAAAAACTTCTGAAAACTTGCAAAAATGTGTCTCAAAAGTTTTTTCAACTTATCAAAACTTTACAAAACTCCAGCCAGATTTTGTCAAAATTTTCACAATTTTGATGTAATTTAAAAAAATATGTTTTTCGAATTCGCGAGAACGCTCTCAAGAGAATGAATTTAGACACAGATTTTTTCATTCAAAATAAACCTTATTTAGAATTGATTATTTAGCGCTCTCTGATTATTTTAATTTAATCATTGAAGTATGTCGCGTACGCTTACGTCTACACATAGACGAAACTGCTTACACAAAAACTTATTCGGAAACAGTCACACACGATTTTCTGAGCGTTATCCTAAAATTTACATACTCTACTAAATACTATAAAAAAATTGAATGATGATTTCATTAGGAATTATCTATGCACGTCTTATAGCAAAAGATTCGTGTTTATCTTGTAAAGCGACGTTAGCATACGAATATTAACAAAACAGCATGTAAAAAGAAACAAAGCCAACTAACTAACTAACTATCTAACTAACTAACCTCGTTTCACTGAATGAACACGAATTTGTCGAAGAAGCTGTTTGACATGTATTAGCTATTCCGAATTTTAGTTGTTATGATATATTTAGTTCTTTTTGTGTTTACTAAGGAGTGAGGATTGTGGTGCTAGGATAACGTTCAGAAAATTTTGAGTGACTGTTTGCGAATAAGTTTTTGTATAAACGGGTTAATTTATTCAAATCAAAATTATCAGAGCGCGCTAAATAATTAAAGCTAAATAAGGCTCATTTTGAATGAAAAAATTCTGTGTGTGAATTCATATTCTTGAAAGCGTTGAAAAACATATTTCTTTAAATTACATCGAAATTGTGAAAAATTTGACAAAATCTGGCTGGAGTTTTGTAAAGTTTTGAAAAGTTGAAAAAACTTTTGAGACACATTTTTGCAGGTTTTTAAAGGGTTGGACGAGTCAACCCAACGTTAAAAAAACTTTTCGAAATTTTCCGCGAGGATTTACCCGTATCCGAATGACAAACTTTGCCAAAGTTTACGTTTCACAAAACTTTTGATAACTTTGAAACAACATAAAAATTTTTACGCGGGTGCTCAAAGCGATTGTGCTTGCTTCGTATTTACAATAGGCTACTTGAGTCAAAAGTATCAAATACTTTTCTATATAATGATTAGCTTAAGTATAACTATAAACTACTGTAATTACACAAGGGCCTAAAACTAATGGCAAAGTTTCGATTTTCAAGTTTTACTGAACAAATTTTAAGAGCTACTTGAAGGTTCAATTTCTTCCTTTTCTTTTAGCATCGTAGCTTTTTTTTGAAATTCTTTTAAAAGTTTAAAGAAAATGTATAAAATATTTTTAACCCGAAGGCTTATGTATTTTGTTGGCTTATAAAATAACCAGAAAGCTCATGTAATATACACATTAATGATTTTTCGAACATTTATTTCAGGATGTATATTCTTTGAGGAAGAAATTGCCAGACGTGGATCGTATTATGATTGACGTCGATCATTTTTTTCATGTCGATTACTTGTGGGGAAAGCAAGCAAAGAAAATGGTTTATGAACCATTGATGGATATTATGAATAAATTTGGTTCAGCTTTTATTACAAATTACTGGAGAGCCAAAACCGCATAATAGTTAGTTTCAAGTATAGTTTCTCAACATTACTGGAATAACTTGAGTTTTAACTATGCCATTGACAGTTGAAGTGTTTGAATTTTATTAGAAATATTAAAAATGAATAAAAGTAATTAAAATCAAAAATTTTTTAACTAAAAACCTCCCCAAAAAACGCCAAAAAAATCCTGGCTGGAAAAAATCATATAATTTTTAATGTAATGAGGCGTGTAAAGTAATATTCCGAAAACTACACTCTGGCAGTAAAATCATTGGCAATTATATGCAAATTTGTTTTAAAGTAGCAGTATGTAAGAAAAACTGCTGCAAAAAAGCCACAGTTAATTTCTGTAGACAATTTAATTGTTTGCATAATATTCAAACGTCAATAATCTTTCATAAAAATTTAATAATCTTTGTAATAAAAATATCGTTAAAGAGCCAACTTTATTCTGTAAAGTTAAAAAATGAGATTATAACCTTTAAGCCAACGCGATTTCACTGATTCTGTGCGTATTGTATCGGTCGGCTTAATCTGTTCATAAACGGCTGCTGCATATTGTATTGTATGTATCTGTCTTGAATCATTATATTTGTGTGTAGTGTAAACGAAAGTGTCTGCCCCGCGCTCTGCTGATTTTGTTTTTGCCATGTCTTCAAAACCGAGTTTGCCCAAATTCGCCGAAGATACCTCCCGAATTCACCATACTCTATCGCATTGATATTGCGCCTAATGATGTTCGGACAGCTTGCACCGAGTTGAAGGCCGGATCCGTTAAGGCTTCTCTATACCCAGTTGAAAAAAATTGCGTGGATATCCAAGTGGAATATCCACGCTGATTCCACGTGGATCATACAGGGATTCCTTGAGGATGGGACATTGATTCCACGTGGATCGAACATGGATCATATAAAGAGTCCACGTACGTAAACCACGGGGGTTTGTACGGAAATCCTCGTTGATTTTCGATCGATCCACGGGGATTTTCGCGCAAATCCTCGTTGATTTTCGATCGATCCACGAGGATTGAAAAAAAATCAGCGTGGATCAGTCGAATATCCGTGGGGATTGCATTTTTTTCAGCCCATGATCGATCCACGAGGAATCCCTGTATGATCCACGTGGAATCCCTGTACGATCCACGTGGAATCCCTGTATGGTCCACGAGGATTACTAATCCTCATGGATTTCCACGTGGATATCCATGCAATTTTTTTCAACTGGGTACAGAAGGGCAAATACCGACATACCGATATTATTTTGTACCCATTTTTTTTATTCTCTAGACAACCATTGAACTTGAAATTTCGTGGAAAGGAATATGAAACTTATAAAAATGTGCCTATAATTGTGTCGTTTTAAGGTACACAAACATAACTGATTTCAATAAATCGGCAGCACAATCTCTTTCAATTATTAATAACAATAGTTTTTCATTGATTCAGACATTTTCTATCATTTAAATTCATTGTAAACTGCTTCAATAATTCATTGTTGAGATTTTTCCTAATTTCAAATAAAAAAACATTAAAAAATTCTAAGTTTTAAGAAATTTTTACTGAGCTGCGTAATTTCAAATTCATTTCCAAAATTACAAGTAAATGTTGAAAAAAGCGTATACTACATAAGTTTATATGCATCAAGGTACCAGTAAATTCTATCATGTTTATTATGTCAATAGTCAATTTTTCAAAGTGTCGATCCATTGCCACACTGATAATGAATGTGAAATTCAGGGGTGAACTAAATAAATTACACAGGTACACAAAAAAAATTGAAAATTTCAGTTTCAGAGATCGGACCATTAGTGGTGGGTATCAAGTTCTTGGGGTCGCTGAATCCGAATCCGACATCGCTTTTTATGAGTTGGCTAATTTCCAAGTTCATTTGAAGGTCTTCCTCCTCCTCCTTTTTTGGGCACAAAAACCATGTTATGAGATTTTTTTTACTACTTTTTTTCTAATCTGACCATCAAATGACCTTGAAAATTAGCCACCCAGAAAATTTGATTTTAATTTCTATGTTACGTGACGAGGAATCAATAAATATAAGAATGCAAATATAAACATAATTTTTATTGTATAAAAAAACTATTTACTCCATCTTCAGCATATATCTTAAATTTGTTGTGATAAATTCCGTGGTTTGGTAGTCCTAGCTTGGTAGCTATGTTGGATCGAAATTCAGCTGCCGTATAAATGATTTTCTATAATATTTGGTGCGCCATCACAACCCAATATTGAACTAATTAAAATCGCGCTTGCAGCTAAATTTTTTTACAAACAATAGCATCGATTAAATTTTCAGAGCTTCATCTTTCTCTGGTAGATATCGATCAGATTTCTTTTTATTCTTCTTAGCAAGACTTGCCTCTGTTGCTGGGAAAGCCTGAAAAATAGAAATTCGACTATCCCGGTCCTATAGGCGTTTTTCCGTCTATGTCGCAATACACCCGGACTATGACATGTAACATAATTAAAGTATATCGTATATTGATAAAATAAAGTTTGTTATATTTCATTGCCAATATTTTAATCCACAATCACACTAGTAAAGGAAAATATTTCATGCACATGTAAAATTCAAGTGCTGCAACTACTGAGACAAAATTTTGTTAGCCAAGACTATTTTGTTCTCAAGACTTGTACATAATATACAAGTTGTACGTAAAACTTGGAAAGTTGGTTTGTTTAAGAATTTATCTCATTAATTATTTTTATGAAATAATTTTTCATAATAATACTTTCAAAAATTAGAAATAGAAATTATACATGAAAAAAATAATAAAACAGTTGCTGAATATATTTTTGCGAAAGGTGAGTTGGTTAGATGCAGTGTGAAGGGTAAACGGTGTAACGCAATAAAAGATTCCATAGCCATACCTGCTCTTGATTCAATAAAACTGAGCGCTGTTCATGGTAAGCGTTTTAATAGTATTGAGCAATTTTGGTTTGTATGTTCATATTTTTTTTTTCTTGATGAGAACTTTATATACTTGTGTATTTGTGATTCTCCAGAACTTTTAACTTTTTTTATCAAGGGCTTCATTTTCGAAATAAAATATATATTGCTTGTTATATTGAATAATAATTTACTTATTTATGTAAAAAAATTATTTAAAAAACAAGTGTTGAGTGAAACTGAGAAAAAAGTTCATATAATTTTTTTATACTCATAGCATCGTGAGTTCTTTACACGCTCAAAGTTGTGAGCAATGAAAATTATTTTTCAGGATGAAAACCATCAATACCTATCAGACGGTGAAAATCCCAGAGGGATTGACTGTTTCGGTCAAATCCAGGATGGTCACTGTCAAAGGACCAAGTGGTGTCTTGAAGCGATGCTTCAAGCATCTGGCCCTTGATATTCGTGTTAGTACAGCTTTTTCTTACTTTTCTTTATATTGGATTGCATTTAAAAAAATCATAATTCTATGATGATATTGTGGATTCCCCTTATTCCCTTTATTATAAACGATTAATTCGTTTCTGATGAGAACCATTTGAATATCATTTGTAACTGATTGTATCATTCAAATTTCAGATGGTCAATCCAAGACTTTTGAGAGTCGAGAAATGGTTTGGCACCAAAAAGGAGCTGGCTACTGTAAGAACTGTATGTTCTCATATTGAAAACATGTTGAAGGGTGTAACCAAAGGCTATGAGTACAAAATGCGTCCCGTATACGCCCATTTCCCCATCAATTGTGTAACCACCCAGGACAACACCATGATTGAAATTAGGAACTTCTTGGGAGAGACATTCATTCGCAGAGTGAAGATGGCTCCTGGAATTACTGTTATTAACTCTAAAGCTCAAAAGGATGAGCTTATTTTACAAGGAAACTCTTTGGAAGATGTTTCCAGATCAGGTGAGTCATTAAAACTAAAATTTTCTGTCTTGCAAGTTTTCTTTACACATTGCAGAACTTTATCTAATTTATGCTATTCATTTTTCCAGCTGCACTTATCCAACAATCCACTACAGTCAAAAATAAGGATATCAGAAACTTCTTTGATGGTCTTTACGTATCAGAGAAAACAACAGTGTTAAGGACGAAGAATAAATAAAATCGTTGCAATTTTTAACAAATGTAGTTCAGAGTATTTCCAAAACTTCATTAATTAGAATATTTTCCATTTATAGCTTAAAGAAGATTTTAAGGACATTGAATGAAAGTATCAATTTGAATATTTTTCTCACAGTCATCTCTGAATATTTTTTGTAGAACTCAAGAAAATTGAAATTTCAAGAAAAAAGTTCAAATGAAAATTGTTTAAGTTTGAAGTAATGCTTTTTGTACTGAGCATGGCATAGTTTTAATTTGTAACTTTTTTGAATATTTCACCGCACCTATCCATTGAAAATGAAATCAAAAGCACGCCGATCTCATATACAATCCACTTGACCATAAACTATAATTAAATTTGAAAAAGAACTATACGCCGGTGTCGAGAAAACGGCCCTTTGTCTGCGTGGCTTCACGCAAGCACACAGAGCCCACTACAAATATATACCCCTATAGGAAAGGATCAGGTGAAAAAACAGGTGAGAAATCAGGTCAAAAATCATGCCAAAACATCAAGTGAGAAGTCACCTGATATCTCACCTGATTTTTGATAGAATGATTGTATTTTATGTGATTTCAACATAACTATGTGTAATTTCATGTCAATTCTCCACTGCGCCCGTGCGGCATTATCAAGCGAAACTGCTCAATTTCTAACTCGCCGGAAAAGCATATAAATTCATCTAAAGAAAAAATAAGCCATATGACTTCGGTATCAAACTGTTTCAGCTTTCCTATGGTACATCAGATTTTCAAAAAAATTTTATTTTAACCAGAAAATCTTGACATAAACGTATTCAACATAAATATATCAATATCAAATAAAACATCAAGTGAGACGTCACCTGATTTTGGATAAAATGATTGTATTTTTATTCGCTTTCAACATAAATTTATAAGGCATAGATATATTCTAGATTATTAGACGCCATTCTGTATCTACCACTCGTTACAACCAATATAGTAAACGAATCTGAAAAATAAGGTTTTTTAATTGATTTAATTTTCTCGTCTCTGTGCGTCTTTGACTTATTTTTCGTTTGCATGGGTGAACAGACATTCACTTTCTGTAATTATCATCTAACCCAACTAGTTTCAAGAGCTTCGAGTGTCATCCAATCACTACATCGATCTTCATGTCCGAAGCGCTTGTCTACTTTTTGATACTCGCCTAGCCGTCTACCCGCCACGTGCGCAGTGTGAATAAAAAAATTAAAAATCTTGAATTGTAAGCGTTTGTGTTTGTGGGTGAATTTGAACTGTGAGTGTGTAAAACCAAGTCTACGTTCAACGACGAAATCGAAATCATTGACATTGATTCCGATGACGAAAACCATGAGCCACAGGTTGTGAAAAAATTTGTTCGCTCTCTAAAAAATGTCAATTGGAAGCAAAGAAAAGATCGATATAGGGTTTACTGTCAACTGAACCATTTAATGAGCAATTGGAAAGGCAAATTTTCTGACTTGTGGGTCATTTTTCGAATCGACGAATTGGAATATATTCTAGCAGAGGTCATGGAGTATAATACCTTAATAGACGGGAATGATTTAGTAGACGAGAGAACGAAATTACGATTTATCAGGTTAATCGTCAAGAGCGGCTCCAAAGACAAGCCGCTGCTCGATAAAGACGGCAAGCCAATTTGGCGTCGCACTACACCATTGCATCGGTTATTGCGAATTCGCAGGATTGTTGTTGAGGTAAGTTCAGTTCGTGAGCTTTTCAACATTTACAACAGATACGACCTGAATTACACAGACGAAACTGGATTAACGCATTTCCACGTGGCGTGTAATTATGGTTTTTCCGACGTCGTTGAAAAATTTCTCGATCTCGGACAGGATCCCAACTGTGTCTGGACGAAAACGGGCGATTCGCCGCTTCACCTGGCTCTGCAAAGGAGCACGGATGTGGTTCTGATGCTGCTGTGATTGATCCGAATTTGATTAACAAGAACGGACAGACGCCTGTGCACGCTATTTTTGACAGAGTTTTCGCATTTTCGGTGATGACTTTATGAGGATATTTTTGGAAACCTGCGAAGCGAAGCATCAGCGATTGTCGATCGACGTTCGAGACAAGTTTGGTAATAGGCCATTGCACTTGGCTCTTGGCAAAGAATCAAAAAGAACCAGACCCAAGTCGATCGAATTGCTGCTGAGAATGGGCGCCGATCCGAACTCAGCCAATGCGGAAGGATTGACTCCACTGCACGTACTTTCCAAGAAATACCAGTTCTTTGATCCAAGGGACGACTTTGCTAAGTCATATTTCTCGATCAAGGATGAGTTGAATCAGACGCTGCAGGTCGACGCCAAGGACAATTGTTGGGTCGGACACCACTCCAATGGGCCGTGATGAACATTGAGGTTGAGGTCTTATTGAATCGCGGGGCCGATATGTCTAGCTTCGTTTTTCCCACCGAGGATTATTTTGGCAAGATTAACAACGTCTTGAATTTGATCACTGATAGATTTTTCCACGTATCCAATCTTTTAGCCCTCGTAGAATGTCTCGAGAAAAGAGGATACGAATTGGACCGAAGCGAAGCTCTGCTCATCATGAAAAATTTTGCCTCTCGTGGATTTTTCGAGAAGTCGGCGGATTTTGAAAAATGTTGGCGCGACGACGAGCAGTTCAAGAGAGACGAGGAAAGGTTCAAATTGATAAGTCCGAGTCCATCGCTCGGCGATCTGATTCAGCTACGACCCGTGAGGAGGCTCAAGAACAAATCAGGTGCACAGGTTACTTTCAGTTCATGCCGATGTGGGTCAAGTACGAGGTCCCAGACGCATGTGTAGTGCATCTGTGCGAGATAATATGGAGAGGATTTTTCAGGCGTTGGGCGATCTATCCTTTTTGGGAATTAATTCGCTATCGGCTGCCACTTGAAATGTGTGAAATGATCATCGATGGGTTAATGAATCAAGATCTATATCATATTTGCTTGGCGGCTACCATCAAAATCAACAAAAAGGACAGTAAAGAAAATGTAGTGACTATAGAACAATGTAATACAAAAAGACCTATCAGGGTTAAAACATATCCCAAGATGTTATGTAATCCAAGTCATTCAAATAAATAAAGTGAAAAAAATTAACAACATTGACCTTCTTAGTTTATTATATTTTCATGTTAAATCGAATATGTAACTTTTTCGAGCCATGTTCACACTTCGGAATGATAAATATTAGGAAAATAAATTCCTTCGAGTATTCATGCAATCTTACAATTTTATTTTTCAATCTGCTAGCTCACTAAAATATTGACAATAAAATAATTCAAAACCGTGGTAATACTTTTTTTAAAAGATTAAATAGGGGCAAGTATGACAGTCTAACGTAATACCCTTATAATTTTACTCTAACTTTGAAATTCTTTCTCTCATTTATAAAACTTTCAATTTCAAATCGTCAATAATCAATTACTTATAGCTATGATAGAAATGAAATCCAATACCTTCCGACAATTATTCAAGCAAACTAAATTTTTTCCCCTTAAACTATAACCATAATATGAAGTTAGGGATAAAATAATTTAATAATTAATTATATGATTGTTAACATTAATTCAATAATCAATCGCGTAGTTATGATATTATTGAATGTGGTATGTAAAAAAACCGTACTAATGACTCTACTTGCCCGGCCGGCTCGATCAAATTCAAGACGTTCGCAATCGTCATATAATAATTATCAAAAATCAGGTGAGATATCAGGTGATTTCTCACTTGATGTTTTGGCATGATTTTTGACCTGATTTCTCACCTGATCCTTTCCTATATGCTCGTGATTTATAAAACGTTTCTTTAATGAAATGGCAAACATCAAAAACTAGTTATATTTTACTTAAAAAATATCATCAAGTTTTTTGATTGTTAAAGCAAAGCTCATGAATAGTATCTGACCTCCTAAAAAATCATCATCTAATACCCGATCATTTTTTACATGAAAGAGTTTAATTGCCGAAAAGTCGAAACATATAGGATAATTAAGAAGCGCCGAATCTTATGAACATTATAGTTTTTTAATTTACGACCACAATAAAAATAATATATTTTAATTATTTTTATGCTTATTGTTTTTTGATAATTTAATTGAAATAAAAATTAATAACATGGTTTTCATGAGTGTTCGATTCAACAATGACCAGATTATATAGGTAATAATCGAGCTTTGTTGACGTCACACACGTGATACAAACACACTCGTTTCTTTCCCCACACCAACTAGAACGTCAAAGTCTCCATCCACCTATGAAGTTGTGTTTAATATATATATACACAACACCATTTCAAAGTATTTTAATACTTATCAAAACATTAACAAAATGCAGCTGATTACTATCCTTCTCATCTGTGTATCGTTTTTTACGATCGGTACGGTTCATTTTTGAATCGACTCACTATTACAATATAATTTAAATAAAATTTTACAACTGTTACAACAGTTTAATTCTAGATTAATTTTTGTGTTCTTACGGTTTTAGCCAACGCCCTGGAGTGTTATGTGTGCAAAAATCAAGAAGGAAATAAAGAAAAATGTCTGAATACTATCAAAACTTGTGAACAAGGCGAAGATGCCTGTTTAACAGAAATTAGGTGGGGAAGTAAGTTAAAATTTGATTTTTACGTCCATCTAATCTCACTATTAAAGGTTAAGTCTTTCTTGAAATGTTGGTTTTAGAATAGTTTTTTTTGTGATAAATTACAAATTGCATCCAGACATGCATAGTTTCAAAAAGTGCAATGTTTTCATGTATTATATTTATGAAGATGTTAAACAATTCATTTTTTTAATTTAGGTACACCATACTGGAATCAAGGAGCAAAAAAGCAGTTTTATATTTCTAAACGCTGTTCTACCAAAAAAGAGTGTGAAAAAATTCGGCGCAATAATATGGCAGATTGCTCTCATATATGGTACGAAGATTGGAAATGCTCTGAATGTTGTCAAGGGGATCGATGTAATTACTACATCATTGTAAGAATTTTTACAATATTTTGAATTCCCAAATATTTTGGATATTATTTAATTCCGCATTTTATTTACAGTCTGGAAGTAACAAATTAGCATCAACTTTAATGACTATGCTGTTACCAGTTATTGTTCTTTGCAGTTTACAATAAACAAGGAATTGAGTTTATTACTCATACTTTATTTGAAAGCTAGAAATTATTTAATGAACTATGGCTAATGAGTTTAAATCTTGCTCAAGTTAATACTCGTAATTGAAATGTTCTCAGAATTCTTTTCAAGACAACTGAAGGATGCATACGAGATAGTAGGATTTTTGCTTTTGCCTTTGATGTTTCTGAAACTACCATTGTTTTAATTAACAAAATTAGTTATTTTACAGATAATATATATTCTGTAAAGTTTTAATGTGTAAGAACTTTATGAAATCATAGAAATAATCTGAACAGATTAGTTATTTTTACATTTTACAGAACTTTAATTATTACTTATTTCAATTTTGTCATTCGTTCAAAAATAATTACCAGGTTTTATTATGAATTTTTGTATGATTACAAAAACCAGTATTATTGCATTGTTGAAGAAATTTAAAACACATTCAATAATCATGTTCAGATTATTAATATAACCAAACTCAAAATAAATTTTGACCACATTATATTTCATAGGTATAACTAAATTTATAGCAAGTATTGACTTTACAATTAAAAATATTGTATTATATCAGCTCCGTCCAGATATTTCAAAGTTTACTAAAAATTAAGTATGTGTTTTGATTTTAAATTGTGAGTAAAGCAAGTGAAAAGTAAGCTTTTGTGCATTCCTCTCAATCTCCGTCCAATTATTATGGTTGTGAATGCACTGAAAGTTTGTTGATATAAGCAGAAATAAAAATATTTCCAGAACTTTTTGCATGGGAAAATTGAATATCACTGTACACACTCTTAAGCATTACCACTTTAAGGATAATTTATATTTATGTGTTATACATTAAATTGTACAAACTGCTATACATATTTGTAAAGAAATGATTATCATAATACATTTTTATAAAACAGATTTATAAAGTATACTTTAAATTATTTAAAAAGCTAATGCCTTTTTTCATAGGGCCTCTACTGTATACCTTCAGAAACCAATTAGTTATTAATAATTATATATTTAGCTACTAATTTACCATGCTCTTTTTTAACATAATCATTAAATTTAAATCATTTTTACCATTTTTAACATAATTTTTAATGAAATTCTACTAAGATTGATTTAATTATAAATTTTTATATCACAATTACAGGCAATTAATTAATTATTCGAAGCTTTAACTATAGTTGAAAAGATATTAAATATCAAGTGAAATAAAATGTCTTGGTACCATATCCAGTAATTTCAAGTATACGTATCTCATTATTTAGAGTGAGTTACTCAGCTAGTTGCAGGAAAACAAAAATGGTGACAGCTGGTTTAGTTAGAAAAATATCTAATTTATTCATAATCAACACTAAAAAAAATGACAGAATTTCTTTGTGAAATCTAGAGCGAAACTAAAACAGCAACAAGCTCTAATGACGCTGTGGATATATAATGCACTCGAAGCATTATGAATGTAGTATAGATGAAAATCAGATTAAGTATATCATGCTTGATGTTACTGCAGGTTTGCAGTAGTCATGATTGCGATCGCGTTGTAGCGCGAGTCTTCTAAGATAAAGTGTTTTTCTTTTATTAAAATTCTTATTCATGTGGGCGTCTTTTTTTTCATTGGATATGTACTTTTGGAATTGTTTACAAATAAATTCGCTTTGGATGAAAACAGATATTCGTTGAAATTGTACCAATCACAAGGTAAGTTTTCCTAATTTTTTATTTATGATCGAAATAAAATGTCTTAATCATAATTGAAAGCATGTTATGGAATTGTAATTTTTCCGAGGATAGAACAAATATTTACAGTACAATTCGTGGTAACAATTTTTTGCTAATGAACAGTAACATTCATTAATTACTTTAAAGGTCTAAATAATAAGAATTTTTTTATTTGAAATCACCGAAATTACTAGTCATTAAATTGAATCGATTCTTTAAAAATAAAAAGGTAATAAAAATTGGTAATATTTTTATATAAAAATTATTCGATTTTCAAGTTTTTAATTAAAAAAATGAGTATTTTAGCTTGTGGTATTAGGATTATGATTATCATTGATGACTCGAATTACCTTCAGCAGCTTGTAAAATAAAACTTTAAAGTTAAAAATGTAAATAATCGTAAGATTGATTAACGACGATAAAATGAGACACACGGCTCTTTCGAAATACAATACTCGATAGAGATAGAGACAGAGGATACTCAGGATATTCAATAACGTTGAAAATTTATTATTCGAAAAAAAGAGTTTGAATTTCGATTTTTTATTCAAGTTATAAAATCCGTTGATTTAAAAGTAAAACTATAAAAGTAAACTAAAATGAAGAGATAATGTAATAGCGAAAAATAATAATACGGAAAATAATCGTTTCATGTCATTGACAGGGCGCTGTTTATTGAAGTTGTTCATTCTCTCAACTCATGCGCATTTTACCTGCGGATAAGTGAATAATAAGAGATAAGATGTATGGAGTTGGAATTTATTTTCGAGAGCTTTGGTTGAAAAGATAATGGCTTGATAATCTAATGAGCTAGCTCAAGATAGTCTGGAACTGATGAATTAATTTTATTACTTTATCATAGTTAAAATGTTTTTTAATTACCTGTAACTTTATCTATTTTTTTAACGAATACATGTAAATAAACAGAGCTAAAAGGTTTTTTTTTAATTTAACTTAGAAACATGAAGTGGATGCGATTTTTAAAACTTGTATATTGAAATAAATGTCTAATTTTTGTGTTTGAGTTGAAATTTGTTTATATGCAACTTTATTAGCACTGACTATGTTTCAATGTTCAAACCCGTTGATTAATCAATTAATTTGTTCCTCTATAAGAAAACATCGTTTCCAATGACGATATCAAAAATCGTACCTTTTTTATTCTTTCGAGATTAGAATCTTAACTATTATACGACATATCAAGAACGCAAAACCCATGAGATTAACTTTATGGGTGTCTACTAACCGTGGAGGAATGTTTGTTGATAATTTAAGTGTGTATGGCTAATTAGGGACCAATCAGCGACATCTCAGAACATATTTTGTTTATCTGTACACAATGACGAGTATTTCCCATTAGAGCTGGTACCTGAAATTGTGCCGGGGAATAGATATAGGTCTCTTGCTTGCCAGTGTGGCTCGTTTTAGTAAGTGAGTCAGTCGCGTGCTGCCGACGCGCGAGATGAACTCGATGCTTCTAAGCTACTACGGAGGAAAAAAACGCGCAAACCTTGTAGCAGTTGAAACAGATACCTAGTGTGCTATATTGACTATATTTTCCAACGTGACAGACAGGCTGCCTTTATTGCATCATCCCTAATTCTCGGAGATTTTCTTTTGTGATTGTGTTTTGTGGCATATTGTTTTATTTACTTCTGCGTGATACAGTTCAATTTTCCTGAACAAGTTTTTCCAGAGTAAAAAAACAAAATGGAAACGACCTGGAAGAGAATTGCTTCGGTAAGATTGTCCGTAATTATTTTGTTTCAGTGATCGGTGTCATAAAAAATGTTTGAAAATTTGAGAAGAGCCAGGACTATTGCTATATTACGTATTTTGAAAAAAATATTTTGAATTATTTGCGTATCAGCAGATGAGTTTTACTTGTGGTGCCTAGTTTCATGCTTAAAGCGTTTGGGTGTATCAAAGAGATTTACCGATGTACCAAGACAATATCTGCCGGGTTTTCTCCATTTTTACATCATTGCTCATCAAATTTTTAATTAATGATGAAACGTGAAAAAATATAAAATTATAACACGTGTATGGTTAATAAAATATGTCGTTGAATATTACAGCTGCACAATCAGCGCAGTATGCACTTTCCAGACATCTTGACAGCCGTGAGCCGTAAGAAGACAATCGACGCGTCGAACGATTCGTCGTCTCTGGCACGATGCTTGTCAACCCTCGATTTGACATTTTTGGGAATCGGTTCGACGCTCGGTGTAGGCGTATACGTACTTGCTGGATCGGTTGCCAAAAATGAAGCCGGCCCAGCCGTAATAATATCTTTCGCCATCGCCGCCATCGCTTCCATGATAGCAGGTAAGTGCTTGAATCAAGTAATTAGCTTTTTATGAATTTCGGCGTGGTTCATCGAAATTCTTCGGCTTTAAATTTTTTATCAGTACTTATTCTCTTAAAATTGCTCCGCAATAGCAATTTACGACGCGACAAAGTCTCGATTGCGATTACACGTGAACTTTGACTAATATACTTGGCTTATTTAATAGTTAATATAATGAATACTTTTTTCTTTGACCAAGCATGCCCCGCATTATTATCGAACTTTTTTTATCACGATGATGTCACAATTAAAACGTTCTTTTCTACTCAGACGTTGAGATATTTTTGTCAGATAAGCTTCGGTCACCGTGAATGAAGTTGTAAAAAATGTCCTAGTATCGAAATACAAGGATGAAATGACGTTTCATCTGCAATCGAGTAAACATGTTATGAAATAATTTTGCCAACCTCCCGTGAAAATCCAATGACAATGTCGCGGAAAGTCAGGCCGGAAATGATGGAATTGTATTGACGATCGACAGGTCTCTGCTATGCCGAATTCGGAGCTCGAGTGCCCAAGGCCGGTTCGGCCTACGTCTACAGCTACGTGACAATGGGCGAGTTCATAGCTTTTCTCATTGGCTGGACCCTCATACTTGAGTACGTAATCGGATCGGCGAGTGTCGTGCGAGGATTCAGCAATTACGTCGACAATCTCGTCAACAACACGATGAGAAATGCTTTCGAGTCGGCTGCGCCCATCGACATCAAGCATCTCTCGTCGTATCCAGATTTCTTCGCTTTCGGAGTCACCGTGGCCTTTTCCAGTAAGTAGCAATATAATTATTTAGAATCGTCGAGGTCCGATCGTTGATTGAATTCAACTTGCGATTTGCATATTTTCAGTCGCGCTAGCTTTCGGGGCCAAGGAGTCGTCGACGGCCAACAATATATTCACCGTCACGAATCTTTGCGTCGTGCTGTTCGTCGTGATCGCTGGAGCTTTTCGCGCCGATTTCGGCAATTGGAAGCTCAAGTTCACGTGCACGAGCGACAAATGCCCCAAAGGGACGGGTGGATTCGCTCCCTTCGGCGTAGCCGGCATCATTCGTGGCGCGGCCAAGTGTTTCTATGGCTTCATTGGCTTCGACTGCGTGGCCACTACCGGCGAGGAAGCCAAAAATCCTCAACGCAGTATACCCATTGCGATCGTCGCCTCGCTCACCGTCGTTTTTCTCGCTTACTTTGGCGTTTCCACTATATTAACGACAGTCTTGCCGTATTACGAGCAGGACACCGACGCCCCTTTTCCATACATGTTTGAAACGATTGGTTGGCAATGGGCCAAGTATCTTGTGTCCTCGGGGGCCATATGCGGTCTCTGTGCGAGGTGTTTGTCATTTTTACTTGTTTTTACTTAAACCAGCCCATCATCGAGACAAATAATTACCGTTATTTATTTATTCATTCATTTTTCAGTTTACTCGGCTCCATGTTTCCACTGCCTCGTGTAATTTATGCCATGGCCAGCGATGGTCTCATTTTCAAATGGATGGGCAAAGTGAGCTCTCGCTTTCATACTCCACTTATGGGGACTCTGTCCGCTGGCTTGTTAACAGGTAAACGTTTTTCACGCGGCACTCCAATTCGTCGCATTCCAATTCGAAAACTCTAACCTTTGTCTATCTCACCAGGTATTCTGGCGGCGATTTTCAACTTGGAACAACTCGTCAGTATGCTGAGTATCGGCACTTTGCTGGCTTATTCGATCGTAGCGGCTTGTGTTCTCATACTTCGATACGAGGAGAGTCAATCTTTTGAGAAAAGAAACGATGTCGAGTCGTACACTACTTGGTCGATAGTCATGCAACTTGTTAATCACAAAGGACGCACCTATTCGACAAAACTCACTGCGAAACTTGTCACCGCTCTTGTAGCTTTTTACTGTACGTCCACGATTAGCCAATCCATTTCGTTGCCAAATATTTAACTCGTCCAACTTGATTATTAAGCTAATTTCATTTTCTTTTCAGTTGTTATTTGCTTCGGCGTGGCTTCAATCGTTTCCTTTTGTTCCGCCGAGCTTGCAGATGCAAATCCTCTATACATAACGCCATTAGTAGTACTTAGCACAACTTTGATATTTATTTTATACTTTATATATTTGCAACCCACTAGTGACAAGGCGCTCAGCTTTTCGGTAAGTTACAACTTGAAATTCTTTCTTTCATTTTTTTTCATAATTTTAAGCTAACAAATTCACCATCATACTTATTTTTCAAGGTTCCCTGGGTACCCTTTTTACCTGGATTAAGTATATTAATTAACGTTTATTTGATGTTGATGCTGGACATCCAAACATGGATCAGATTTGCAGTCTGGATTATCATTGGTGAAAATTCATCTTGTTTAATGATAAAATACGATCAACTTCTACTCGATGTTACTAACAAAATAATATTCATTTTTCTAGGGATTTTCATATACTTTTTCTACGGTATATGGAATAGTACTGCCAGAACTACAGGAAAATTAACAAATAACAACAATGTTCATAAAATTGGTTGGAGAATCGAAGAAGCTCCTTCGCTCACATAATACTTTATTAGAAAACATTTTATAAAACATTTTTCAAAAGTGATTCGGAAAATGCAACACATTGCACTTAGAAAAATATATTAGTATTTTTACGTTTACTTTAGTAAAATTTTGTAATATATATTTTTTTTGAACTATACAACATTTATCGTAGATATACAGCAAGTGATCAATGGCCAACTATGAAAACAGCATCTTTAGATCATCGATTGTCAATTTGGATGAAACTGATCTTGTGCCTGTTAAAACGTGGTTTGCTATATCCAGTTTTTTGTCTTGAAGATTTTTTACTCTCTCTTCAATAGTATCTTTACAGATAAACCTAAACAAAATATGACTTGTTGATACTCTGATTTTATAATATGAAATATTAATTATTAAATTTAATTAATTTTTTCCTACTTGTAAATGTAAACACTTTTTTTTTGACCGAATCGATATATCCTGTCTTGAGCTTGTGCCTCTAATTGAGGGTTCCAATGAATGTCAACAAGTAGTAAGTGATTAGCTCCAACCAGATTTAAGCCTACACCACCAGCAGTTAAAGACAATAGGAGAATATTAACATCATCATGATGATCATTCAATTTGTCCACGACAGCCTGTGATTCAAGGAAAAAGTAACAATGAAAGACCCATTTGTTTTTTATAATTAATTACAGGGAAAATATGTAAATATGAAAATACTAACTTGTCTATTTTTAACCGCTACTTCTCCGGTGAACTTAGCATAGCAAGCATCTTCAACTTCATCTAACTTCAAAGCAAGAATATTTAAATAACTGGTCCATTGCGATACAACAATTAATTTATCTCCTTTATTTATTATTTCTTTGATCGTTTGGAGAATAGAACGAGTTTTAGAACTTTTACGGTCGTCATTAAATACGGGATTCTTTTTAGTTAATAAATTACTAACCACCTGATCATCAATTTTGTAATCCACAACATGTTCATCTACTTCTTCATTTTCGTTAATAGACATGTTTTGCAACTTTTTCAAAAGTTCAGAACTATTATCGTCTTCTTCTAAGCCGCTTATTTCAGCATCTTGTTTATCTAACATTGAGTGTATGAGTGCTGGATGGCAGCACATTTGTCGTAGACGAAGTAGTAGGACTAAAATTTCATGAGACTCAATGCTACGATGGTGTTCTAATAGAACTTTTTGTGCTTTTGTGAAATGAGTATTTTTACCTATTTTAAAATTAAGAAATCAATTTTAAGAAAAGTGTGTACAAAATTAAATCATACAAATTTTTTTATTCTTACCATCATATTTACTATATCCTCCACCATAAATTTCTCGTAATTGATTTTTTTCAGCTCGTTGAGCTAAAAATTGAGCAAAGAGGTTTTGTGAGAATAAAAGTATTTTTTGATAAGCAAGAGTTTCATCTTTGTCCATGGTAATTTCAACAATTTCGATATTTTTATCTGGAAGTGAATCCAACGCTCCTTTTGATTGAAGTTCTTGTTTAGTTCTTCGAAGCATCAGAGATTTCATTAGCATAATCAGCCTTTGTTTACCAGCATCATTCTTATTATCAACCCAACGTTTCCAAACTTGTAAGTCATCAAACGGAGAACATTTTAAAAATTTCAAAACTGCATACAGATCCATTTCTTTGTTTTGAATTGGAGTTCCTGTGAGAGCCCATCTGTATCTGGCCAGCAACCCACAAACTGATGTACAAGCTTTACTTTTGTGATTTCTTATGTAATGAGCTTCATCCAAAATAATTCTGTTCCATTCCATCTTAATGAACATATTCAATAATTACTTAATGAAACATTTGTAAATAAACATTTTACTTACTTTGTAAAATCCAGTATTTTTTTCTGCTTCTCTCACCAAAGTTTGGTAAGTAGTAACAACGATATTAAATTTTGATAATTTTCTATCATCAACATATCTAGTATTACCATGAAATACAAGTACCGAAAGTAATCCCCTTTTGACACGATTTTTTACTTCTCCTTCCCATTGTTTCAAAAGCGACGCTGGAGCAACAACTAGAGTACCACCATAATATCCTGGAAAACAATTTTTTTAATAAGTTAATAATATTTTCATAAAAAGACAAATATTATGAATTCTTACTTTTATGTTTATTTTTAGATTGCTTCTTTGAAATCCATCCATCACTGTCACTACTATGATCTGTGTCACTGCTGCTATTATCACTATCTTTGGTATCATTAACAGTTGCCAAAATTAAGGAAATCATAGTCAAAGTTTTTCCTAAGCCCATGTCATCAGCTGTAAGGAAAAATAAATTTATATATTATACTTTTTTTAATAATCTCTTTTAATTCTTTTTATTGACTTATTTATGCCTTCTATATTAACAGTCACATAAATTAACGTGAGTAAAGGTGGTGCCAAAAAGCAAATCTATTACAAGAGATTTTTCTCGCAACCATGAACCAAACTTTTTCAAGTAGTTGGACTTTTGGCACCTCCTTTACTGTCATTAATTTTATAGCTTCAATTTTTACAAGTTTTTTATTATTTAAAACGAATAATTTAATTCTAAAATTCTATACCTAATATTCCTCCTTTTGGTTTTTGTTTTTCTCTCCATTTCATCCATGCCAAAGCATGCTGTTGATGAGGCATTAATGTAATCTTTAATCCAGTAGGATCTTTTTCTCTTTGGTCTTCTGTAGGACGAGTTGTTAATGATCCATGCAACTGTTCAAGCCTTTGATGAGTTAAACTCTGTTGTTTTGATAGTGTTTCCATAGCTTTCTTACCAAGATCATTGGTAACAAAAGAAGTTTGAGGGACATTTGGAATATTTTTATAATCAATTTCTGGAAATGGATTAAAACGATCTTCTTTAAGTTCTTTCCTCGGGTCAATAAATGATTTGTCTCTTTTGACTACTGAATTTACATTCAAAGTAGGAGAATGAATACTAACTGAAGTGTCATCTTCATTGTAACTTAAATCTGAACTTTCTGACATTTCATATTTGGATTTTGGATTAACTTTTTTTTTATCATTATAAATTTGTTCACTTTTCCTGATTTTTGGTGTTGAAATTCTTGACTTCGTTTTATTAGATAATTTCTCTAAATCTATTTGGTAAGCTTTAAGTTTTAACTCGTGTTCTTGAATAGTTTTAAATACTTTAGCACCTTTATCTGGTAGCTTTTCTACTGCAACAGATTCTGTAAATTTCTGTGGAAATTATTGATTTGTCAGTACAAGAAAGTTTCATTTTATGTAAAAATGCAACTTACCTTCAGTTTTATTAACTGTTTCTCTGTATTATCTATTGCAATTAACAGATGCTCTTTTTTTTGTGCTTCAATAGGATCTATGTTTCCAACACCCAATTCCTTCCTAGCCCAGTTTATGGCATCATTATCTATTTCATTTTCTAAAAAAGTATTATTTAGAGCATAAAATTAAAATATTACTTCAACATTTGCATAACAAAAAATACTGGTGTTATTACCTGATGAATTTCCAGAACTGCAAATTATAACATTGTCTTTTTCTGGAACTTGTAGTTTATTATTGTTAGGTTTATAATTATTAGTAGCAGTCATTAATTTTCCATTATTCTTGTTTTTCATTAAACTTTCGTTATTAAAGTCATCGTTTGTAGTGAGGTCAATAGCATTGGTATTTTTATAAGGTAAGTGACTATTTTTACTGTTTTTTGGAATTGAATTTGTTTGTGTTAAATCAACAACTCTTCTTGAATTGATTGATTCATTACCTGTTTAATCAATATAATAATATGAGTAAATGAATAGTCAATAAATATTAAATTATACAAGAAAATACTTTGATCTTTAAAATTACTTTCTTCACTTGAGTTATTATCTGCACTATAACTTTCCATACTTTCTTTTACCGAAAAATTTGCAGCATTTGATGGTGAAGCCCTAAATTAAATAGTTGATTAATAGCAAAAAATATGTTTACCAAGAGTACTTTACAAATTATTTTTATTATTTTATACATACTCATCTGAATCAGAATCACTACTGATAATTAATCTCCTTGATCTTTTCTTCAAATGACTATTTATTGGAGTACCTAAAAATTTTAAAGAATTATATCAATGATAAATATTTTTTCATTAAAAATCAACATACTTTCACTTTTGGGAGTGAGTTTTATAGGATTTTCATAAATAGATTGTCTTTTATTTTTATTAAGCTGTGGTTGTTTTGTAACAACCTCTTCATCACTGCAAAAACATATGATTAATGGTTCAATTATTTATTGTTAAGAAAAAAGGTCAAAAGCCTTAAAATTATTATACCTTTCTTCATCTTCACTAGTATCATCCAATATAGATACTTTTCCACTTTGATTCATAAATTGTAAATCTTCTAATAAATGAAATATAAGATTTTAAAAAATACACGTCTTTAACGAATGATCTAATTTTTCATTATCAAAAATTCTTACCATCCTCGGAATCAAGAGATTCATCGACTTTTTTATCTGTGGCCGAGCTATATGAAGTATTACGAGAATCTGCACTTGTTGAAGCCGCCCTGTAAATATAGGTCTTTTCATGTATCTTACTTATGTTGTGAGATAAACATTTTCTCACTTACGATAAATCAGAATCACCAATAATTCTTGTATCACGTCTGGTAGTGGCATTGGGGCCTCTGAATGAGGCTGCAGCAATTTCTTCATCATCACTATCATCTATAACAATTGAGTCTGATGGCTGGAGGCGATGAAAATTGCGATAACTCATAATTGCGTTGTTTACGTTAGCAAAAACTTGGTAAAATCCGCTTATTTAAAATATTTTTCATAAGATACAAATCACGTTTGTAGCGTGGACCGGTCTAAGCACGTTGCAGGACTGATCGTGTTTGGAACGACAGCCTACACGCGGTGTAAGAAGAAAGAACTGACCACAATATAAAGGACTTTGCAACGGTTGCGAATATTTGATTTTAAAATGATTCGCCTTCAGTTAACGGTTTATAATACAAGACTTAATGTGATTGGCGGAAAAATAATTTGAACTAAACTGCGCAATGCACTGCGCTGTGACGGTCGTTTAAATGTGAATTGGCGCGAATATTTCGTGAACTTTTTTTTGACTAAAATAACAATAGATGGCAATACATAAAATATTTTCAATTTTTCTGATATTTCTTTGTTCTTATTTCATAGATATTATTTATCAAAATTTGAACCTTTTCATAAAAATAACTGTAAGGCTAGTGTCTATTTTCACTTAACACGTAACGAAATCAATATCATTGCTAGTGAAAATCAAATGAAAAATATCGTGCTGATGAGAAACTTATGCATTTTTTAATCGTACTTTTTAAGTGAGGAAATTAAAGTTCGATATTGTATAAAAAATGTTCGAAAATAGTTCAAGTTAAAGATAGTAAATTTATAAATTCGAATTTTTTATATCCCCCCCCTTCCATTTGGGCATAATGAAAATTTAATTTGATTTAAAAAATTTAAGGAACACAAAGAGTATTTTAAATGTATTTAATTATTAAAAGTACATCAAATTTTTTTTTTATAAAATCACAAATAAAAATTAATATTATTTTTATTTTTATAACAATACTCAAAACAATATTGAAATTCAATAGTTTCATTACTATAGCAGATAGTAATACTGAAATCAGATCATTTTCAGTAAAATTAAATCTAGCTATTGTTCAAATCACATAAATACTTTAAACATAACAAATTTCAAGTCACAATAACAGTAGAATACCCCACAACCATTAAAATACTATGTACATTTTTGAACTTTGTACAATATCTTTGTACTAAATTTTTAATCCTATGGTCAAAATATTGACTGAAAATTTTTACATGAAGTTTTGATCAAAAGTTAAAAATAAAGTTTAAGCTGTAGAAGTATCTTGAAGAGGATCTTGAACCTTTTCTTGGGAACGCATCAATTTTTTTTTCCTTTTGTCTATTACAAGTTTGACACAGTACAAAACCATCAAAGGTAATGGGGTCATTATTGCACAAGACACAGGGATAACTGTAAAAAATGTTTAATTATTACAATGACTTAATTTAAAATAAGTTGATAAAAAATACCTGTAGTCAAGTCAGCATCAGGTTGTTTTAAACTAAATCTTAATAGAAAAATAGCAACGCCAGTATTTTGAACACCAGTTTCTATAGCTATGGCTCGGATGTCTTGATTTTGTTGACGGAATATAAATGCAACCAATAAACCAAAAATAAAACCCAGCCATGGTAGCCCTAATCCAGCCAAAATTATCTAGATAACCAATTTTACAATGTATATTAGTATCATGCACACTTTTTAATAAACAATAAATTGCTATTTATACAAACCTGCCATGAGAAAAGTCTGAACAAATATAAATTAGTGATTATAGCAAAAATAACAATAAATATGATAAGACAAACTGAAAAAGGTTTCATAATGCGGACCATGATTCCAGAAAACCTTGGCAATTTTTTCTGAATCAAGTATCCTATAGCCAATGGTATAATAAGACCAATAGCAAAAGTAGCTATTTTATCGTAAGGCATGATCAGATTTGCTTTATCAAAAATAATTTTTCCCAAAGTAAATAACCACATAGGCATTAAACCTAAAATTGTAAAGTAGTAAATTAATTCATTTTGCATATTATTTTGTTATTAAAATTTTGAATTGAATTTTTACCAAAGGCAGCAATGGTACATAAAGTAGTCATTGTAACAGATAAATTTAAATTTCCCCCAAGAATTATAGTCCAAATATTGGATGCACCACCGCTAGGGCTAATGCCAGTAAAAAATAATCCTAGTTGCATTTCAGGATAGCTAGGAAATAATAATAATCCCAGTACATAACTTATCTGAAAAAAGTATCATGAATAATAACTATATCTAAACTTTTTGAATATTTTTATGTGTCTCACCATTGGCATTAATAAAAATTGACAAACACATCCTATCAAAGGACCAATAGGCTTTCTGATTGTTTTTTTACATACATCCCAATCCATAGCACATCCAAAATTAACATATAATAAAGATACTAATATTGCCACACTAGCAGTGAAGATAGTATCTATGGTTCTTGCTTTTCTAATAACTACCACATTTAAAGTTGATTCAACCTTAGTCTGAAATAATTTTTCAATGCAGTTAAATCAAGTTATTAATGTTTTTATACTAATCTTAACTGTAACTGATAAGTAATTGTAAAATTGATAAAACATTACTTTGAAGTGTTTAAATATTTTTATGATTTTAAAGCTTACATAATAATCTATCACAATTTGAAATTAAGTAAATATCTTATTAAGTAATTTTAATTTATATGAAAAGTAAGTATAATTACCTCTCCATATTGAAATGAAATTAATACTTTAGCTTTTCCAAGGAAAATGCCAGTAACATTGACTGAACTATTATAAACTTTGTTCTGTAATAGTTTTGCATCAAATTCAGGTGAACTAACTTGTACTATGTTCCACAATGAACTATTTGAAACCAAATTAGCTTTTGATAAATCCATGTTATTCAGTCCATTAATACTAAATGGAATAACAGACACTTCATCCATGTGAATAATTTTATCCGTCTCATTAAATTGTATAGTGACTCCGCTTGCTGAATTGAGCAGCAGCAATCCTATGAAAATAAAAATCATCTCCTGCAATGAGGAATAACAATTATAATTCAATAATGATTATTTAAATATTTTTTGATTGTGTAAGATCTACAAGATGATTTAAAGTTATAGATAAAAAAGAGCAAAAAAAACAATAAGATCTTAATTACAATCTCAATCAGTAATCAAATCACATGCGAAAATATTTGGATCGAAGCAACAAGTGAGTGCACAAGCCTTGTGTAAATAGAAAACAATTCCTAAGCGCCAATTCATCGAATCGGTAGTTATTTTTTTCCATGTTGAATTTAAAATTCACTGAATAAAATTTCAGTTGAAGTTACGTCACTCACGTCGGCGAACGCATTATACTTTTGCACCATTGCATATCTTACTCGCCGAGTGTCACATGGAGTAGGTCTGCGGCTTACTAAAAAGTAATAATAGATTGTGGCAGTGTCTCGTGGGTATATAGTCAGAGTGCATGCATGCGATTCGCACGTAAAACGCACGCATAGGGTCGCGCTTCACTTTCAGAGATAGTCGCGTGCCTCGATGCACTTGACTTTTACAATCTTCTGCGTGATGCCTCACAGTTTGAAAAGATTCAAAGCAAACTGAGAGCATCATTTTTATACTTAACGCAGACAATAGCAGCGACGAGCATAGCTTCTTTCACGTGTTTTATCGATTAATCCGATCTATGTAAGATTATAGGTAGATTCTAATGGGGCCGTAATGTTGATAGCAGACATAAACTCACCTTTTATTGATAATTACGGCTCGTGATGTAACATGTGGAAGGCTACTAGCTGGTAGTGGAAAGGTATAAATGATAAGCCAGACCGGTTTGTCAAAATATCCAAGCTGACGAATCAGAGGTCTAGCTGATGACATCGGTTGTGCCGCTTCTGTGCGAGGCTACTAGCGCGCAATCACTGCCGTGAGCCGCAAGGCTGATAAAAGGCAATCGCGAGCTGGTTACTGGCTGGGCATTAGCGCGGACTTGGCTGCACACTGTTGCTATACAGGCCTATCTGCGGAACCGATTGAATCCGGCATTCATTCTACTCGAGTCTCGAGTTGCAACGGAGTAACGTGTAGCCGTGACTTTTGCAGGTACATAGTGTACACAACAGTACGTTCTCACCCGACTCGTACTTTCCTATTCGTGAGAGTAGGCATGCTCGTTTGGCACTGTGTTCTCTCGTTGCATCTCGGAACTGTCGCTCCTGCAGACAGATTGTTTTTGTGCCATATTTGCGCAGGCGCTACTAAACTTGCTAAAGTATATAATTTGAGTTTGACGATATTCTTTTCATCTTGTTAACTATAAAATTTCGGAAGTTATTACACTCTACGGATTACAATTGTCATTTTTATCGCAAATTCGTTCAATCTTATTCTACTATTTGTGAGTATAGATATCTACGATTAGAAATCAATACACCCCATACTCTGCTTGGCTTGATTTATTTAATGATCGGGTACTTTCAAGTACAAGTCGGTGGTCTTATTACGATCGGCAACAAACATTTTCGAGCACGAGTGCACTCACTTAATTTTTTCAGTCGATAATAGTTTATTAAAATCCCAAGTCATTGAACTTACCATCGTTGGGCCTACTGTTTTTCTTCGTGTAATTCGCTGGAAAAATCTACTTGACAAAATACTGCGAGTATCACCAATGACAATGATTTTTTGGTAAAAAAAATGCAAGAATATGAGTACAAAGATATATGAGTACAAGTGACCAATACGGTTTATATGTTTCAAGTGATGAAAAAAAATCTTTTCAACTTTGAACATTCCAAGTTTAAGCACCACGATTATATCCAAACGGTATATAAACATAGCAATGGGTTACTTGTAGACTGTTGTAATTGGGGATTAATTTCATTAAAAAATAATCCATTTGCATTGATGTAATTTTAATTACTAACAACAATAAATAAAGAATTAATAAAAGTTTCGAAATGTTTCGCTTTTTGCTTAAAGTTCATAGACGCCAATGTTCAATCATCAATATTCAATTATTGAAATGTCTTTATAATTTAAAAATAAAATCGATTACTTTGTGAAATGGTAAAATTTACCGTTTCTTCAATTCGCGCTAGTTTACCTATAAATCGTTCAACGATTACGTTAAGTCATTTGTGGCTTAGTATTATAAAGTGAATAAAATCAAACGTTATAATCTTTCAAAGTTGATATATCCTTTATTTATCAAAAAAATTTTATTTTAAAATACATTTTTTTTAGAAAATAGTAAGCTGTATAAAAAATGACTCTTTTTACGTGTTGAATATTGTTCTTGCTTTTGTTCTTGCTTTTTAAGTTAAATTTTCAATTTAATTGATCTATTGATCACTGATTCTATACATTTTCTGCAAACACGTAATTTTGAAACTTCCTTTAATTAATACAGAAAATAATTTAATATGTTAAAATTCTTGGAATTCTAAATCAAAAAGCTTGTGAATGATATCATCCATTTGAAAATCATCTGACAAATCCACAATTAATTCTTCGACAAGCTTATCAGAAATCCATGAAACTACATCCCAAGGTTTATTGTTTGAATTACTGTTGTACATGAGGTTACTCTTCAGTGACTCTTCATATTGATTTTGGTAATTGAGAATACCTGCAATTACTTTATCCGATATTTTTAATTTTATTTTCTCGCTGTTTTTCCCGTAAGTAGTCTGACATGAAAAATCGTTCGATTTAATAAGTTGTTTATTTTTCTTGGGATTGGTTGGTTTTACATTATGAGCTTGCTCTAACTCATCTTTTTTTTCAATGCAAGAAATAAGCTTTATATTTTTAGTACCAATTACATTGTCATCTTTGGTCTGCGGTTCTATAAAAAGAAAATATTTACATATAAGTAATATGTAAGGTATCATATGAATGAAATATATTTTTGAATTTTTTATTGTTAGTGAATAGCATATAATATACCTAGGCCATAAAACTAAGAAAAATTTCGAATAAAGTGATATTACTGTGTATTCGAAACGGATCACCGCTCAACTTGAGCTTTTGTTGTGTGAGTTTAAAACTTTTAATACATGAGACCTAACAATATTATTTTTTGTATACCCTTACAGCTGACAATAGTTATTTCCCACTTATCAGTTTTGGTTCCGTTTTGGAAGCATACCACAGGTGCTCCCGGACTTTTCTTTTTTACAGCTTAGACATGTTATATCATTTAGTTTAGCGATCAGAAAATTGGTACTTTTACTGACTTTGGTATTGAAAAAAGCTTATTTTTATTCCTTGTGATGTAATAGTAACTGAAGTGGGAGGTAGTCAAATTCTTGTACTTGTGTGAAATTTCATGTCAAAACTCCTTTTTCTCGCTAAAGGAAAGCTGAGGAAATTTTGTATCAAAATAATAAATTAGTATTATTTCCGAATGCATTTGCGGCCACGCTAGGAGTTTTGACGTGAAATACCAAATGTGGAAGATTGATAACCACTTCAGTTATGTATAGTATTTTTTATTACACGGAGTGCGGAAAATGGATTTTAATATTTTCCTGCACACTGTGATAAAGTAGTACATTTCAATATAAGCATGGTTGATGGAACGGGTAAGGTGAAACCTTTAATTTATTCAAGTTATCATTATGTTGGTGTAAAAGTGAGCATCATTTTTTATGCTTTAAAGAATGTCCAGAAATAATTTTGAAAACATAATCTCACTATGCCTTTGGGTATGAAATGCAATAAAAAATTGATTTTTTATTACAAAACTTTTAAACTTACTTGTTTCCACCTGAGTTTGGAAATTTGATAAAAACTTGTACAAAGTATCTATAGAGCTTGGAGGAATAGATGCTGTTTTGCTATCATTACTTTGGACTAAAGACAACAAATCTCCAATTACAGGTAATAAAGATGCAGCTTCATCATTCTTTGATTGATCTATTAATAAGTCTTTTCCTTTGAATTTTGAATTGGTCAATTTTGCAGCTTCTTTAAGATTAGAATTGGTATTAAGAAGCTTATTGGTTTTTTGAAAATTTTCTCTTCTGTTTGTACATTTTGCAGATCGATGACTATCAATATCAGAATCAAGTGGAACTGTTTCCATTATAGTTTGTATATCATCTTCTTTTTGAGGAATATCAATTCTTGCAATTTTATTTGCACTAGTTATATCAGTTTTAGCTAATAGAGAATTTGATTTCTTATTCAGCATAGAAGGATTACTTTGTTGTTTGCATCCTAGGCAATTTTGTTTCCGATTTTTTGTTATCTGAAACATGCTGTGAGTTTTCTTAGGCTGATAAGTTTTTAATAATCTAAAGTCTGGTGCATACATACTCAATCTATGAGCAATTTTACTTTTAATTTGTTGTTTATTATTGCGAGTAGGTGTCATAATAGATGATCTAGTTGTATGACTAGCAAATTGAGATTCATGTTCAGAAGCAGCACCAAATTTGTTCAAAATTGCAGTACAACGACTTTCAGTCTCTTTTCCTAAAAATGTATCTTTATCATCTCCAGATGAATATTGATCTGGTGTGAGTTTTATTCCAAGACAAATATTTTTTAGTTGCACAACTGTTTGCAAAATTTTCTGCAATTTTCCAGGGTTATTTTTCAGGACAGAACAAGGAATATGCTTGCAGTAAGCACTTAGAGCAGCAAAAGTCAGTTGATGAGCACTCAATAACTTTTGTTCTATGGCTTGCATATGCAGAATAACCCCTCTTCTGCATAATCTCATTTTATAACTTGGGTCAATTGCTTTTATATGTTTAAGAATATCTGCTATTTGCCTGCCTAAATCATATAAGTAATTTCTCGATAGCCTAGTAGAAAATTCCACAACTCTTTGTTGTCTTCGTTGGTAATCATCTTCGCCATCAGGTAAAGGAATTCTATCAATTTCACATGAAATATTTTCTAAGACAATAGATATTTTTCTTTGGATGTTTAAAATTTTAGTGACAACAAGAGGATCTGGATGCACAGGCATATAATCTTCATCGTTGCTAAATCGATCTGGGCTGACTTCAGGACTAGAATTGCACTCAAAATTATCTTTATAACGATGACATCTATAATGGGGTCTAATGTTTTTGAGTGTTTGTTCCGATAAAGATTTTCTTATGTAAGTTCTACATGCATTGTGAGATTCTGATGTATCGCTTATGCAACACGAACTTCCTTTTTGAGGCTCTGTTAATAAAATATTAGTACAGCAGTCACAATTTTCTTTTTCAACATGCGAATCCCTTCTTTCACAATTAGCTGATTGTATTCTTCTCTATAATTTAAATTTAATTGATAGTTAATAAGAAAATAGTGCATGATTATATTTAAAATTTAAGAATATTACCTTAGAGAATTTATGAGTGTTTACTTTTGATAAATCAGCATCTAATCGAGTTAATTCTCTGTCCACATCTTGAAATGTTTCTTCAAGAGTTTTGCTAGATTTAAGTTTTTGTCCATCATGATTACACTTGATCATTTCTTGTTGCTTTTCTTCAAAGTAGGCTGAATAAAGTCTTTCTTCTTCATCTCGCGTTCTTTGTCTTTTCACATTTTTAATGATATTTTTGAATTTATCAGCAGGTAGAAACTAGATTAAAATGTTTAAGGAGAGTAAATTCGAACGTAAATAATATATTTTTCTGAAATGAATAAGAATAATGTTGAGGTAGAATTTTACCTGAAATTCAAAATCATCTTCGTCTGTGAAATGATCGAAGTCTTTTGAAATGTTACCATTAACCGTACGATATTTTTCTTTAGCGCAACACGCCATCGTTACTCTTAGACAAACGATGTCAGGGTTAGGTCCTATGTTTAAATTCTACATTCCATATAAAATTTCAGCGCGCCTAATCCTCGTTCTTGTATGATCGAAAAATATATAAATGAGAAAAATAAATTAAAATTGCGTGGTATGGCGCGCGTCTCTCTTTTTTACTCTTCTCTTCCGAATCGGTACGGTGGGACGCTTGCCAGCTGACGAAAATAACAAGAAGTGATGGGGCTAGCGCCTACCATAGCAGTCGTCGCTAGACACAGCAAAAAAGCGTATACTAAACTCCCCGTTTTGCAACTAAGCGGTCGACTTTTGTTTGGGGCGATTCATAAACCATACGGTGCATGCTGCAAGTGAGTATTTTGAAAATTGATCGAATTGTGGATATAGGATGTACTGAAATTTAATTTGAAGATTCAAATACCTCGTCTCGTCTCGAGAATTTACCATAGAGGTAGTAAATAAACTCAAAAAATTTTCAAACGATATAATACCCTGGAAGAAAATGAAACTCATGAATATGTACTATATCGTCGGTTCAAGCTATTTATCTATATTACTGTTATTGAGTAAGATTAGACTGATTATTTTTTCATTAAAAATTTAAAGAAAATTTTACGAAGTATTTCATAACTATTGAACCGTAACTGAACATTACTTTTTGATTGGAATTACTTATAAAAAAAACTCAATTAAATTACACTCCATTAATTAAAAACAAAATTTTTATAGAACATTTCAACATGGATACAAGAAGTTCAAGTAATGCCACCAATAATATGGACCGTAATATAGTTGATGAAGTTGACGAACAGATTATAAGAGGAGATCAAATTGGAGACACAATGTACAGTGCACATTGGGTTTTGGACTTTATATTATCTCTAACAAAAGAAGACAAAAAAGATGAAGACATGATTGAAGGCAATTTAAGCACTATATGGGATATGACTGCAGATGAGCAAGTTGTCACATTTTTATTGGAAAATCAATTTTATGATGTAGCTTTAGTATTTCTAAAAAATTCTAGAAATGATAGACACATAGTCAGTAAAATTTAAAAATATATAATTAGGTATATCTTTCAATATTCATATTAAATCATCAAATTCTACAGGAACAGTTAATTGGTATTATTGCCAACTTAACTTGTCAAACAAACGCATTGGAAAGTTTGTCTGAAAAAAATGAATTAGTGAATATTATTTTAATGCACTTATCTGGTAGTGATACAGAAACGTTACTTCAAGTTTTTAGATTATTAAAATGTTTCATTCATGATATTAAAATAAATCCCAATTCCTTTTGGTTAAAAAAACTTACAAGTTGCGAAATTCTTGTGGATTCGTTAAACTTCATTCTTTGTAACTCATCAAATGGTTGTAGCTTTAACAATAATAATTTTTTTTAATGAAACATATATTTAATAATTGAAAAATTATTTTTTCAGAGAATCTCTTGATGTCTGCATTAGAATTAATTTGTTTGATGACTGAAATCAAGTTACCAAATAGCAATCAAAGTTTGATGGAAGGTATCTTTGACGTTGAAAAATTGTTGCACAATTTCAACATAGCAACACAGGAGCTTATACATTGCAAAAATGATGTTCATGATGACAATGAAATTAAAGTAGTTAACTTGTGGTTTAGTTTCTATGAAACTATATTTCACAAAAAATTATATAAATTCACTCATGATCAAGCAGATGAAAATTTCAAAACAATGAATGATATATTAACGAGAATGTTGAAACCTTATGAATGCTCAAGCAATTTAGAACTGTTTGAAAATGACTGTTTTGATATTATAGAAAATTGTATTAAAATGGCATCCTTTTTTGAATGTAATCAGATGCTACCATCTAAGGAATTACTACAAACTGTAGCTTTGATATTGTTAAATATTCAGTCAGGTATCTCAATTATAAAACATAGATATTAGTGTATTGTGTAACAAACCAATTAATTGTTTTTTTTTATTCTTACAGTCATGAGTCAAGATGATGCAGTAGAAATAGAAAAAGTAAAACAATTGCACATTACATTATCATTATTTTGGGTCGAAACTCATAAGCTACTCAGTAAAAAAGGCAATGCATCCATATTTGACAGTAATGCTAAAGACTGTGAAAAATTTATTGAAAAAATAACTTCTGAATTCCCACAACTAACAATAGAAATAAAAGATATAATTAGGCAGTGAATTTTCAATTCTAAATTTAAACAAAAAATAGTTTTAGCATTGTCTGCAAAATTTGTTTTTCATGTACATTTTAAATCTGAAGGCTTTATTAAAATTTAATATAAAATATTTTAAAATTCAGTTTTTTATTGAGTTGAAAATTTAAATTCATAAATCTGCATCGTTTTTTCAAAATTTACTTTCTACTTCTTAAAAACTTTCTTATATCAATCAAAAGTTCAGTCAAAATAGTGTTACATTATACGAGCTCAGATTTCAGAACCGAAGCGCGCGTAACATGCAGTCTACTCATAAGGCGTTCATTCGCCTCTGAAATACTCACACTATTATAGTACTGTATATGTATACCATCTACCTAGTATCATTCTACAGTGCGGTGTGTGATGTGTATTTCTATATATAAAATAAATACAGCCAGCGCATGTGTGATATGCGCTCAGCTGGCTGATCAGCGATATTCAGCAGTGTACAGAGAGTGTATTATAGATTTGTCAAAGGCAGCAGTCGCTGTTGGGCGATTACTCGAGGCGCACTTGACAACTTAATATTACCAAAACATTCGGGTGTGTGCGCGAACTTATGTGCGTCTGTGGACTGAGGATCTGTGTGTATTAAAGCGAGGGTGGGCCATCGTATAGTCGATAGCAGTTTATTATTTTATTTATAGGGAGGCTGTCGCCCAAGCAACGCAATCAAGATTCGCCAATTATTCCTTCGTGCGTTGTCATCGATTTTCAACAGATTCAAGATGCCCAACGAATTAACCATCGAAGACGTGAGTATTTATTACAATATTCTTATCCCAATGTGACCACAGCATTATTTGCAAATCTCTGCCTATGTTGCAATGCGAATTCGTGTCAAGGATAGTTTTTAACCAAAAAACTATTTCCGCATTCGAGGCCTTTGACTCGAGGACGCATAGCGAATTTTCGTTTCACTCGGCTCTGTTTTGCACGGTTCTCGATGATGCTTGTGTATATTTACACGTGTATGTCAATATTGTTTTTTTTTTTTTCAATTCGTTTCATAAACTAACTCTGAACGTTTCTTTTATTTGAAGATACGAATTTTGAAATCTCAACATGTGCACATGAAAGACGAATGTTTGGTTCTACAAAAAATCAACAAAATTATTCGCGAAGGCTCGAACAAACTCCAGGTGCGTGCCATACTTTTTCCTTTTTTTAATTTTATTCTTGAACGTAATATAAAAATGAATTTATAATTAAATTTATATCATAGGTTGTGTCAGATTTCGATTTGACTTTAACAAAACAGCATGAAAACGGAACACCAATCCTTAGTAGTTTTGGTAAGCAAAAATTATCATATATATTTTACTACAGTTATTATTTTTCTTAGAATATTACCAGCAAGCAACTGGAATATTATTATCATAATTGAATGTGATAAGATTCAAGATTTTATTAATGATATTAAGATTATAATGCTATATTTAAAATGTTTAATATGTCAATTCAATTTTTAGGCATTTTTAGAAAATGCAAGCAACTGCCTGATTCTTACAAAGATGAAACAAGATTACTGTATGAAAAATATAGACCAATTGAAATTGACCCAAACATACCAATGGAAACAAAAATTAGTGCAATGAATGAATGGATGACAATATCTCACAAAATGTTACAAGGCCTAGAATTTGATAGAAAAGAAATAGACGAAGTAGTCGATTTACATGGTCACTCTCTAAGAGATCGTACCAAAGAGTTATTTAGTAAACTGTGGACTAAAAATATTCCAATCCTTGTGTTCAGTGCAGGATTAGGTGATATTGTAGAAGCTTTATTAAGGCATCAAGGAGTCTTGTATGATAATGTTAATGTCATATCAAACTTTTTACAATTTAATGGAAATACACTAGGTGGTTTTAAGAACTCAAATAGAATTTTACATGTTTTTAATAAAAATGAGCATGCAGTAGAAAATGAGTATTTCAAGATTATCAAAGGTCGTTCTAACGTAGTATTGATGGGAGATACTCTTGGTGATGCTCTTATGGCTGATGGTGTAGAAAATACTGAAACCATTCTCAGAATTGGCTTCCTTTATGAACATGTAAGTGTATTGAATGATTAATGAAAATACTAATCTTATTTTAGAGTTATTAATGCTAATATTATTTTTTTTTTTAGGTTGAAGAAAGCTTACCACTATTTAAAGATGCTTTCGATATCGTGTTAGTGGATGACCAAACTATGAATGTAGTTTTAGATATCCTTAGTTCAATTTTGTAACGAAATTAGTTACAGTTTATAAGAAATGAATTATTATAAATAAAAAGTTCCCAAAAATTTTTTTGGAATAGACTTTGTACATTCATGTTTTAGTAAATCATAAGCATTAATATCTTGTAAATTTGTATATTTTACAAGTATACATGTGATTGTAATAATTTATGTAATAGTTAAAAATCAGATATATGCAACAGAGAAATAATTGAAGACTGTGGTCGTATAAAAATTCATAGAAGTAAAATTAAAATTAGTTGAATAATTATTGTTTCGAAAAATCAAATATTTCTTTGCAAGCAAAGATTTTTTTGAATGATGATGTTGATGTATCATATAGTTGTATATTAATATTTAGCACAAATTTTAAAGTTCTAATTATTTTGTCAGATTTTATTAATACCAATGCTTTAAAAGTTTTTGAAAAACTTGAATATTAAAAAAAATATAATTTTAAAATGTTTTTGACAAAAAGTTTATCATTTTCATTTTTATTTGAAGTACCTCATTGCATTCAAATTCAGAAAATTATTTGTGTTATTTTGTTCACATAGTAATGGTATTGGAAATTATTTATTAAAATAGTTGTTATACACTATTTAAAAGTTAAAAGTTAAAATTGTATAAAAATGAGCTAAATTGTGTGCTGCCAAAAGAAAATATAATAAATACCCCATGAGTATTAATTTCAATTTCAGTTGCTGTGTTGACAAATTACTAAATGGATAAAAAATTTAAAATCAATACATAAGTATTCAGAGTACATAAAAGTTCTTTCCTATTTATATAAATAGAATTTTTATTATTTAAAAATTTATTTTTTGTTGAATAAATACTTGGTTTAGCAAGTTCATCAAGATAACATAAATATTTCAAAAATGTTGTGTATTTCATCAGTAGATCCTCATTGTTGTAATTTTTGTTATTATGAATATTGTCCATCAATTGTAATAAAAATAAAACATGCCAAGATAAAATGACTATAATATTCAATCAATATTGAACTTTAATAGGGTGTTTGTTCAAGCATATGAAAAAATTGTAATATCAATCAATTATTAAAAAAATCATGATGTATTTCAAAAAATATAATTTCCTTTAGTTCTAGTCGATTTGCTTATTTAGGATGACTTTGCCATATTTTGGACACTTAAGAAAAAATCTTTCTTTGCTCATTTACATTCTTTGTCAGTCATCCATTTTTCGATCAACCCATTGAGTCGTCAATTTCTCCGTACACAGAATTCAGTAATTTTTATTTTCGAGGTCTGAAAGCATAATAAATTAACAAACTATATCTATAAATATCTATAAATTTATAAGAAACATATCGTTGATCTTCAAATTGAACAAAAGTTTTTGAATAAAAATTATTACGGAATACTGCATCTGGTCGAACTCTGGATAGACAATTAAAACAAATAACTCACTTTTCGACCAGTTCAGAATAAAAGATTGAGCGACGAAATAAATTTAATTATTTTCAAGAGAAACTGTGAATTTTCTCTGACAATATATTTATAGAATTGAAAAAATTTTTATTGCATCAATATATCATATTCATTTCTATTTATTTAAATAATCTTTGGGTGGTTGAAAATGGGGGGTTGATTGGTATCTGGCACATTCACCTTATATGCGCAAAGAATAGTTATTTATGATTCGTGGTGCATCACTAAGTACGTACCCATACGAATGAACACGTAAATAGAATGTAACACCTGATGTAATACACGATCGGTTCCGTTCTTTTGTGAATGCAACCTATATATATAGGCATACGATGCATCGAGTCGACTAGAGCCGAAGATAAGTAAATTGAGCCGCAATAGTTTGCAGTGTGGGAGCATTATAGAGAGAAAGAGAGGGAAACAAAAAGCGAGATAATTCGCGAGCGCGTGAAGCCCATCGAGAGCATATATAGCTTAATAGAGTTGCGAAAAGTGAAAAAGGGAGAGCGAAAGAGCAGAAAAACAAGCCACGGCTGTGTGTCGAGCAACTAGGATATAGGTATATCTGTCGGGCGAGCCGGGCAAATCGGCTTAGTCGAAAAGGCCGTTCGACCGAGTTCGATGCAAAGCCACGCAAGCACGCAGAAAAGAAAAAACCGCATCGGGCGCGTAAGAGCGAGCGAATCGGGCCGGCTGGCATCCTCTGCTGCGACGGAACACACAGTCGCCTACGCGTTTTCATGTTTATCGTTAGCTAGTCCAGCTGCAGGTACGCGAGTTGACTTTTCTACTGATCAGCGTCTGCACAACGAGTCGACCGGCGCACGAAGACTGGCACAAGAGAGAAAGGCAAAGAAAACCCTGCAGATTGGGAACGATTTGTTTACGAATGGGCGATTTTGCTCCCATCAACGTTCGCGTGTGCTGCGCGCTCGCAAACGCAAGCCTACATATACCATCACAAGCTCATCGGTGATAAACTGATGGCTTGGCTATATTTATGTACGAGTTACAAATTGTTCGTGCGCGTATATAGTTTTTAGTGTTTATAATGGTGCAGATAATACAGAATATATAAGAGTAGAGAAATAATAGGTTACATCTGCACTTGGCAGTTGGTTCCTGCGGCAATCAACACCTTTATCGCCGCTGTTGCTCGATGCTCGGACGAAACTTGCGAAACTATACAAAAGTTATGCGAGCCCCTAGTGAAAATCTCGTTGTGTACACATCAGTAGTATCGGCTCTAACGGTACTGGCAACCAATCGCATCGGTGAACTTTTCATTATACGTTTGCACCCCGATCACGGGGATACTGCGAGTCAATCGAACGAGCATAAACAAGTGTATAGATGTTGGTGCGTGACTGAGTGATAAAGAGTCGAGAGAGAGAGAGAGAGACATAATCGCTTCGATACACACATAGTTACGAATTTTAGGCCTTTTTGACGCTTTTTGAGAACTGGGCGAGTCACATGCTGGCCATTATTGACGCTGCGAAACGTAAATCATCATCGCCGCGGCATGTCCGACGTCACGACGGCATCGTCGAGCACCACATCGCAGCAAGACTGGTTCGAAGGTGATCGGCTGTAATTCAGCCCTCGTGTTTTGTAGTATATTAAACATAGATCCGAGGCCTCTTTCATCTAAATTGCCGTGTGAATTTTACTTTCTGACTCGCCGGTAGAACTGCAGAGGAAGATATTCGAGGAATGCATCGACCAGTCGAACGAAGCCTCCCCAACCGACTCGGATGATCCTGCCGAATCGTGTCGCGGCCAGCGAATCCGACAGGATACAGCGCTCTCCAGCGTGGGACGAACCGCCGATGTCGCTGCTGTGCCCCTCTCGGTCATAGTTCGCAATATTCATCAGAATTTTGCCAAAGTACCGCATTTTCGGTAAGCGTCTATTTATATTTACACATGAGCAATGTAGATTAGCGTATGTACAGCCACGTGCCGTCTGCTGGGCCGCCGAAAATCTTGCGTGCCTAATTATTGCTCTGCCGAGCCATTGTAAGCCGAGTCTGCATCGAGCAAAGATGTCATTTAGCACGATTGAGGCGGCTCAAAGTCGACGTTGAAAAGACTGCTCGCTTTGAGCGAGAGCCGCGCGCTTACCTATTAGCAGTGCTCGTGAAATCGTAAAAAAACAGACGCCGCTAGACTGTCACGCAGTTTCATCTTTCTGTCGAAAAGCCAAAGGAACGACTTTCTGGAGGAGCTCCGCTGCTCGCTGGAGAGGGTCGCGCGCTCGCAGCAGGTCAGCTGGCCCGACTTTCGCGACACGTCGTCCGGCTGGTTCCGCAAACTGCTCAATCTCGTGCAAGAGGATGGCAACAACAACTCGCAGAGGTACGCATATGTGCACACGCATTATAGGCTCGTTTACGTCAACGGTATATGGCTGCTTTGTAGCTAGTCACTTGCAAGCGATTCCCAATGCAGGCCACTCTTAATGACGTACATACGTAATCTATCCATGAGTACTTTCCGAGTGCACGTATCGTTACATGCATCCTCGATTGCTTGCAGTTAATAATTGACATTTATCGGCGATCAATGCGAGTCGCAGTAATCAAACTCTTCTATATGGTCTGTAAGTCGACGTCGTCGTTTCGGTATCGAGTGCATACGCCAGCTTCATCATGCGAAATAACGATCGTGATCGAAGCAAGCCCCAAACGCACCTTGCTACGTCTTTTTCCACATTCTAAGACTCCTATGTATGAAAAAATAAAAAAATTATATACCGCACAATTCGCTGACTACCAAGCAGCTATTATCGCTCCTCGAATGGAGAACAATTTCGTGCCATGTCTGAGTGTGTATGCGTGTGAACGGGTATAAAGATAAAGCGGTAACAAACGCACATACATCAGCTTCATATTTTACGGTTTAATACAATAAGCGCTGTATAGCAACGTAGCTTTTGCAAATAAACGAGTACCTATAATGTGACCAATAGAACTTAAAATTATCCATTTTCTTGACTAATAATATAAAGTTTATACGACGGTCAAAATAACGCTAGTTAAATAGCTCTGCGAAATTACATTCATTCAAAACTACGATTCCAATTGGGCTGATCCTTTTATTTTATTCGACACTCACTTTTGACCAAGTAACATTAATTTGAAGTACCTGCGCGTAGCAATGAAAATACCTACATGAAAAAAAAACATTTCTTGCGGAGAGAGAAAAAGACAGACGCGTACGATTTTTCCTACTTAGCGTACGAGCGTGCGGTTAGTTCGCGCGTATGGCAGTATACCTTTCAGCCGTGCATTACAAATATGCGTCTTTCGTTGAATTGACATCTTTCGTTTCTACGTCAACTATTATAAAAACTTGAGTAATATCGAGTTGTACAAGTGGATAAATCAATTTTACGGTGTAATCTCATAGTGCGAGCATAAAGCGATAAATGATCTAAAAGTCCTGCACTCCGAGTTTTATCGAATATAATACGTTTTTCATTTCAAGGACCTGCACTCATATTACATTGTGTAAAGCATAAAAATGCTTTGTTATATTTAAAACATAAATTTGGTTTGCTCTCTGAGATACGAGCTAGATAGCTTTTTGTATTTATTTGAATAGTAATCATTACGTGCTTTGACTTGACTAATTTGTACTTGGAGATTTTTTTAAAACCTGATGTGACTTGAGAGAATGAAATAAATGTGAATGCTCAAATACTAGGCAAAATAAACTCGTGGGCGAGGTAATTTCTGAATGATAAAATTTTCCCTCGTTATTCTTAATTGTCACCCTTGAATTATTATCTCGCTCTTTGACTCTAGGACATTCTTGAAGTTTTTACTGTATGCCGTTATGCTGTATGCACGACAACTAAAGTAATAATTTGTACCCGCAGAGAATTTAAATAATCTATTTGAAACTTTTGAACATCTGAATGTCTTATAATGAATTATATATTTTAACTATAACGACTCACTGGACAGCGACGATGCCTTCGATATTATATATCATTAAAAAAAATGAATTTCTTATAATCTTTGAAATATAATATAAATGTATTGTAAAAAGTATCGTCATAAACATAAACACGCCTGCATTGGGAATGAATATAAGAAAAATAAATCGTTATAAATCTTTGTGGTACAGTGACTCAATGGCTGAAGATTTAGGCAAAAATGATCACGGCTTTGAAGATCAAAGCAACGATGATGGACGCTTCGACGATGACGATTTTCAATTGAGCTCAATGAGAAAAATTAATACCATGGGTAAATGAAAAATAATCATTTTAAAATATCTCTTTTACGATCTTTATTTTGTTTTAACCATTTTTTTATTAAAAGAGGCAAAGCGGAAAATGTAATTATTTATTTCTTTTTAGCTTCTTGTCACAGCTTAAACAGCAGCAGTGCAGGATTTGGGTAAGTTGATATATTTATAAAAGGAAAGATTATATTCTTTTACTTCATTTACTTCAAAGGGTTTCAACCGAATATTTTGAAAAATTTTATTTTTCAATAGAACTGATAGCATGTTGGAATCATCTGAAGAAAATAATCCTTTACATGATGATATTTCTGGTATCGATTTAGAAATTAGAATCCGACGTTACAATGAAGAAACTGCAAGCTTGAAAGAAGATCTCCTCCGTGCCGAAGAAACCATTACAACACTTGAACGTGAATTAAAATTGACACAAAAAGCTTTGTGAGTTGGTAATTTTATTTTAAACGGACAAAGCATGCAGATTTCTTTTTTTTTTACTTACAAAGTAAAACAATTTCAGAGACCAGATGAATAACAAATATTTGAAATTGCAAAAAGAAAATGAAGATCATAAGGAAATGTTATCAGTTGTTGAACGTCGAGAAGAGTCTAGTAAGTTGGATGCACGAAAGTTTGAAAAAGCTTACAACGCCTTACAAAAAAAAGTGAAAGAATTAGAACGAGATGTAAAAAATTTTATTTTCGATACATTACATTTTAATTGTTCGTTTTTAAAAATTTACTTGTTAATATAATTTTATTTACGTTAATTTATAGAAAGAATGCATTTACAATTTAAAGGTGAAAATTGATAGCATACAAAAAGAAAATTCTAATTACATCAAGCAAATATCGGAATACAAAAAAAAGTATGAAGAAAAACTCATCGAGTGTGAATACCTTCAAGAAGAATACCATGAGTTGCAAAATAATAAGGCTCAACTTGAAAAATCATACGAAGTTAATTACAATGTAAATATTCACTTATCATAAAAATCATTTAAACTCTTTTATTATTTTATATGCATGAAAAATTGTTAAATTATTTAATTTTAATTTTACCTTTTTAATTTTTTATTTTAGCATCAACAAGAAAAAATAAATGAGCTTCAATTATTAAATGCAGAGCTACAAACCAAAATGATGAATAGGCATTGTGATTCATCTAGTAATGTAAGTTTATGAAATTCGGAGTGAATAAAATATTAAAGCACAATAATTTTTTTCTCTTGCAGATTTCCATGTCACCACCATTGTACAATGAAGCAAATTTGCAAAATCATAGCACGCCGTGCAATAAGCATCATAAAAGTCATCAGGATTCCCTTTTCATGGAATTAAAAGCATCTGTAAGATTTTATAGTGACTAGTTCTGACTATACAAGCTCAAGTTGCTATTAATATTTAAAATAATTTTCACGGAACATTTTTAGGGGTTCAGTTATGATGATTCAAAAATTCAGGAATTGAGAGAAGAGCTTTCATTCTACAACAATGAAATTGCTGATATTGTTGAGAAAGTAGATGAGTAAGTATTGATTTATTACCAATCAAAGAGATGAATGATTATTATTAATTTATATCAATCAATATTCTTCTATATAGTTGCATTGGTAAAAAAAATATATTTTTTTTACAGAGCTCTTCAAACCAGAACTAATTTGAATACATCATCTACACAAGCTGTTTCCATTCAAACGCTAAAGCATAAAATTACAAGTCTATTGAACTTGGTAAAAATTTTAATTATAAACGATTCCTTTACCATCTAAAGTATAAACAGATTGAATGATAACTTCAAAAATGTTAAACTTCTCACCATTGCATTTAGATTAAAACAATTTTTTTTGTTGAAATTTTAAGCCATTTGTATGAGAATAAAAAACTTCCTTGTTCATCATTTTTAAAATTGAAATTTTTTGTAGATAAATGCCTTTTTCAAATGATGAAAAGACAGTTAAAGAATCTGCATGCTAAAACTGTTTAAAACTTTTAAGCTTCTTATCGGTAGAATATTTTTCCATATTGATGACATTTTCGTTAATTGGGGTAAATATGTGAGTGGCTCGTTGATACAGTAACTATTTTTAAATCGTAAATAGAAACTAAATTGGCTCATTCAAGTCTTGATATTAATGTAGATTCTTTAACCTAAACTTAATTTCTATTAAAAATATTACCTATATTAATGTATTAATGTATTTATGTATAAAATTTAGGTAAAAACTTCGACAACCATCAAATCGCCATCAGCCTTGAGAAGTGGCGAAAGTAAACTAGAGAAACCGGATGTGCTACCGGAGACAAAAAAAACGCCTGTCAATCGATCGGACAAAAACGACGATGTAGTGTGAGTCACTTAGTCATTTCTACCATTTTAGGATTAATCACTAATATGTAGATCAATCAGCTACTGTATGCCAAATAACGCGTAAACGAATCATCCTATAATAAAAATGATGGTCCGTTTATACCAAAATGATCGCAAGAGCCCGGATATGCACGTATACGCAGCAAACGTAAAAATAACCGAGATCGGCCTCTTGCCGGCAGTAGTGACGACGATGAAAACGACGTTAGAGATGTTAGAGTTCACGCATCGACAGTCCTGTTACTCCAGTTATTCTTTCCCTTATATTTTTACGCTAGTGTGAATATTTTGCGGATGCGTTCATTGCGCGTGTATTTTTGGAAACATCCCACTTTTATTCATTTTAATATTGCACCCGTGGAGAGCACGATATGATGCATTGAGTTGCTCTTCAGCGTTTATTAATAAATTTAAGCAAAAAAGAAAGTAAGAATGAAAAAAATATATTCGATCGGGATTGCGAATTTTTCTTAAACGGATATCAGACGATTTTCATACGAGGTTTGTTCTATTGCAATTGTGAAAATTTTATATCATCTATATTTATAAATTATTAAAATCATTTGACTTAGTTTTATTATATTTTCAAACATGAATACGTGTTTAAAGATATATACACCATAAACTACAATGTTCAATCAAATTCGTGTTAAAAATTCCTGGAATTGCTCATTAAAAGATTTTCATTGAATTTTGATAAAAATGTAACCTTGGTGAATCGCCAAATTTTAACAGAAAAGTATTCAAATCTCCGGGGATAAAAAAATATTTAATTCAAGTTTATAGGTAATTAATTAAACAATTATTTAATTTTGTTTTCAAATAAAAAATGTATTAAAAGAATTATTTTTATACACACTAAGGCTATCAGTGATTCAGAATGTAAAAAAAGCATGCCCAATTTTACTAACTTCCGGACGTACAAAAATTTCAAAAATGAAATTTATAAAAAGTAAAAGTGTATTGCTACAAACGACTGCAAATGTGTGTTGAGTCATCAATAATGTTGAAATTTATGCTGCATTCATTTGGAATACGTATATTACTCAAGGTATCAATTACTTCTGCTTAGTAAATTTTGGGTTGAAAAACAGTTACTAAATAAAGGGTTTATTTTTAGTTTGCCGAATCGAATTCTTGTTCATTTATTTGTCAATGTAACTTTTAACACTTGTGCGTATTTTCAGAGATCCTGCAGTTTCGATACAGATATATAATATTTTTACATTTTATATAATTTCAAAAACGGTATATAATCGGCGACGCGAAGGGAACTTTTCTTTTTTCCGCAGCCCCTGCAGCAATACTCTATCTACTTTAAAAAGCTATGTGATTGAATAAAATTCAATCAAATTGATGACATTTTCCACAAATAACTCACTTCCTGCTTGGAAAATACGGAATTCAGACTATAATGATTATCTTCGAACTTTTTTAACGGAATTGACACTAAAAAATTTCTTAAAAAATTACTTGTTTAATACGAAACTAGATCGATTGTAAGATTAAAATCCACCTCGCAAAAAGTGCACGTCGTGATATATTTTGATGACCTTGATCCGATTTCCGCAAACTGCATCTTTGATGCTGCCCCGTTTTTAATCTTTTCTGGGCTTTATAGGGGCATTCGTTTGAGTATTGAACTTCGTTTTCACGAGTGTGTAAAATTTTTACATTTTTGTCTTTGAATCATTGCACGATCAGAGTTTATTGTAATTCTTTTTGCTCAATGTAAATTACGTGGTGTTTTGCTTGATTTTCCTGATTTTCTATAATTCGCAAAATTACAATGAATAACATTCGGGAGTAGTTTAAAATGAAGCTAATAAGCAGTGGAAGTAGTATCTTTTTGACGCTTGCTTTGTTGTGGAGTATACAATAGATATATTCAAAGATGTTGGTAATAAGCAATATTGCGAGACCGTACCGTTTCAGAGCTTCTCAACATTCCCCAGTCTGGGCTCGACTACTGCGAGCGACGTTACACGTGTCCATTTTTACTGATTCCATCGTATTACACATTTCGCTAAAATCCGTCAGCGCGTCATTTGAATGGTTTTACATTGTGGATTAGAGTGTTTTGTTCTAGTGCTTTCAAAATTTCTGGTGATTTTTTAAAAATTATTTGCTACGACGTGATCTTTCTGCACTTCCCGCAAGAGTTATTTTATATCTTTCACGTTCGAAAATGATATAATATGCAAAAAATCAATTGATTGCGGTTGATTAACAATAAAATCAATTAAAAAGATTTGTTTATAGCATGATTTCAAATCATTTCGATTTAGAGTTATTAATTTGCTACACAAAACATTTTTTCGTGCTATTTTTTAACAAGAGCGTATTTTTACCGAGACTTATCTTCACTTATAATACAATTTTAGTTTTTGTGAATTTACCATTTTTTCAATATTTTTAATATTAAAGTATAATGAAGCAGCATGAATAACTTTAATATTTGTCCGATTAAGTATTGAAATAACTTTACGCTGATGATTAAACGAAGTCGATTTGATGCGCACGAAGTTTAACGAACTTGCGAGCGAGCTTCAAAAATTTGCGTTCCAAAATAACTCACTTTAGTCAGTTATTATTTCTCAATGGAAACATGCGACGTTTAAACATATTTAGCGCGTTTATACTTACTTATGAGCCAGTCAGTTTTGCGTGATCGTGTGTGGCTATCGGCCACGCAGCATATCACTTGCAACGCGCGTCGTCTAGTAAAAGATACGCTAGCGAGAGCAGTTAATCATAAAATCATACAAATATTAATGCAGAAATTAGAGGGCCAATATTCGATGTATCGTGCAGTACATAATTGTTTTATTTGCGTCATTTAAATGCGCAGCGTAAAACGAAACGTGGACATTTATTTAATTTCGAGTCTTCAACATTTTTTAAAAATTGGCCGAATTTCAAGCTTGTAATGTGTCTGCATCAATTGTTACTGCGATAAGAGGTTACCTCTCCGCACATATCGACATAGAATCTTGCAAATTGTAAATGCCATCTTGTAAACCAGATTATATTTATTCCTGCTGACTATGTCATATGTGCAGCATCTGCTGCTGCTAATGCTACTGGCAACGTTTGTTTACATCAGAAAGCACGTGCGACGAACTGAAGGTCTTTGGATCGTTTAAAGCACGGAATATTTCCAACTTGACCATCGGATTTCCTTTAGAATTTTGGTTAATGCCATTCGAATTCAAGATTTGATCAAATTTCTTTAATATGAAAAATAATTGTTTATACAATTAGTACTTGACAGCGTGACAGTATATAATAATGTAGGTATATAAACCGATTATATGGATCGAAAAGTTAGAGGGAGAGGGTACGCGAACGCGTGACGTTTTCATACTAACGAGCTCCCAGATTGTTGCGCAAGAATCTGGTTAGCGAATTGCAAATGCAGCACTGGCAGCATTTAGTGTGTATTACATATTGTGCGAGCAAAATATATATATCGACTTTAGCCGCCGACAACGCGAGACTAAGAGATAGGTGTTGTATCCATCCATCTTATGCATTCCAAGCCGAGCTACATTACGTAGGCATGTAGTGTCCGCTGATATGACACAAAGTTGGCGCATTACGATGATCATTGATAGCGTTGCGACGCGCAAAGTGTGGATGAGCAAAAAGTCGATTGAAAACGTTTGACCGTCGTACATTACCGGCTATAGTGATATAAGTACCAGTCTCGTCTATTTAGTTTTTACTTTCTTTCGAGCACATAGTCGCGAGCTCGGTTAGCTTGGATTAAGTTATTTATCGCGCTCTAAAAGACAAGCTTTGCTTACGATCAATTTTCTGCGCGCATCTTTCGCTACAATCAAGTTGTACACGTGCTGATGTTCAATTTCTGTCAAGTGGAATTTTTTTTTCTTTCTTAATGATTCGACATTTTTACATCGTGCATGCATTAGGATGACATTAGTTCGATAACGCGAGCAATCTTGTTCGACCCTTCAATCACAATTTCTGACACAACTCGAGCCGTTTGACTCGAAAAGTGATGATGCAAATTTTTTTTCTTCAAAGAATACAATTAAATGTTACGACGCGATAAAATTCCACTTTTTCATTTGGGTATTAGGAATAAAAAATCAAATCTATGCCATTCATTTAATATTTATATATAACGATAATTGGGGAAAAAATTTGAAATTCATCTACAGCTTGTTAGAATTGAAAAGGCGATGCGGAACAGAATTACGCCTCAGCCAATGTTTAAATATTTTATAAAGTCACTGGCCACTGCACGGACAAAATTTCACGTAGCAGCTACATTGCTCTCCCATAAGAAAGTAGTATGACGTACGAATATATTCAATAGAGCAGATGCGTAATTTGACGCGTGACTGCGAGAGTAAGTGTTTTAGTTTCAAAAAGTCGACTTTTAATTCTGCTACTATTGAAGTTATAGGTTAAGGAATTGGTCTAGGCTCGTATATTCATAAAACAAGAGTAGAATCATTTGACTTATTTTGAAAGCGATACATGTCACAAAAAAAACACATTCTCTTTTAGGCTGGAAAATAGAAGCTTCTACAAAAACAGTACAGTGGGCTCCGCGGCAGCCTTTACGTCAACGGTCCCGAGTATTTTCGAGAACGGTGTGTTGATGATAGACAAGGCGACATCGCCGTTGCTTTTCTCGTCCAAAGCAGCTCCTGCCACAGACTTGGAATCGAGCCACGAGCAAGAGATAGTCGTCCCGATAGTCGAGGCTCTCAATCGAATAATCGAAATAAAAGGTACCGAAGACGTCATAAGCGATCAAGACTCCTTGCGCCTCTCCAAACGCTCGCCAAAGTAAGTTCAATCTCTTTAATTTTACTTTGAGTAAGTGCAAGAAACTCTATGCCTAAAATACTAACGTATCTCTCGGCGCAGATAAATATAGACACTCGCGATGAATGTAAACTGCTAATCATAATCGAATTTAGCAAAAAAAAAAAAAATATGTATATCGTAACTCATTTTTCACTTCACGCTTTAGACCCAAGTCTATTTTCACCGCAAAGACAAATACAGACTGGTCGCTCTACCTATTGAGAAACGAGGCTTCACCAAAGTCCAGCTGCATCACGCCGGAGTATTTGAATTTTCGAGCTCTCAACCAGGCCAGAGGTGATGCCGCTTATTGCGACCCGTTCGACAAAAGTCCTAAAAAGAAATTAACATCAACTGCCATGAAAACGCTTAAATCGGAATCGCGAGCCTGCAAGGACGATGCTGGTCCAGACGATGATCCAGTGAATGTCGATTTGCGCTTCGTCACCGTTCGACCAAGGCAATCTACGTACCAAACCGACTCGCTTATGACTGCTGCCGATCCCAATTGTTCGTTTGAAACCATTAGCCATGATGAAATCAAACCCGATCCGTCTTTCTGTACGACTCCTATTATGTCCAAGATAGCGCCTCGGCGCAAACTCTCCGTTTACGATCGCTCCTTCGAGGTGAATAGCTCCAACAGTACGCTTCAAGTTCAGGAGAGTAACTTGAAGGCAACACCTTTAACGCGAGAGCAACTACTCCACGAGTATCGTTGTTCCAACAGCAGTGACTCGTCACTGAGTCCATCGCCCCTCCCGATCAAGGACAAAGTCATCAAAACGAACGCTGCTCTTGACGAGTCACTGAAAACCACAACCAAACCGATCAAATCTGTAATTCTTGCACCCCCGAAATTCTACCTGCCTGATTCGAGCCAAATTCGGCAACCAGACAAAACAAGTGTTTCGAAAAAATTAGCATTTGACAAGATTCCCGAGAAATCTGAAGAACCGCATGTGAATTTTTTCACTTCTCCGAACGATGCTGTGGTCTTGAAAAATGACGAATTAAATACCGATGATTTGCAGCAATCGAGAATCCTCAGTTCTTCCAATAATGATGCGGTTTATGCGGAGGAAAAATGTCAAAACAAGGATAAACAAAGAGTGGCTGTAGAAATGGCAGATATCAGCTGCAGCAGTAAAGATGGATCTTTCAAGCCTGCGACCATTTCACAAATAGATATCTCGGCCAATTCGCATGAATTTTCTGGCAACTTCTTTTTACCATCGAGCACCGAGGTCTACAATCAGCCGTGTTCAAAAATTGGTAAGATAAACTTTAGTTACACTAAATTTGAATTGCACTTTCACAGCATTTAAAATTACATGGTAAAATGTTCTCAATGCAATGAAAATAAAAAACTCTTATTTATTTATAATATATTTCAAGTATCTTGTTTGTACACCGAGAGAAATTTAATTATCTTTGGAGGCGCCAAACATTGTAAACAAGCATCGTATTTGACATCGAACTTTGTGACGCAGGCATGTAAATTTACGCTTGCAACGGGTGCATTAATAAAAATATACGCGAGACTTTTGTGTAAAGTCAAATTTTTGTGCTTAGGCCAAATCGGTGTCGAGTCTTTTAATCCGATCACTGAACTCTGCTGAGCTCTGCACATGTCACTATTTTGCTAAATGAATCATTGAAAAATATTATTTCCAGCGCTAGGCTATTTTATATACGATAATAAATTTGAAATCATTAAACGATTAAAGCGATAAAAAAGTTTTTCGCGTGACATCAAAATATTATTGATGAATGCACTGTGAAGGCTTTTAATTTAGCGCGAAATTTGTGCACGTATGCGTATTTATATTTGTACAGGTGCCTCGCCTCCTACTATCGGTACGACGTCGTCGCCGTCAAGTGACCGATCGGTCCCGAGCAACGCAATGGAAAGTAATGGAGTTCACAACAGTAGCAGTTCCAGCGACAACAGTGGCAAAATCGTCGACCAAGTTGGAGGCGATGAATGCGAGGTTAGCGTAGACGTCGACCCAGAACGAACTTGTGGCGCGGGAATCGCTCTTGACTGCTGCAGTAGCACGTTGTCGGCTTTTGATGAGCAAAAGCTGCCACCGCCGTCAGTCGGTCGCGCGATGTCCAGCGGCGAGGATAGTTCGGCTGAGAGCGAGGAGTGTCATGCGGCGGATGCGCCGCTGGATCATCAAAGCCCGGTCCAAGTTCCGAGCTTGCTTGAGAAAAGTGTTAACGAGACTCGACCAATGGAAGAAACGATGCCTGTCGATACATTACAAGTGAGTCCCAGTAATATTTTACGCTTTTTTCTATGCGTCAATTAAAATGTACTAATTTTTAGTTAGAAAAAAAAGAAGCGAATTCGTGCTAAAAGTCTAAAAAATATGTTTCGAATTCCAATTGCAAAAATACTTTTTATCTATGTTTTAGTAAATATTTTAAAAATCTTATTATATATTTTAAAAAAGAAAAAGAAAAATCATTTGAAAGCTGATTTTGAAAAAATATAAAATAGGTACAGATAGATAATGATTCATATCTTAGATTATATTTTATGGTGAATTTTTTAAGTGCGATTCGATTGGTAACAAAAAGTTACTCGATCTTGTATATAATATACAATGACCGTCGGGAGATTTTGTCACGTGAGGGTTTCTTTTAATAGAATTTCAAAGTTACCTCGTCGGCAACGTCAAGTGGCTATTATATATAACTTGAAGAAATTTCAATATATTTGTTTGAGAATAATTTTGAGGTAAACAAACCTCTATTTTAAAACAACCGAAAAATTTTGCAAGCTTTCAAAAGAATTTAAAAAATACGCATGAATTTTCTTTATTTTATAAAGCTTTTGATTAATTTTATTTTAATGAAAAAAATCTTTAGTTAAATTTGCTGTCGTTTTAAACAACACTAGTGATATTAAAAAGTGTTCTTTTGATCGTAATTCTATTACGATTGCAGATTTCTCATTTGCCAATCGTACTATTCGTATTATGTAATAATTTCATTTTCGGTCGAAAGTTTTTGCTATAAATATACGTGAATAAATTAAAAAAAAATGATAATAGTGAAAAATCAAATGCAGTCAAAACATCCAAGTCGTTATCGACTTTTGACGAAGCACGCAATCGTAATTGTCTGGTGTACAGCAGCTTGTTTCTAAACATTGTAATTACGCGTGACAAGGATTGGACTGCGTTAGTTCGCGTTATATAGAGCACGTTCCGTGTCATGAGAGCGCGAGAGTATACGCAATTGTCACTGATCAGAACTGATTAAGGGACATTGATTAAGACGATTGCCAAAGACATGTGTCCCAAGTGTTTGCTTGCAGCGCAATTCTCGAGAAATCGACAGCTAGTAATGCTGCTTCATTTTATGTGTGCAAAAACAAATGCATTTCAAACGAAAGCGTGGATTTATTTCGACGAAAATTATTCATGCCGCAATAAACAAATAAATAATTTTCGTCGTGAATCTCAAGTTAGCAACGGATCAAAAAATGTCAATAACAAATGTCACTCACATGTTCGCGTTGTATAATAAAAACTAGTGAAGTTAATTGAATTACAAAGTGTTTGCTTCATTCGATAGAAGATGAACACTGATTTGAAAAAATCATTTTACTCAATGATTGTGCACACAAAACATGAATCGAGCAGTCACTGTCCGTCAAAATAAAAGGCAAAAATGAAAAACAATAGAATGTACAGAAATGTTCGACTTGACTGCTTGAGTATAAACATTGATTATTGGTGATAACTGGTCTGTATTTTTATACTCGAGAATCGTGATATCTGCTTCGAAGCCCAACTCTTTCAAGATTGAGCAATTTCATATTTTAAAAGTCGAGATGCTTTTCGCGCATTTTTTCTAAAATAAAATTTTCAAAGTAAAAAGCCGAATACTTACTATAATTTTATCGAATTAAATCATCGTTTAATCGTTGAAGAATGAAAATAATTATTGATATTTTTTACGATCATAATCTGACGGATTTTGAAATATTCGTAATTTTGGTAATTTTGGAAATAAAATTGTTCTTACCGGCACAAATTGAAATTCAACCGCATTTTTATGGTTCGTTAGGCGTAACGAAGAAAGTTAACTGAATAAAAGAAAATATTTGCATGCCTAATGAACTTTTTAGTTTAGAACAATTTTTAAGGTATGATTTGAAGATCACTATAATTTTTAATTATATCTTTGACATTTTATCTCTTGCATAAATAGATTTAAAATACATATGAATGAAGCACGCGCTCATAGGATTTTTTGCGTCTGTGCGTGCTTCGATTTACAACTAAATGCTCCGATAGAATGATTTATGGAGCGTGATTCTGACGATTTTTTTTACTGGAAAACTCACGTTTATTCGTTATTGTGCTCATATTTGGTTAGAATACCGCAAAGCTATAATTTAAAATGACCGTTTTTCGTTGCGACGTGATATTAAGACTTTTAAATCCTAATTTCTATACCGAATCCTTTTTTTCTGCTTTCGTAATATCATGCAGTATCATACGTTCATGATTTTTTTTTATAGCATGTGCATGTACACAACAACACAATTACATTTACAACATAAATCATTATTAACTAAGTGAATTTTTCACATCAATTTTACTGTAAAATTTCTTTAGTTTGAGTGACTAGTATCAACTGTCCTCGAATTGAATCATTGTCGAAAATTAAAGTCACTAAAATTAATGGACGTTATAAATTTATAGATCTACAAATTTAAAATATAAAGTAGTGTTAGTTATAGTTATTGGAGAAACTTAAATTATCTTGTGAGAATTATGTGCTAGAGTTTTTACAATGTCTGTAACACATGTATATCAGTGGATGGCTACTTTATTATGTAAAGCTTACTTAATTATCTAAATATTCATATCTTTAGTATCAATGTGACTTATACCAAGAATGATGAAACTAACATTTTGCCGTCTCAACTACTTGGTTGAAATATCGTAAACTGCTTCACGTGTACTTTTTGTCTTGATTTTTTTAATAGCCAATCATTTGTCATTTATCATTTTTGATTCGATTAAACTGATTAATCAAGTGTAGTAGTTATATACATATTGTATTGTACCCCATGTGAATTTTGATAGGTAAATACATAATTTCTAAACAACAAAGAAAATTGAATTGAATGGCGAAGGGAGCATACAATATCTAAAAACGTGTAAATGATTTTGGAATAATTTGATATGATATTTTTGTTACGCTGTGAAATTTGACAATTTAAATTTGTAGCTTACTGTAAGAAATAATATCCGCCTTGAACCTTGAATTCCGAGATCATATTTGATGGCCACTGCATTAATAACAATCATAATAACTGGCGTATATTATCAGCCGAACACACGCGCACTCGCGCCGAGCTATTTCGTCATCGTTGTAAAACTTGCAAGCGTATTACGAAAATAATTTACTACCATTGAGTATCTATAATTTCAATGCGCATCTAATTTTATTAAAAACGGGATATTCATTTTTCTAATTTATTCACTATAGATTGATTTTGACGAATACCGATCATGATGGTTTATCGTTACATTTTTGTAATTCTATGTAAATTTGGTCAATTTAGCATGAGTTATTATAGAAACAAAAAATTCTGCGTAATTTTACTCATTTCAATTTTTTTGACCGTTATTTTTAGTATAATAATTTTTAGTGTAATAATGAAATTGATTAAAAGATATCCCACGAGGCAAACAAGAGCTATGTCAACAGAATATGCAGATTTAATAAAAAAAAAAAATTTTTTTTTGAAAAATGATGAGTGTCCATTCCCTTAACAAATACGTACGCTTTTTTTTTAATTTTGACCATGTAAAAAAAACTCCGTCTGGTTACGAATCGAACCTATTTCTAACATATTTGATGTGCAAGATTGAAAAAAGAGTTGATTCATTTGTACTTATAAGGTTACATTAGACATTGTGGTTTTTCTCGTGAGGCGTTGGAGCGCAACTAACAGCACAACATTTGTGAGTAGCGCTCATACGTGAAAAAGGACCGAACAAACTAGAACATAATATTGATGTATAAAAACGATGAATTTTAACTCTTGGCATATGATGCGAAATAGTACTTTTTAACATTGATTTATCATTACAGGCTATTATTGTAAATAACGAGGAAAGTTCCACGTCTGAATTAGGAGACGTTACCAAAAACGATGACGACAGTCCAAAAGCTTTTCCAAGTTGGACAGACCAAAGGCTCCGAGATTCTGGAATAGCTAGTTTTCCAGATATGGATTCAGAAACTAGGTATTTTTTAATATTGGCTCATATACCTGACACATCAATGAAAAAGCAATAGTATTTCTTAAGTAAATCAAATCGTTTTCGAGAGTTTTTGAATAATATTTTATGCTACGGCCGCTATTTTATTTTAAAAAATTGTTTGAAAAATTGTTTTAAATTCCTTCAGATCCTTTTCTGAGTACATTTTTTATTATTAGATGCATTATTCTTGACTAGGTATTTAAATTTTTTCAGTCCTAATAATATTTTTGACTTAAGAGGTTACACTTAGTACAGTTTATCATTAAAAAGAATAGTAAAAAATGTTATTTCAAAGTATCGATTTCCCACGAGTTTTTTTGACAGATTTTTTTCGTGGTAGGTAGAATATTTCGGGACAGGGTCTTCTAAAACCTAAAAGTCGACATTTTTATTAATGTTCATAACGTTGGCTTATGATAGAACGAAGAGATTTTCAATCGATTATACAATAAAAAAGAGTGAAGGATAATCAAAGTCTGAAAAATATGGGTTGGAAAGTCATTCAAACTCGTGTAAAATTTTTAAATTTAATTTTTTTTCTCCTTCATTCAATCACGAGACAGTGATATAAACTTCAAGAAAAATGGCGACTCTTAGATTTCAGATGACCCTGCCGAGTGAAATTTTTGAAGAAAAAAATTTTTTTCTGCTACAAAGCTATACAACCTATTAATACGTAAAAAAAGAACAATCGTATCTTTCGGAGAAAATTTTTGGCCAATGAATTGGCAGCGAATTTTACTACGCATCCAATCTTGAAGCTTAAATGATTAAATATGCAATTTTGAAATTTTTCAAAACCCTATAACATGGAAAAGCGAGTCGAAATTTCGTCATTCTAAATTTGCGCGTTGACATTTCAATGCAAGGGGTGGATTTCAAAAATATAAATATTCAGTGACACGATGCATTGAATGCTAGTAAAAAAATTTTTAATACTTCAAATTTCGAAAACATGTATACTTGCAAAAATGTAATGACTTTTTCCATTTCATGATTTCAGTGAAAATTTATCGGAAGAAGACATGAAGGTAAAATAATGTTTCCATTTTGTTTAAATAATTATTTAGAAAAATTATCCACACTCATTAATTGTTTTTGCCTTTTTCTTATCGCAACTTCAATTTGAAAAAGGTAAACCTAAAGATAATTCTCATATTTTGCTTTATTTATTTTTTTTTTTTTTTATTATTTTAAATATCAATATAGTTAGCGAATCTAAAGTTGAATATGATAAGTTCTATTTAACGATTACCATTTTTTAAACTAAACTAGATTTATTGCGATCAGTATAAGAATTTTGAACCTATGCTTAAATGGACGAAGCCTATCTACTTATTTTTTTGGCAATATCATCATAAAATTGATTTTTTACTCATTTATTACGTATCGACCAAAGCCTTTTCCCGTTGTTATGATACTGGAATTTAATATTCCATTTTCTTTGAGCACCAAGTTTTAGAAGATTAGAAAAAACCTTTTTAATGCGTTCACTTGAAGTAATGAGTTAAAAATTGTTCTGAAACTTGATACAATCAATTGCGAGAGTTTTCTTCTTTTTTCATAAATATTATAAAATAATAAAAGTTACAACAAAATTAAAAAAAAAATAATATTTTTCATTGAGAAAGTTAAATTAAGCTTATTTAAAAATGTACGTTGCAGTATAAAATAAATTATTTAACATTTCGATTATAAACACCAATAAAATGTAAAATCGATTTATGCTTGCACTACTTACGCATGAATGAGCGCAGATTTACGATAAAAATACGAGTGCGTTCTTCATTAGACGAAACTGTAATTATTTACAGAAGAAGTACACCATTTTTTCTGTCGGCTTGGGTACTGACAGAATGACTCTTTCGAAACGGATAATTTTATCCCGGCGTCATCGTGATCAAGCTGAAAAGAATTTTACGAACGAAGTTCTCAAGATGCAGCAAGATATCAAGGCAAGTTAATGAAAGACAGAGGAAAAACGTCGAAAAATTAAAAAAATGCCCAAAGAATTTTGTCAGTCGTTTCATGTCTTGAAAAGTCGATCTGTAAAAATGTTGATGTGTGTATTATAAATCGTAGGAATTGGCGCCACTTTGCGTGGACAGCGAATCGCTTGAACGCGTTGAACGCGTGAAGCAGCAATTGGAAATGATAGCCCACTGTACGCACCAAGTGTCGTGCAATGCCGAGACCCTTGGGGCGGTGTACCAAGAACGGCGCGTCTCGCGCGCAGTTCTCCTGGCCGACAAATACCTGCAAACGCTCAAATGCAAATGCGAAAAGCTCGCTGGCGAGCTCGCAGAGACCAAGTATATATGCATCAACCCTCGCCCATTTGCCCATCCTCCTCGTTTTGAATAAAAGTTTCGTTGAACTTGAAATCGTTAAAACTCACCAAGTCCTTTTGCAGGAAAATCCTCGCCGAAAACAACATCGTGCTCGAGGAGAATTTTGGCGAAATGAGCGATGACATGCCCCGAGTGCGATATCGTACTTTATCCAACAATAACCGTACGATGGTTCGAAAATACAAAATTAATTGTTTGCATCTATTGCAGCTTTACGTAACTTTCATTATTATATACTTCATTCGCATCGTTTCTCCCGCAACATCCAAAACGAGCCCGTCCACATCTCGTGTCATTGTCGTACAATTATATGTTGTATTCATCGTATTGCTCATCAATTCATTCGTCATCTAAAGATGCTGCTTATAATCATCTAATGATTCTTCATCAATACCTTTTTACACGAGTCTTCCTGAGACATTGACGTATCTTTCTTAAGTTTCCTTACACGAATTAATTGCCCAAATATATCCGCTTTTTCAAATCTTTTTTTCGTGTTCTTAAGAATAATTTTAAAACTCAACTGAAACTCATAAAGACTCGCTTGAATTAGTGAGAATTCATTACAATAATCTAATCACGCATTAGCACTTGCTTGGATACATCATTATTTTTACAAGCACATTTATTACTTTTGCTATGCACAAATATTGGTTTCCTATTTTTCTTATGGAAACTAGTGGTTTTTTTATCGCATCTATCACGTTTGAACTATGTTGTTATTATTACTTTTTTAGATGGCTAGAAGACGAGCTAGCATTGCTACGATATCTCGACCAATACTGGGCAGCAGCCAGGATATTTCAAAGGCAACGAGACTACTACCTTCTTATCTTAGTTCGCTTGTATGTTGTAGGCTTTACTATAGGTTTTTTATGCTTTCTCTGAGGTTGATGAGCTTTTTATATTTTATTTATTTGCAACATTTTTAACTGATTATAACAAGAATAATCTTTTGAGAGGGATGCTGATAAATATAATAATTCTTTCGCTCAGTTTTATAAAATTCGTGTGAGATTTGCATGTGTACGATATCAATCTAGTTTCGCTGCATGGTAGATTACTGCAATTCGTTGCTTATTATATAACATAAAACCAGTTGACATAAAAACCCTCAGAACTGATATAGTTATTAAGAAATTGAACATTTGTATAAATTTTCAGGACTTACCAAGACAGAGAAATTCCATGATCGGAAGGGCTCCAGGTCTGCGAAGACCTTCCTTGTGCTCTGAAAATCTAAAGTGGGAAAATGAAAAATTGGATCGAACAGAGTGAGTACAAGACCTGATGGTTTTGATAAGTTTTCATCGATCAATCGACATTTTCATTACTTGTTAACGTTGATTTTACAGCAGTGCTAGTAGTATAAATGAATTGCGAGAAATATATGAACAAGCGGAATCTAGGAGACAGTCAAGAGAAGAAAACAACAATTCCATTCGAACATCTATTTTGAATCTACCTACTGTTTCTAATGAGCAAGCAGATGAAGACGAAATTTTGTCCAACATACGTAACGACTTGGATCTCAATAAAGCTGATAAAGTTGAAGATTTAAATCAACTTGAAACTACACAGCCGTAAGAATTAATTATTTTTACTTTACACATCTACGAATCTAAATAAATGTCATTTTTATAAATTGCAGTTATCGGTACCGAGGTTTATCTCGCTTACTCAGTTATTACTCAAATTGGAAACCAATGATATGGGGTATTTTGATAGCGTTCCTAGTAGGGTTTTTTTTTAATCGGGTTGTTTCTTCTACTAAGACATCTGGTCCCCCTATATGGTGGTGGTCGATTGAAGAAATTCTCAATCAATATGGCCAAGTACACCCTATTTAAAAAGAAGTTGTTAATAGAATAAATAAGAGAATTATATTATTAACGAGTTTTGTTATAACAAGCGTTTGTTCAAAAGTATTTTCCGTCAAATGCTTCTAATTTTATAGGATTAACATTTTTGTAGTTGTTGTATAGTATTATTTTTCTTTGTACCTGTATTAATGAATTTTGTATGTTATTATTTTATTATATGAACAATGTAAAAATGTATAATTGTAAAATTTAAGCTTGCGAATGATTTAATCAAGTATGATCTCAAAAGACATAGTTATAGTACATAGATTATATTGAACCATATAATGAGGTTTATTACAGATATCCACAAGTGATAGTGTTAACAGTGTGTTCATGATTAGACACAAGTAGAGCATGTACTTTAAGAGAAGAATGTCTAATGAAAAAATTTCTTGCTGTCTTCCATATTAAACTTGCAAGAGCGATCGAAGGTCAATCCTGCATCAAATATTGTGTGCATGTGTGTTCAAGAAGATTTCAAAGCTAGTTGATTAACTAGCTTTAAATATATATTTATACAGTACCAAGCTGTTTAGCAAATTTCTATTAAGTTTTTTGTAGTTAGGTCGAATTTCTTTTATAAATATAAAAAATAAAACTGTTATTTATAGTTAACAAGTAGATAGTTTTTTTTGGATAACTGTCTTATTTATCAAACTTTGTGAAATTTTAAAAATTAACTTATTTCATAATGGTATTGAGTTTTTAATTTTTCAACTTCCTTTTTTTCGAAATTATTTTTGTATTGTACACTGCTACTGAACAATAAATACTTATGTATTTGTACGAGCGTCGATTATTTATCTATTTATTTATATAAGTTACAATCAGTCTTATATGTATGTATATTATAACATTTTTAAGTTTTGAAAACCATTTATATTTTAAACCTTACTAAGCAAAATATAGTTACAATTTTAGTTTTTTTTTAATAATTCTTTATTAATAAGTAATTATGAAACTGAGACTTAATCTTAGACTTGGATCAATGTTTAACATTTTGTACTAAAAGTACAATCTTAATTATTGGTATTAACTTTCCATCCAATTATTCAAAATTTCCACCAAGAAAATATGATACTTCGTAATTTGATCATTACATTTTTCAAACATAAAAAATACTTGACATCGAAAAAATTATTTTAAAGTATTTCAAACAACGCTACTTTCTTGAATCAGCTGAGCCAAATTAACCTTTGTTTAAAAGATTATTTTCAATGATATCAAAAGGGCTGCACAATTTTCCGTTCTAAGCTTAGGCAGTAGTGCTTTGTAAATATTAAGAAGTCTTATTTTTATTTTTTTTTTGTCCAATAAATGTTGAAATTTATAGAACTGAAGAATGGAAACTAATATTTCTCCAAGTAGGCAAAATCGCAATTTTTCTATTTTATTTGTTTATAATTCGAAAAATTGAGTCATTTTTTATTTACTTCAACTTCGCATCTTTCCTATTCTTTTAAGTTAATGCTTTTGATCATGGCATTACCTATCACAGTTGCAAGATTAAATGTGAAGCGCATCTTTTTATCGTAGAACCAATGATTTTTTATTCAATTTATTCAATGACCTCTTCATTGTAAGATCAAGTCCTGAAGATTCTGTTGAGAAGTTGTCTGTAAATAATTGAGTTGATACTTGTCAGCTGCCATAAGATTGATAACTAAGGAATTATTCCGATTTTCAACACTGCCCGTGTAGATGTATCGCAGCATCTCCATTGCCGTTTCTTGACTAACATCGATTCTATCAACTATTTGATAACTACAATATTATTTTGATTGAAGAAATGGCACTTTTTAGCAGTTTTTGAAAGTATGGTTTCCTGTTAAGTATAATATTTTTTGACATCGTTCGAGTCTGAAGATACTCTTACATGCTATTTTATAAAATCAAGTGCGATGTTAAAGTTTTCAGCAACTTATAAAATATCTATAGAATTTTCAGAGTAATCATGGTCGTATTACTCAAAAAAAGCGTACAACATGATTTTAAAGAGCTCCTTGATGCTCTATGAAGAAAATGTATGTGTTAAAAAAGTACGTGACAAAAGAATGATTTGTGAGACTATGAGTTAAAACAAGCTTATGCAAAAAATTGTTTTGTTGCAAAGAAAAGAATAGGACTTATGTTTTAAAAAAATATAATTTTCCTTGACCATGTAGAGTTTTATAAAAGTATTATTTTCTAAAAAAAAAATTTTTATGTAATTCAATAATTCAAATTTTCATAATTCCATATTTTCTGTAATATCTTTGTTTCAAATACTAATTTTTGTCTCAAACAGTTAAATATTACTAATATTATGTCCCATGCGCGATTCGATGACCATAATTTATATATTTACCCCAGTACCCCATTTTGATATTAGTGATAGCAATAGACACATTGGATTTGGAATCAAGTGCTTAAGAAAGTAGTTCTATCCATGGTACTATTATCTTAGAAAAGTTGTGCATTGTTCCAGTCCATCAAGGGTATTATTATCATACCAAGGATTTTATCATACCAAGAATATGCTGATGATTTGGACAAAAATACATTGTTTTACATCAAAATGAGCTTCTGGTAAAGTTATATTAATGTGATGTTCTTTGTTTTTTTATTAGAAAATAGATATTCTAGAATTAAAAAAATTTTTTCTCTTATTATTAAAACTCTTATTAAAATTTTTGTATTTAGTAAAATGTGGGACTTCTCCGACAATTATTAATACAAACAATTTTTTTTGCGCTACTTTAACTTAAAGTAACATTTTACTCAAACTGAGCAAAATCAAAATATTACTTTAGGCTGGGGGATTTACAAAAAAGTTTATTTGCACCTATGTAATGAACAAAGAAAGTCTCTCTCTGCTTTGCCTTGGCTGATAAATTCCATGTGCTGTGAGACTTTCCAGTTCTTCAGGGGGCAAAATATACTATTATATTGATCTATACCTAAATCTCGCTGATTATTAATGCAGAAATGTGAAATTTCGTTTGTTTCTCTAAGTTATTCGGTGAATAGTCATATAAATACTTATCATCTTTTTTTCCTTAAGTTTAGAAATTTCAGTCCCTAGTTTAAAAGTTATCTTTGAAAGAATTCATGACAAATATTTCATGAAAATTAATATTTATTGAATATTACAAGTGACTTTATGGATCTTTAGTATGAAATTTGAAACTTAAATCTGTCATAGGTAAGTTTAAAATACTCGTTCTAAAGTATGTACATACTATAATACAATTATCTATAAGTAAATCGCACCATCATTCAGCAATACTCATCATGTATCAACTATGAGAGCTTCTATACCTCTCCATTGAGTTTTCCAATGTCTGGTTTGCCATTTCACAAACTTTGCATAAACTTGCAAGACCTTTACGTAAGATGTCTTCTGGTTTGCCATTTTTGGCTTTGATTCGAAAGTACATTTTTTTTGAGTTTGTAGTTTGAGGCACTATATAACCACAGAACTCTACATCAGGACTAAAATAAAAAATTCGAGTTGGAAAAATATTCAATACAGAAGTAATAATTGCAAAGAATGATTAATCTGTACTCACTCATCTGAAATAATGGATTTCAAGACGTTTCCAAAGGTATGGCCTTCATCTTCAAAGACAAAAGTTTTTGCATTTTCATCATCATCAGTTTCTCCCGCTTGCTGCAGGAAGTACAACGAAAAAACAGTTTAAAAATATGGACTTTCAAAGAAATAGGAAAATTTGTTGGTTATAATTGAGAAAACGTTTATAATACCTCAACGGCGCGTCCCATTTTGTTAGAAATTTTGAAAAATTGCGCTGAGCACGATATGAAAACTTTTAAATATTAGAAATGATCGCTCGTGGGTGTAAAATGATAAACGAATGGGCTTTTAATGAATGTAAACAGAATACGAGTTTGACAACATGAAACACAGAGACCGATTGCATATACACATACACGTGCGTTTACTGTTGTCTCTAGTTTCTACCATTACCATCTGCAACAGTGTATGATATTATTCTCTTTACGTTATAGCGAGAAACATCAGCAGGAGCTTCTTGGCAACGATTGTGTTATAAGCTGGACGGTCGTTCTTTTATGTGCATTATGCTCGCGAGCCTCGCCAATCCTATAATATGCAAGTGACCGTCACTTAAATATTTGCAAAACGCACATAGTGCACATATTGCAGGATGCACTCTGGGAACCAATGACCGAAGTTTACGAGTTGCGCGCGACTATTAAACTGTGAAATTGAGAAGGGCAGTTGAAAAATTTGTAAAAAAATTAATAATTAAAGGTCATTGCAGTGATGCTGAATAAATAATAGTTTAGTATCGTTTGTTGGTATCATTCGGCGTAAAAATATCTGTTCTATTCGTCATAAAATTGCTCTTCCGACTAGCGTACGAACCACACACGTTTATCGGACTTGTTTACATGTATTTACATGTATAAAGTATACCTGACTGGCTATTATTTCTTCTTGAGGCTTGGAAGTTACATCTGATGATTTCTCTGACTCGTCCACCGCCAGTTTTTCTTTGGCGCGTCTTGTTAGATATCTCCTTATCCTGTTTTTCTTCATGATGTTTATTATTTTCAGACTAATACAGTTAGCTTAGTAGTTTAGCTATCAGCGTCTAAAACACAAACACAGGTAAACAGCGCAGCCCATGAACGAAGCAGGTCACTCTTCGTAGCTTGGCTCGTTCTTCTCCATTTCTAACAATGTATAACCTAGGGTTCACGACAATTATACGAGGGTGTATAGAGGAAGGGGAATTCAAAACATTCCAATCATGTGTGAGAACTGAGATTTAAAAATCTGGCTCCGAAGTTTTTCAAATTCGACAGCGCATGCGCTAAATAAATGTGGCAAAAAATGAAATCGTTTGTTTTACATTTTAATGCATAGACACATATACAGTTTATCCACAAAGGAAAAAGTAGGATCAAATAACTATTCTTTCAAGTGTATTATTACACAAAAGTAGTACTTTTTATTAAGTGGTTTCATTAATCTGTTATACAAAAATGAATCCAGATTATTCAGATTTGTTGACATCACAAGACGAAGTAAAGTAATAAAACTTTCTTTAAAAAAGTACCTCAACACATGATTTCATTACAACATGCATGTGTTGTTTACCTCGCTTAATGGTATTTATTACACTATCTTTACTAACCATTTAATTTTTTTCCTGGATTAGGTTTCAGGTTTTTTACTTTTTATGTAAGTTTCATCGTGATATTAATTTGCTAACATGCTTATGTCAGCCCTAGTATAAAATAGAGACGATATACATATGTACATGTATTTACAAGATAGATTGATAAATATTCATAATAACATTTATTACTTAAGGTTGCTACATTTTTAACTAATTTGAAAAAAATTGCACGTCTAGACCTTGATGTCGGTTTTAGGTGGGTCGCGAGTTCCGTTTTGCGATGAAAAATGATTATTTTAGCTGTTTTTTAAATAATTATTGATGCAATTTGAACCAACACCATTCAGTCTTGATATTGGAATTATTTGTAAAAATCACTGAGTACAGAATTGCAAAGTAATATCATTAGGACAATGTATTAAAAGAAATTTTCTAACTATCTAAAAGTGTAATGACACATACTTCGCGCATCATTACCTGTATTATTGTAAACGTTGGACTTAAATTAAATTTTACAACGTAAGTAATGCGCTATTCATTTTGCTTATTCACATTGATTTATTTTATTGATGGATTCTTCTTAACTTAAAAAAAAATTTTCTTCGTTTGAATATTTATTTGAGTAAAAAAAGTACTTGCTACTATCGTTGACAAATGATTCTTTTATCTACATGCATGATTAAAAAATTTTAATTCTAAAGAACATTACATCAACGATGAAAGATCTTTTATAGGTATATTTCATCACCATTATTATTGCAATTATTATTACTCACATAAAAACAAAAAATTTTATATTAAAATTATCTAATGAAAAATTCAATTATGCGTTCATTTTTCATCTACAATTTGGCTCACAAGTGATTCGGAGGCTTTCATAAATTGATACTAATAATTGGCAAATTTACTTTTTCTTTCGATAAAAGTTCAGTCATGTATCAAGCCTGTTTTCAGAATCATTTGTGTTTGTTTTCTTCAACTTTGAATTCAAATGAATTTCCAGTTTTTTAATTTGACTTTAATGTTTTCTTTTATTACAAAGCATTGATAGTTATATCTGAAGATATATTCTGTAGTCATCATCCAATATTATTCGTAAATACCGTTTCGAACGCATAAGCACTCCATACAGGAAAGCTTTGGTACTATGTTGCGTAAGCATGAAAGAAGAACGGTCCCTCAAAATTACTATTAGCCTTTTGTGCTCCTCGAGCATTACATGTACAAAATTGAATGTATCGAACCCATAGAGGACCAGAGTTTAAGGAAATTCGAACGAATTTTCGTTACAGAAAATGTTCTGAATGATAGTAGGAAAACTTTTTGCGGTGAACGGCTTTCTAAGAGTTTAATTAAATTAGCCATGTTTTGCATTTCCTCGGTTTTTGTTTTGGTAAAACACTCATAGAATATACACACAAGAACTACATTGATGTGACGAAACATCTTTTTAGCACTGAATGATAATCAGTAATTCATTTCCCTGTGTGTTTACAGTGGCCAAAGTTACATAATCCTTATAATTTTGCACCAATGCTCATGAATTTTCAAACGAATTATTCTAAAATACCTATATGAGTAAGATAATCGTAAGTTTAGATAATCTTGAGATTATCTGTATAATTATGTTTGCACTCATGAAAAGTTACAATTGATTGAACATTTTTTATGGTGTTACTAATCTATTAAATTACACTATGTCGTTCTATATTTAATGTCTCTTGCAGACTCAATTGCAATTACGAAATACTCAAATGCTCATATCACCATGCTAGCAGACTCATCTCTTTAATGTACATTATAAAAATTTATTTTAGATGAGTAGATTCAAAATAACTAGCTTCAATAATGAGTTGTGTACACAATATTTGTACCAATTTTAGTCTAACAAACCTACCGAGGTTTTACATGTGTTTTATAAAATCATAAAACTGATTGTTGCGAGTTTTCGTTACAATGATCATTGAACTAAATTTAGGAATCAATAACAAATAATAGATACAAATGTTAAAATATATAACAAGAACACAGAACTGGTGAGCAATTTGAAGCACTTAAAATACGATTTTAGTTAAAAACTAAATTATTTATAGTGAAAATTATCGATAAATACTAACAATAATAGAATTTTTACACACATGCATTAGTAATGAAAAGAAAACTTTTTTTAAAATCTCATTCGAGCATTTGAACTAAAATAGTGATGTTGATATAATAGATATTGCATGATTAAACTTTTTGAACAAAGTTTAAGACGACATGTACAAATCATATAAAATCATCATATGATTAATATTTTCATATGACTTCGTGGTTGATTAAAAATAGCCACAAGTGCAAAAAAACGAATAATAAATAATCGAACAATTAATGATTTTTAAAAGTATTCAAATACTTAACAACTTATGTTTTAGGTGTATTAACTAATATTACATTTATGAAGTTTATGTATCGTCATTGTTAAAAAGTTTAATTTTCCGTGTTAACTGGTTCACGGGCATGATGAATTCTAACATGCTTATTGTGATTAGATTTAGTGCTGCTTGATTTACCACATATGTGACAAGTATAGGGTCTAAGGCCCGAATGGACGCGCTGATGTTCTTTGAGATAATACGAGCGGTGAAAGGTTTTGTTGCATATTTCACAGGTATACTGCTTGTCTTCTTCGTGCTCTTTAACGTGCCGCAAACAATTGTACTTACGGATAAACTGAGCTCCACAAAAATTGCATGTATAAGGCCGTACGTTACGATGAGAATTCATGTGAGCTGTGTAATCACTGTTTCGGTAAAATGCGGCGCTGCACTGATTACACTTGAATGGTTTGGCACTCCGGGCTGCATGAGTCCACTTGTGGAGTTGAAGATTCCATTTTGTGCTGAATGTTTTAGAACAAACTTGGCATTCGTAAGGTTTTTCTCCATTATGAACCCGCATGTGTACGGCTAACGACGAGCGAAGGTATATACAATGGCATACCGGACATTCAACGTTTTCATTTTCTCGTTGAGCATCCGGGACAAAGCGACGATTATGAGCGTGTCGCATATGCCGTGTTAAGCTGGCCATATGAACAAATCTTTCATTACAATGGGTACATGCTTTGGGTTTTTCATCGTGAGTTTCTTTATGCCATGCGAGTTTTTTCTTCGTATGAAAAACTTCGCCGCAATGACAAATGTAATCCTTTAATTTTTTCTTAATGTTTAAGTGATGGCGATTCTTATGTTGAGTCAAGTTAGAGTATCGCCGAAACGTTTCATTGCAAAGATTACACTTTACGGGTGCGTTACCAGTATGTCCGTTCATGTGCTCATCTAACTTTTGCTTTGTGAGAAAAGCTTTGTCGCAACGCGTACACGGGAATGGCTTGATACCCATGTGTCTTTTCATGTGTAATCTAAAGTTTTGCTTTCGATAAAAATATTTACCACATTGGCCGCACTCCAAAGGATGAATTTTCAAATGGAGATTATAATTACCAACTGATGGAAACTCTTCATTGCAAATCAGACACTTGGCTACTTCACGTGGTGCACGCTTGGCAGGCGGTACCATCATTTGAACTTTTTCACGTTGGAGCATGAGAGCTTTATCACCAGCAAAAGTTTTGTGTCCTTGTCTTGCCAGATCAAATTTAATCATATCATTATCAACTGCATTGGAATCTCGCTGACGAACTGTTTCCATTTCATGAAGAAGTGGTGACGGATGACCGGTTTGCACAAAAATTTCTTCAAAACTATTTGTTCGAGCTTCCACATGCTTCAGATCTTTGAACTCGTGATGCTGACCTTGAATTGTATGTGTCAATGTAATTGCTTCAGTACTGCTACTACAGCTACTCGATGGAATTGCCTCTTTGTGAAGCATAGTGGTATGAACTCGACGTTCTTTTGGACAATCAAATACTTCTGGGCAATGGGAGCATTTGAATACTCCTCTTGTTGGAGTTTTTCTATCTCGATCAAGAAAGAGACTTGAAGTAAAATGTGTGGCCATTGATCGGCTGTCGAGAAGAAGATTGTGATTCTGCTCTGAAGCATTGTTATCGTCGCGATCTGAACCCTCGGATTCTTCCCAGCTTTCTCGAGCCATCAAATCATAAGACGTCGACATACGCGATGAATCTTGACCCACGTACTGTAAATGACATATACTTTATCAATAATTAATTTAAAAAAATTAAACAAAATTATTATTTCTGTAATAAAAAATATCGTAATAAATATCATTAATTAATTCATGGCAAAATTTTACCTGCCACGCTGATTGTTCTGTAAAGCCATTGCTTTCCTGTTCAGATAGTTCACCTCTTGCAGGCATTGTTTCATCAGCTCTCATATTTACACTTTTGACCTCCTCATCAACACCAACTTCGTTTTCGCTGCTTGCCAATGATTGTTGACTCGCGACACTGACGGCTTTCTGAGAAGATTCACAGTCCAATGTACTGGGTAAAAGTAAACGAAGACTGTCGTATTCAAACAAATTGATAGGCCCAGCATGAGCATTTTCATTCATGTTTAATAGTTCTGATGACGATTTTGGAGCAGATACCTTGTTAGAACTAGAAATAGTTCTGGTATCCGCACTTACAATAGAATCTGATGTACTCAAAGCATTTTCGTTTTTAGATAGTATTGGATAGTTACGGAGGACACTCATTTCTGAGGATAGCTTTCGCAAATTTTGGTCAACAGAGAAGTTACTCGATGTTCCAAAGCTTTCAGAAATGCCATTATGTGCCCTAAGATCAGTAGCTCGTTCTTGTTCTTCGATAGGTACAAAAACAGATGACTGATTATCAAATTTATTAGGATCTTTTTCCATCAGCGCTTTATCTCCATGAACTATATGCTCTTCTTCTTCATCTTCTTCCTCTTCTTCATCCTCTTCATCTTCATCTTCATCTTCATCGTCATCGTCGTCTTCTTCATTTTTACCCACATCTTCGCAACTATCCGCATCCGAGTCGTCTTCCTCTTCTTCATATTCCTCTTCGTTGTATAACATAGGAGATTCAGCGGGTTTGGTGCGCCGAGCTTTAAGGGATTCTCGCTCAATAATGACTCCATTACTGACTTCTAATTCCATATCTTCGTCGTTGTAATTATCTTTGAGATAATTTTGGGCACAGCTGGCCTCATTATTGAGATGTTGATTGCCAAGAGTTTCGTTTAATTTTTCAGGCAAATGTAACGAAGCTCTCGAAAGGGATCGATATTTTATTGCTGGCGGGTTTACAGGAGAAGATGGATTCGACTTGGACAATTTGTAATGATACACTTTTTCGAATAACTGTTCGGATGACGTTATACAAATTGATGAATCGTTCGAGGCATCAGAAGACATATCCGTGTCTTCATGGGCAACTATTATCTTACATTCCATTGGTTCAACATTGCTCATGTTTTCATCTTCATCGATCTGTTGTTTATGTGAGGAGGAGGCTGCTTCCAAATGTTTTTCGGAACTATTTTGTAAACAAATATCATCGGTGCTTTTAGGTAACGCAGATTGTAAGACGTGGCTTTTCTTTTCTAGATCTGATATTATTTCCATGATCCGGTGCAAATCTTCGATGTCAGGTTGCTTTTGAGTAGAACGTGATTCGCTGATTGAAAGATCTGTCGGTTGCATACCATTATCGAGCTGTTGCTCGACAGATTCAGCTGAAGTATTCGTTTCATTTATTTTTTCACCATTCAATTCAGATGATTTCGAAACATTTTTATCGCTATTTATTTCAATCTGTGTGACTTCTATATTTGTATCCTGCACTTCTCGAGGTTCACGCATTTGTACATCAGAATTTTTATCTTTTTCGTTCTGTGGTGAAGAAGTTTCCCGAACCAAAAGGGATTCAATTTCATCATTATCTTCAATATCAGGAAGGATTCGTTCTGTTTTATCATCGTTTACGGTATTCTCGAGTTTATCGTTCGTAGATGAAGTTTGCTCCTCACTGTAAACAATTATGTTTTCTTTAGTGTATAGTATATTATTTCAAGATATTATGCCTCATAACTCATAATTGAACTGATATTCATTATAGTGAAGCTATTAAAAAAAATTAGTGAAATTTATCTATATCTAAGCCTCACTTATAATTCTAGTGAAAAAATGGTAGAAAGTCGAGCAAATCTCATTTTAATTAGTCAAATTAATTAAAAAATGCTAACATAAATATTTCTATAATTTTTTTACATAATTCATATTTTTACCTACCATTCATAATTTTCGTTGTGACATTCTTTTGGTTGCGAACACTCTTTACGTTGAACTTGTTCTTCTGGGTTCTCAATATTTTCATTATGTTCTTGGTTTTTAGAGCTGGTTTCAGATGCTGAAGTAACTTCGAGATCTGGTAATATTTGGTCATTGCTAATATCTGGAACAATTGTAGTTTCTTTTGATTTTTCTAAGCATCTTGGTGTTGACTCTGATATAGCTAAAGTAGAAGTCGGTTGAATAACTTCACTTATACAAGCACTACTAGTTGGTGTGTTCATCCTTGTCCTGGGAGCTATACTAGCTGAGATTGGAGCTGAAACAGCTGTAGTTGCTGTTGATGTTGTAGATATCAGAGGTGTTGCAAGTGTTGAAGGATGAGGTAACTGTTGCGTTGGGCTTGAAATCATTTGCACTGCAGGCTGCAGTTGTTGATGATACATACTGAATGGATTATATACCATCTGCATCATCTGACTTGTTTGTGGATTTTGTGGTTGAGCTACAGCATACTGAGGCATCACCATGGGACTTGCACCTGATGAGAAAACTATTTGGTTTATAAGTATTGTGTAATAGAATCATAAGTTGTTCCTTTATTATAAACAGATTTACTTACCACCATTGACATAATGTTGATAACTGTAGCTTGTAAAATGTGGGGGTATCATAGGTGGGCATTCATATATTGGTCCTACTGGATAAGGCGCTGATGGATGTTGAGGTGTTATATGTGGACCTTGTGATACTGTTGGGCTTGAGGGTACACTGACATCAGGCAATGCTGTTTGTGATGCTTGAGATGTTGGAGAACTTTTTTGTTGTGAAGGTGATGGCGTTTGCTGGTTCGATAATGGTAAACCAGAACTACTTGCTCTTATGAGTGCCTCAATAACTTGTTCTTTTGGATGAGTATCCAAATGTTCCTGTAAACTTATACCTTCTCGAAGGTATAAGGTACAGACGGGACACGCCACTTTTCCACTTCCTGATGAAGGATTAGTTGCCATTGTGCTTACAGCTCTAGTGAGATCCATTTTTACAAATTTTTATTATTACGCTCAATGTAATCTTTCCTAGAACAAATCAGAATTAAATTTCTATATGTTGTTAGTTCTTCAATATTACATTTATTAATATTATTCAAACAGATATATATTTCCAAAACTAACTTTTTAAGGACTATTATATTTAATAAAAAAATTAATTTTTCACAATTGCGTAAAATATTTAAACTTCAGCATCGAATTTGAAAAATAGAGTATTTTTTTATAAATAAAATTTTTAATATATGTTTATTAAATAAAATACAAGGCATTACTAACTTTCATCTTTCTGTTTTTCAATTAAATTTATATTATGCAGCATAAAAATAAAAAATTTTAATCTACACAATTGCTACTGAATTTGCAGTCTCATAGTTTAACTTTTTTTATAAATTGTATTATATACCTTCAGAGTAACTAATGAAAAATGTTTAAAAATAAGTTTTTTTTTCAGAAATTTTTTAGAAACTTCAACCCCATCAAAAATCCAAAAACCCACTAAACCTGTGAGAAATCCAGAAATTTGTTGTTAATCTAAAAATAAATGTGCATGCTTCTTTAAAATAAGTTTATACTAAAAAATGTTTATTTTTAGAACAAACAACAATTGGTGTCATAATTAACCTTCTTTGAAAGCAACTATTGTTATAGAGAAACCAACAATTTTTTTTATTAACTACAAGATTTAAATTGTTATAACAATTGCTCATTTTTTTATTTTTAGCAGGTTTTGAGATCATTTGTATGATTTTTGATAAGAAAATTCAATTCTTTGCATTCTTGGATTATTTTGAAACTTTTTTGGACTATATGGAATCAATTAAACAGCCAATCTATCATAATGGAAAAATAAAAAAACAGATATAAATATGGGAAAGCATAGCTGGTTCTCAGATATAAATTTTTAATACCAGCCAGATATGAAGCTATGTGTACACACATTTAAATGAGCATAGAAAATAATCTTATAAACTTACCCAAGTATTTAAAAGGTAATTTGTCAGTCTTTTTGTTCAGGCAATGTTCATCGCACAAAAGAGTTGTACATATTTTTACAACTTCTCGATGTGTAGAAAAAAGATGGAGGGAGCTTGGAGCTAGCTGATAAAAATGTGTGATAGCTAACTTTTTAGCAATAACTCGATGAACACAAGGTTCTGGCTAAGTCGATGGCTTTCAACTAGTCGCAAACGAACAGCGAAAGCGCCAATTCGACTGTTGGAGAAGGTCGTCGGGCGTGCAATAATACGAGGTCTCATCGGGACCAGGGAAAGCCTGCTTTTGTTTCAGGTCCGTTGGAGAAGATGAACATATCATCGACAGCGATGGCGACTGCAGGAAGACTTGGAGAGGCTGAGCTCCTGCACATGATTGACACGCAGAGTCATATGCTCTTTTACAAATAAAGATTCGAGTCCGAACACTTGAAGCTTGAGTAATATGTCACTTATACGTCATTCGCAAACGTCCACAAATCCAGACTCGGTTGCACTAGTCTCGGTCACCACTCGAACGAGAGCACACAAATATTTCACGATCACTACATATCGCACTCGCGCTGCAGGGTGGGTACTGGGTACTGGATACGTCGAGCCTCGAGGAGCTATATAGCGAGCAGCACCGAAAGTATAGTCAGCAGCACTACTGATCGTCTCTCCGTCTCTTTCTTCGAGCACGAAATTCTCTCACGAGGTTATTATACTGCACGCGCAGTGAGCTGCGTCTGCCTATGCGCTCGCATCGGCGGAAAACTGCGAGAGGAAAAGAGACACACTGCTGGTGCTACTGCTACTGCTGCTATTACTGCTGCGTGTAATGCTATATAACATCCTACTGCGGCCTTACGGGAAGCGAACGAGCGTGAGTGTGTGTATGTATACTATGCTGATATAGGTGTAGGAGCAAGCGAGATGAAGATAGGGTCGAGAGCGAGCGCTTGTCTGCCAGAGTCGTGTCGAACTCACATGTATTCCAATGTGTGTGTGTGTAGGTGAAAGAGAGAGCAACTAGCAGTGCTCGGCTCAGCAATAGCAGCTCCCCCTTATATAGTATGTATACGTGCGAGCCTTGTACTTATGTGGTGTATACTATATGTACACAAATCTATATATACACATGTACACAGCTGTATGGTTGTATGCACACAGGCTGGTTCTGGCTTTCAGCTTTGCAACTCTTGTATACATATGTATGAATGTATGTATGTGGTAAGTGCTGCTGGGGCAAATCGATAAACGAAATCCTTGGTCTGCTGCTGTTGTTATGTTATGTTGGCCGATTGCGCGACACACTGCGAAGTTGGCGATGCATGCCTCTGGACCTTTAAATCCGGGTTAGGCTACGGCGAGCATCTTGGGTTTATTTATAGGAAAAAATTTAGAGAGTCGTACACTATTTACGTGCAGGCTACTCGAGCTACGAGCCGTTGCTGGCCTGCAGCACTCGTTCCCGCAGTCGACTCGACGAGCAGCTCCTTCGGATATCGGTTGAAGCGTTGCTCATGCCGAGCAAGCGATTGACTATCTCGGCGTCGAGGCGCACTTTTTATACTTGCAGCCTGCAGCAAGAGAAGCCAGCAGTCGAGTGAGTCGAGCGAGAGTCGAACCAATGCTTACACATATACCTGCGCGTATTTGTATCGATGCATATTCCCACACCATACATAGCTCGGCGGTCTATAGTGCATATATACCCTATTATATATTGCAACTACTAACTATATGTACACACGAGTATATAATGTAATATTTTATATAGGATACACTGACACAACTGCACTGTGTATGGAAGAGCAAAGTGTCGAGTAGGCGAACGGCACGATCGCGGCACGCACACACACACACACACTCACCGAGTGACGAGCAAAGTGATTATAAATAATACACCGTGTTCGTAGGGAGCGTGAGCGAGAGATAATCGAGACTGGACTCGGCTCGGCCAATCATTGGCAGTGCGTAGGTGTGGATATGCCGAACTCGGGAGCCCGGCCGACATGCCGCTCGCGGCTCGAGAAAGGAACGGGGCGACACTGGCAGAGCGATGCCACGGAACCAAGATCGGCCTGTCACTCGTCCAGCTCCCAATGGGTCTGTAATGTGCACTTGCACTCGGTCCGCCGCGAGGCACGGCTCAGCGCTCGAGACTCGAGTCCGCAGCACTAGAGCAAAGTCCCCGCTCGACTGGCAAGTTGCAACTGGCGACTGCTGCACCACACAACTGGCAACTCGTCTTACAGGCTACCACAGCCTGCTGCGGACTGTTCGCCTATCGCTCACCGATGGCTAGGATTCAGTCGCTGCTCGGCTAATCACCCCCGTCCGATTATATCGCCACACTCCCTCGCTCCGTTGTTGAAGATTCTAAGCGTACAGAAGAAGCTCGGCCTTCGGCTCTGATAATTTCAAGTGCAAACTCTAGCTGTATAACATCGGTCCACGTCTATATATATATTATATACATACAAAGTGGGCGACTGTAGCGCCACTCCTTTGAAGCTGTCATGTCAGTCTGCCACTGATGACCGACTGGTCGCTGGCGACGAGAGTGGCGACTGCAATGTTTTGACTTTTGTCCATCGCTAGCGTCCCAGCATCCAGCGGCGCACTTGACTGTCAAATTTTCTTGAACGAGTGCGGGCTCGACGTGTGATTTCCATATGGGCTCCTGTATGTTGGATTCCGTTGACTTGTACGTTATTACGCCGCACACATCAGCAATACCATTATTCTATAACGATTTGGCTCGTATCGTACAGGAGCATGATTCACGTTTGCATTTTGTACATGGACAATTGCCATTGTACACCTAATATCTAAATAGCGTCGGGCACGCGCTAGCATCTTTTATCCCCGTTGACGCATCGTAACTCGCGGCAACAAAGACGACAATCAAAGTTGAACTTGGCGCGCTCGTCTATGCAAGCACCGCTGCAACAGTTCGTGCTAATTATTTCTTTCGTTCTCAGAGAATGTACCGGCGCTTAAAAGTCACTATTACTTTTTTCGACAAACGTTTACTGCTGCATTCGAATCTTGCTCGAATTGAGTCAATGTGAATCTGTTCCGACGACCTGTTGAAACAAATTTGCTATGGATTCGAGTCGAGCCTGAGCTATCGTAAAAATTATTCACAATAATAACAGTTTCCGATCGTTGATACATCGAGTACATAAAAAAATGAAAATATAAAAACAAATAAATGTATATTAAATTCTTTTGGGGCTGATGACATTTTTGTCGAATTTTAACTATAGCCCGTGCGTCGCGTAATTGCCGCAATCTTTGAAAGGTCGATGAACTTTGACTCGGAGCAGATAGTCATGAGTTGAACGCTGATATAGGTTCGCGTGTCTGTGTAGTGCGTATCCTATCCACTACAGCGCCTGCCGATGCCGCTTGCTTCTCTAAGCACGATATACATACGTATATAGTAACTATACTATATCAACACACATCCACGCGATCCCTCTGCGTACACGTTGCTACACATATCACGTACGTGTGTGTGCGTAGATAAGTCGCTTGCGCCCACATGCAGGACTACATTTTTTGATAGGGGACGCGCACGCAGAAATGTTTCCCTTTGTACGGGGACGATCAATCGACTGCGTATATCATTTTCGAATGCTCCGTGGCCGCACGACGACGCGCGACAGTCTCGAGTTCCAAAGATGTATCTAGACTCGCCCAACTCGACAATACTCGTCTCTTTTTTTATCGAATGAAGGATGTGTGCTCCAAAGCTACCTCACAGATGCAGACATTTATTCAGGTACGACACTTGCAGCAGATCTTATAATTGACTGATCATGTTTCGCCCTGTTGCGGGTGGAAATGGTCGAATTCACAAATGGATGAAAGCATAAAGCTAAACTGCGAGAGTTATTTTTACTATTCCAAAAAAAGTCCCTTCCGCAGGTACCCATACATTTAAATACTTTGTATGAGAACACTAGCCGCTTTAACCGGCTATAGCCATGGAATCAATTCATGTGTAGGCATGTAGAGCAGCATGTACTTGGACCGTCGTCGTCGCTGCTCGCCCAAGGCTCAATGTGCACTTACTTTTTAATTTAGCCTGTGTGAGAATTATAACTGCTGATCTTGACTTTAATGATATAAATAAATTTCATACGTTTCAGATTGCACAGCTACGTATGCCTATTATAGTTAGGAATTTTACGAGTCTGATGAAATTAGAGGAGAAAATGGATAGTTATATTGAATACGGTGACTGGTGTGATCTGATCTGCGTAGTCGCAACTCGCGGCCTGTGCGCTTCAGCCAGTTCGTTCTCCCTTTCATCTGTACCTTTACACGTACTTACACATACGAACACACTCCCTTACAATGAATACTTGACAGAATGCGAGAGCCGGGGAAGGTCGTCGTCCCGTCGCTGCTACATAGTAGCAGTATATATCCTATAATATATATAGGTATATGAATGAAAGAGAGAGAGAGAGAGAGAACTGCTGTACATATTGTACTCTAAACAGCAAACATCGAGTAATATGTTGCGTGACTTATAACATCCAAATCTCATCCAAAGAAATCTCATCCATCGACTCATTCAACCAAAACATATTCCTCTTGTTTTTTATACTTCACCTTTTAAATTAAAATATACGCCAATGACTCAACATATGACTTTTAACAACAATACATATATAATGTACTCATTTTTAAAATTATCTAGCATGATTCCATACCTTAACGCTCTGTTCTATTCAAAAGTTGGGCATTTAAATGTACGTAATTACGTAATGTAGTCTAGGAGCTACACAGGTTCCCGCTTCGTAATGAATCCCGAAAGATGAACCTTGGTGTTTTCCTCGTATTTTTCCCCCCTAAACACGAATTTCGTAGGTGTACATCGATCCGAGTGGCAATGTACTTGTTATTAACATTTTAATTGTTTAAACGGCCATAACTCGTAAACTATTGAAAATAAATTTAAACAGTTTTACGCCATTCTATTTCTAAATGAAAAGACAAAGAGATTAAATTATTAAAAGTTAAAATCGATTCATTAATAAAACAATAAAAAAATTCAATATTTTTACACGTATCTAACTTTTTACATTTATAAAAATTTGAACACAGAATCTTAATTTTTTTAT